CACTGGGTCTCATTATGGCCTGATTATCAAAGCCTTAAACATGGAGAAACAAAACCCCTTGCAAACACAACTATGACAGATATTTTACCATTGCTCATGTATTTTTGACATCTGTGTTGATAATCCTTTGCATGTTCTACAAACCTTTGTAGATCAGTCCATAGAAATGTAAACATATGTTGAAAGTAAAATGGTTCATGACAAATGAAGGCCTTTTGATAAACTCATTTCAGCCTCTATGCCTATAAGGCCCAAACTGCATGAGGCCTGATTAGGCCTATTTGGCTCAAAGTGCATGAGAGCTTCTTGTGCTTATGTGTGCTTGGACCCGCTCATTGCCGCTTGCGGCTATATTTATTATTACTTTTGTTGTTAAATTTGCTCTGAAATTTATAACTGTAGTATGTACTAATGTATGTAATGTTTGTATGTTTATAAAATAATATACAATATATATTAAAATAAATGATACCATTATGCATCCTACAAAAAAAAATAATTACTAGAATTTTTGCTATAAATAATGTAATGTTTTAAAATTCCCTTAAAAATATTTAAAAGTAAAAGATTTATTAAAAAAAAAAATTAGGTAAAATTTAAAAATACATATTATGCATCCTACATCTTGAGACATCTTAGGATATTATTATAGCCAAGACATCTTAAGATCTGTGTCTATAGACATGTCTTCATTTCTTAAGACATGCCTCAAGATGTCCTAAGATGTCTTCATAATGTGTCTTTAGACATGTCTTAAGACATCCCAAGACAGGGTAATGGCTGGCTACGAAGGTGCTTGATCCTTAGGGAACATCTTGTTTCTCTAACCTCCCTATCCTGAGCATGACACATCAAATTGCTGTTAGCTTCTTAATTATTAACAATCATAAAGAAGTAAAATGTAAACATCATATATACAGCATTGATAATGCCATCACAGATGTGCCTATAACAATGAAAGACCTTTTGAACTTTATGCTGGTAACAATCTGGATGGTTCTTTACTTCTTTGGTAAAGAACCATACAGAAAGGCTGACTTATCAGACCACAATACATGCTTCCACTATGCATCAGTTCATTTCAGATGAGCTCAAGCCCAGAAAAGTTGGCAGCATTTCTTGACATTGTTGATGTATGGCTTCCCCTGTCCATAGCACAGTTTTAACTTGCATTTGTGGATGCTGTGATGAACATTGTGTGTTGACAGCAGTTTGTCAACACATTTCCAAGCCCATGTGGTGTTATCCACAGATAACACAGTGCCAGGGATCAAAGCTCACAGGTAGTCAGCTGTGGTTTTAGCCTTGCTTTTTATGTACAGAGATGTTTTCTAGATTCCCTGAATTTTTCAATGGTATTATGCACCATACAGGTTGATGCATGTACCTAAAATCTTTGCAGTTGCTTGTTGAAGAATGTTGTTCTTGAACATTTGGGACTATTTATTAATGCATTTTTTGACAAGGTGGCAAGCCTCAAACCATCTTTGCCATTTTAGGCCTTTAATGGATGATCAATTTATTTCCACAATGAGACATGGGTGTAAAAGCACGATATAACATCTTTTAAAATGACCTTTGAACATTTAACAATGTTCTTAGTGATAAATTGCCACTGTGCCAATTTTTTGGACAGTGTTGCAGCCATCAATTTTAGTACAAGTGTATATTTACAAAAACAAGTTGATTGGATAAAACATTGAAAATCTAGTAAATCATTCCACATCTATTCCATATGCTATAATCTTCATTTTAAATACATTACAGTGTCATTGACTAGCTCTGTGTAATGTGCAGAGGTCCAAAGTGTTTGTTTGTTATTCTCTGTTCTCTGTATTCAGTAATCAGTAGAGGTGATGAGGATATCTTGGGCAGATTAAACTAATTAGTATGAGTAATTAGTTTCTGTTTTCATTTACATTTCACTATATGAAGTCAATACATACAATATATACAATAGCATAAACTGAATTTGCTAATAGTAGACAGAGTTTTGTAATGCCAGTACTGGCAATCAGTGATTATTGACACTGTTGAGTCTGAATATAATAATAAAAATTATAGTAGTGACCACTGATTAAACAGGAATTAATAAGTTACTCATTCATGTTTCAGAGAGAGAGATGGAGAACAACTAAAATTTATTGCTCAGTCATTGATCAATGTGGTGAATTCAGCAAATGGGACATTTATTGATGAATTCACAACTTAGGACCTTTATAAAAGGAATATACTCATGTCTTTTTTCACTGTAACAAGCCTCTTAAATATGAACGTGTTAAAATTGTGGTAAATACAGTTTAAAAGATATTATAGACCCTGTATCCCTAAAAAGAATTACCTATGCTTAAATTTCAATGCATCAGTTTCAGAGGCATCAGTTGCTACTACTAGCCTGATGTTGGTACCTTTTACTTACATAATTATGCCTATAACTGGTATGTGCCATAGTGGACGAGAAATGTAAGCTCTTAAAGGTGTGATAAGAAATGAACATAATGTACCACAGTGGTTTTAAAAGGTGTCTCGTTAGGTGACAGTATATATTGTTTTTCATTGGCGCATCAATGAACAAGAAAAACACTCTTGTATGGAAGCATATCAGTATCAAAATTAAAAGAAAAATGTTATATGTAAAATCGTGAAGTATGCCATTTGCATTTACATTCCCCATTCATATATACAGTGTTAATCTCAAAATGAAAATGAAAATTCAATATTATGAGTTTAATAATGCTATGTAGTATTGACATTTCATTTGCACAAAAATTTGATGATTTATATAGCTTGCTTTATCTAAATTAAAATGTATTTGCATGCATATTTACTCAATGTGATTATACAATAACAGTGTAAGAATAATAACTAAAATGTAATTATATAATGTACATAAATTGCATTATCAAAGAGAACACCAAGATAAAAAAAGGAAAAATTAAAATATGAATGGGAACTGGCGCCTCTCCTCTTTGCAATTACATATTGTTGCGTACTGTGCTCATTCTGTGGCAAAATGCCTTTGAAAATACATTCGACCAGATTGCATTTTCATTTTTATAGACTTTTCAACCTGACAATCATCCCGTCAGGGCGGGGCCAACAGCAACAGCCGTAGGCTACAGTTGAACCAGACAGAGATTAATCCAGCATCGAGGGCTATTGTCTAACATACATTGTGAGAATCTCGTGTGGATATATTGCTGTATTTCACCTTATATATTGTAAAAAAAACTTTGCTCATAAAATGATCTTATTGTAATTGTAGTGGTTTACATAGACTTGTCTACATCACATTGACTGAGTTGGCAACAGCTACTGTACTGTGCCGGTACCGTGTCATATTTCAACAGAATTCAGGGGGGTCTCTAATGTTCTGCTAAATGTATATTACAAAAACGCTGGTATATGTGTCTGACACAGTGAGTTGGATCATATTAGCCAGCTGATAAAAACAGCAAATGGGGCCTTGTTTGAGAATGTTACGTTAGCTAGTTCTCGCTGTTAGCTAGCTTAATTCTGCATCCCTCCACAATTTACGGTGAAGGTAAAGTGACGCTCACTTTGTAGAAAATATCCCAGCATGGCATTAACTGGAATCTCTATGTCCAGTCTCACTTTCAGCCACCGTTCTTAGTTTATGAAACGAGCCTGAAGCTTCTTTTTTGAATTTTCTGTTCCACCCTAAACGTGCTGCTGTAACATTTGGGCATGTTAAGGTGTAACTGCTGCACTGTTTAAGGTGGACTGGAAAATTCTAAAAAGAAATTGGTGAGAAGGAAGCCAAGTTCAGCTTTGTTTTTGTCAACCAGATTGATAAACCAGAAACATTTTGATTAAACATTTCCTCATGGGGTCATGTACAAAGACATTAAGTATCACCTCATCTGTTAACATAAGAGTAGCTCAAAACTCTTCAGTTGCCATGTTTTCAGATAAAGCAATTTAGTCAGAATTGTTCACAACAGTGGTGATAGGAACCAGGGGCCATATAACAGAAACATCTTAACTCTGAAATCTTATCTGATCTGTTTAGTTACCATAACAACTTCAGTTAGTACTGAATTTAGGACAGCAGCTATTACAGAACAACAGTTCTTAAGTTCATAATCTCTTCCTTACTCCAGATAAGAAAACAGTATTACAGAAACATCTTAATTATTAAAATTTTCCTAACTTTAAGACAGCTCCAAATGTTACTGGCAGCATAGCACTATTAGGCTATTAGAGGTTTCGCTTGTGAGATGTTTTTCTTTTTTAAGTCTGCATTTAAAAATCCCAGACACCGTAGACACGATCTCCACTGTCCCCACTTATTACCTGCATGTGTTAATTTTGATGAAAACTTATCAGATAAAATATTACAGTGATGGTGGTGAATAATGAGGAGCCTGCACACGTTGTTTATTAGAAGGAACAACATTAGTGCAGATGGCTGAAGCATTTGGAAAGTGGAATCTGAAACTGGGGAGTGGCAACTCTGATAAACAGCATGGGGGAACACTCACAATATTCTTCGTCTTTAGTTCATTGCACTTTATTTTTGTTTCAACTTTTTTACATCAGTAACTTTAGCTGTAACTTACATTTTAAAGAATTTTTTTTTTCCAATTTATCACTGATTTACCATTATTAGCTTATATATCAAAATCTGTGTGTGTGTAGGTTCAATGGTAATTTTGAATAAGAAATAAAATGGTGATATTTGTGTTATAGACACTGTGATTCCTTGTTCCTGTCACCACCACTGTAAAGAAACCAGGATGTGTGAACCATTTCACAGCAAATCGCTCGGAATGACTCTGAATAGATGTAAACAATTGAATTGAACGTTTTGAAAATGGATGGAATTCCCACTTAAGTAAATTCACTGTATTACTTTTGTGTGTGTGTGTGTGTGTGTGTGTGTGTGTGTGTAATTTTCCCATTTCCCTTTTCCAAAAAAAAAACTTTTCTATAAGAAAAGTCATGTAACTTTGGAACCTACTGATAGGAGGAGAGCACTGGAGAGGGGAAGAGTTATAAACACTGAGTGAGTGCGAGATAAACTAAAAGAGAGATAGACGGACAGAGAGAGAATTATAGTGTTCAGTGTATATTGAGTGGAAAGAGGGAAACAAATATTCTGAATTCGTAGAGAAAGCAGAGGAACAGAGAATCAGAAGAAGCTCTTATACTGGACACACACACACACACACACACACACACACATATATCGCTTCCACCCCTCAGGGTCTCTTTAAACACAAAGGCTGCTGTTGTTGGTGTGTTCAGCAGCTGTAGAACAGGCAGACGGATGGACTGACTGAGAAACATGTCCGTATTAAGACGACACTCTAGCAGGCAGGGCCTGCAGGACCTCCAAAGGTGAGTATATGTAGGTGTGTTTGGTAATGTATTCAGTTTTAAAGGAATAATTTGTGTGAGGTGTTGCTCCAGCATGCTGATGCTAGTAATGGTACTCTTTAGCATATTCAACACTTTTGATTATTGTGGTACTATTTGATGCTTCAACTTGAAATCTAAGTAAACAATTTTGTAAATCATTCCACATCCATATGCTGTAATCTTTATTTTAGATTCATTCCAGTTTCACTGACTAGCTCTATGTAATATGACTGGAATTTGATGCATGAGTCTAAAGTGTGTGTGTGTCAGTTTCTGTTCTGTGTATTCAGTAATCAGTGGAGGTGATAAAGGTAATCTTGGGCAGATTAAACTGAGTAATTGATTCTTAAAAAGCAAATCTGGGATGAGATTGCTGATTGATGTCATAACATTATCTGTAATGTTACTAGCTAGTTCAATAGTAGAGATGCAAGATGATATCAGACTCGCAACAGCATCAGCAGATATTTGTTTAAAAAATATTGTCATTGGACAGATGTTCAGATTTAAACAATATTTCAAACCAATGTTTGTATTATTGTACTCTTATTAATATTGTACTCTTAATAATATACTATTATTGTAGTATAATACATTGTATTGTAATTTTATTCATTTTACTGCAAATAAATGTTACATATCTCTGTAATGCTAAGCCAGGTTGAATTAGTGCTAATTCTTGCATTTTATAAATGTTTGTCTATCAACATCAGTATCAGCATCAATACAATATGTACATTAAAAATATTGGATATTGGCATCACTCCTATATTGGTTCATCCCTAATTCAGTAGTTTCATGTGTTGCTGGTCTTGGAATTTCCCTCGTCATAATTTGACATTGCCTCTTGTTTCCCCAGCTGCCCAGCTGGATAAGTGCTACAGATTCAATTATCAGAATACAAATAATGCTAAATATCTGCACATATGTACATGTAAGGCTGCTGCTAAATTTCAACACTAACGAAACCTGCAATTTAAAAGCAAAAACAACATCACTTAGCTTGCTGATTTGTTTGGGGTATTTTGGTGCTAGTCTTATAGCATCGATTCAGTGTGCTGCAGTGTTAGCTTATATGTAGTAGTAGATGGCTCCTGAACAACCATCCAGTAGTATTTGGGGGAGAAGCGTCTGGGAACACGGGAAAAACTAATTGGCTTTAGAACATTTTTGTTTACCCCAGGGCATGATAGCTGCTTTTTCAAAAATGCCATTCATTTTTGCTCTGAGAGAAAAACAACTTAGACCTGGTGTTCCTAATATGAGCATAACACTGACCACAGAATGATGACAACAACTTCAGAAGTTTGTTGAGAGGAGCCAAATGCTGACTGATTGTTAGGACCAAGAGGAATGCAACAAACCTTGCCTCATCATGACTTTATTGGACACCCTGACTCCATGGCTCTTTTTATTTAACTAATACTGTTGTCTAGTAATCAAAGCTGGAGGAGTGCTGAACGTTAGGGTAGCATTTAGTGCTGCTATTTATGCATTTTACTTGTGGATGAAGATAGGAATCAATCAGATTTCGGAAAATTTAAGTGGATCTTGTGAAGCTTAAGATAGGTGGAATTGTACCTATCTTAGAATTAGCGATAGGGGCTGGTTTCTAAGACCCAGAATTAGTCTAATGGTGAAACACTGTTTAGTCAAAGACTAGGATCATCTGTCTGAGAAACTTATCCTAGGAGTACAGTTTATTTAGCGTTTTCTTTGTCGTGTACAAAACAGTTAATCTCACGTGAGAAAAGATGCTTTGCACCAGCTGCTAGCTAATGTCTACATGCTGTAGAGGCAGTAGTGTAAAGCAATTTGCCTTTACTATAGGATTTTATTTTACTCTGTTGTGTGTACAAATGTGTTGTACTATTTTAGTTAACAATCAGATGCATTAAAAAGACTCAGAATGTTTAGGTTCAGTTTAAGTATTAAATTTTATTTGGATTTCTTTCTTTAAATTTTCATTTAAAATGTGTTATCCTTCTTTGATGACAATAAACAAAAGAACCAGTACAAAATGAGCTCTTACCTCTCCTGTACATTATAACTGGACACAGCAGAATATCTCACAGAGTTTGCTTAAAGCTGGGGCCAAACTCAGCCAGTGCACTTTATTGACAAACCCTGCCAGCTCTGCTGCCATATATCAGCATTATATACTCCCGTAACACTCCAAAAAGAGATTTTTGACATGTATTTACCAGATAATACATAACCACCATCTCAGGAACTTACTGTTGCTGCTGCATCAAAAACAGAAAACTCCACTGTTTTTTGTTTTTGTTTTTGTTTCTTATGCCACACCCTTAAAAAAAAAGTGTGTTCCTTGAGTGATGCCAGAGAAGAACCATTTTTGGTCCCTGAAGAATCATGTTCAAAAGGGAAAAGAACCTTTTAAAGGCTCAAAGAACCTTCACATAATATATAGTTCCAATTTAAGAGTTCTTTCTAGAATGTTTACATTATATGGAGGTGTGTTAAACCTTCATGCAAGGGTTTCATTCTCAAAAAATCTCACTTACAAAAATGGCTCTCTAAATCACCATCCATTGATTTCTGTGAATGTTTCAAGATGAATAGACCAATAGAAATTGTTCAAAATAACTTGGAATAAAATCACATCACATTAACACAGGTTAACAAACATTTTCTTCTTCTCCTAAAAATGTATCATGTATGAGATATGAAGTTTTGCTTCAACCACAACTGTATATTAATGCACTTAGAGAATATTCATTTTATATACACACTTTAAGGTACAGATGGTGTAATAATATAATACAAGGGACATTACTGTCACAGACACATCCAACAGTATTAAAATTAAACTCTCCAGATATTACACTTGTAAACAGGCCAGAGAAATTGTCTTCCAGGGGCATGTTGTATGTATAGTGTAGTGTAATAATTTGTTAAGATTTTTTTTTAGTTGAATATATTTTTTAGAGATGTTCTTTCTCAGTACCAGCTGAATTTTCTTTTTGTTTGTGTAATGTCCAGTCATCTACAGGATGTCAGGGAACTATTTCCTGTCAGTATGTCTGCACTTCCTGCCCACATAGAGTTCATATCCTGCTTAGCTCTTACCCCATGCCATCTCTTGTGACCCCATCTCCTGTTCTCTGTGCTCCCATCTAGAGTAGTCATGGTGACATGTTATCTTAATGGTAACACAATACACCAAGATTTAATGCCGTTTCCAGGCTTTGCACACAGGCCTGGGCTTTTACATATTCAGCTCTGACAAAAGCCTTGCAGACAAGCCAGCATTGCAGGGTGACAGTGTCGAGAAAGTAATAATAAAAAAATAATAAAATGAACTATAGTTAGAGTCTAAAAAGGTAGCTAATCACAGTGCTCATAATATTGTTTCGTCATGTGGAAACTGTCATTTTGACAAAAATTATGTAAGCATAAATCTGAGCTATCCATCAGAAATTTTACAGGATGTTTACAAATGACTTGTTAATGTGCTTGCAGTGAATGATTTTACAGTTTGATATTTTAGAGACCAATATTAGCAAATTACCAATAACCATCAAGGATATATTATGCTATTGTAAATGAAGTGTCTGTTCTTCTATGTGTATGTGTGTGCAGGATCACAGTACAACGAAGTCTGGAAGATGCAGAGGAGATAGAGAGAGAACAGAGGCGTCGTGAAAGAGCAAGCAGCTCCACAGTACCTCCTCAGGACACGTGCAGTCCTGGACTATGCGAAGACAGCTTGTCAGTGTCTCAGGTTCATGTTGTCCAGGGGTGTTCAATTTTATCCACAAAAGACCAGTGTAGGTGTTAATTCCAACACTCCAACAATTCTTTTAAGCTGGAGAGTGTTAGCAATACAATCAGAGACTTTGTTTTTCTGCCTTTTAATAGCCCCCAGAGTTAATTTGTGCGTGATGTATGTCTGTGTTGGGCATAGTGAAATGAATAAGCACCTAGAATTGGAGCTTTTTTTGTTCTATTGTGTTTTCTCTTACTATATGAAAAAAGCATAATGCTGCCTGTATTGTTTGAGTGAAGATGTACTGAACAGCATTCAATTCGCTAAGGCCTTATTATTGGTTTATCCTTATTATTGGTTTATTTCATCAATATAACAATAAAAGGCAACTAAAGAACATCCCTATTTATTAGTTTGTGACAAAAAGATTCATGTCTGCTTCACCTCAGAGAGATTTAAATAAAATTCAATTACATGGTTGGAACAGCTTGGAATGGTTTGGCTCAGGCTAGGTTGGAATGAAAGCCTGGAACAAAACTGGCCCTTTACAGATAAGATTGAACACCCCTGACATAATCCAATACCCACACAGCCAGTTCACTGACCATCTATTTTAGTTCTCAGATACGTCCATGCTCTTGCCTCAAACTTTCTGGAATGCATTCCATTGGCTCCTCTTCAATATTTTCAGTCGTTGATATTGCTGTGCCACATTTATTGGAGTAACCCTGATATCGATCTCCGCTCTTCCAGTTTTGCCTGTCCTTTTGTAAATATAACAGCACAGTAAAAGCTAACAGAAACCATTTCGGTGTCTTATGCCAAAGTCAGTCTGTGAGCCTCCCAATGACTCCCAATGAGCAAAGCAAGCCAAATGCTGAGTGAGTGGGTGCTTTGTGGATGTTTGATATGAGCCTAGAGAGAGAAACAGGAAACGAGTGTCATTTTATTTGTTTGGTTTCCATAGAGTCTCAAATCCAAAGCTTTGGCTGACACCTGCTTTCTCTGACCATGTGGGTGTAAGCAAGCCCACACCTGCTCCCTAGAGAATATTCTATTTCATTCCCACTGATATTATTATATTATTGCAATTAGCTGATACATTTTCTCAAAGCAGCCAATATATGCCAACTGAAGGAACAGTCGCCCTGGAGGGAGAACAAAAATAACATGACGTCTTGGTGTCCGGCCAAGTTCTTTGGCCACTGGGCTACCACTACCCCAGCATTAATGACTGATATTTCAGGCTCATGCTTTTATAGTTATGCATAATAGTTTTTAAATTGCTTTTTAACTCAAGTAGATATCTGAATAAAAGACTTCTGCTTTTACTAGAGAAATGTTCTACCTAGGGTATTTCTATTTTTTAAATGCAGGAATTATGTACTTTATCCACCACTAGTATCAGTTCTAATGTAAATTCTGTGTGTGAAACTTTTGTGTTGGGAAAATGTACAGAAAACTTCTGCTCTTTTTTGTTCTTCAGATGCAAGAGTGATCAGAAGCCAAGCTGGTTGTCCTCTTGGGAGGGTGATGATGGCTTTAGTTCTTGCTTGGAACAAGTGGAGAGACAAAGACAAACAGAAAAATGTGAAAAAGAGGTACATTTCAACAGCTCAGCACACCTAGTGCAATCTCAGCCTAGTAGCTCCACTCACCAGCACCTGAATGGCTTAAAGGAGCATATTGGCTCTGCCCCACTCTGGCAGACGCCACCTCCTCTTTCTGAACAGCGAGATCAGCGTTACCAAGAGTTGAATATGACTGGCGAATGGAGAACGAAAGAGCAAGAAGCAAGAGAAAAGGAAGAATGCAGAATGGCTGGACATAGAGAGGGGAATCAGGGTGAATGGGAGAAGATGGCAGTGAGGCAGGGAGACAAAGATATGTGTGTCAGAAGTGGAGAGTGGCAAAGACAAGACGCAAATAAAATCGTAAGCAAGAATCTGATGATTCAGATAAAAAGTACTTTGTACTACACTCTTGAAAACAAAGGTGCCAAAAAAGGTTCTTTGGAGTGATACCATAAAGCAGAGGCCTTCAAGTCTGGATCTTTAATCCGGTTTCTAGTCATGGTGTTTATTACCGGTAGAAATGACACCAAGTATCCAATCAGTTATGTAAACAGTTCAATCCAATACCAGTGATTACAAAATGCAGGACAATTCAGGTCAATAATTGAAGACCCTTAAAGAACTTTACATCCTTAAAGAACTCTTCAGTAAATTGTTCTTTAAAAATTAATTGAAACCACTCAGCTAAAAGATTCTTCAGGCAACCAGAAGTGGTTCTTCTGTGACATTGCTCCAAAAAAATCTTTTAGCACCTCTATTTTTAGAGCCCAGTTTCCCAACTGTGGCCCTGGCCCTGGAGTATCACCTGTCCTTCACATTTTAGTGTTTTTACTGCTCAAACACACATGATCCAACTAATAAGCTCATTAGCAAGGGCTTCTTTGGTCCGGGATCATGGTTGGGAAATGTATTTCCGTGTTTTAGGCATTCAAATACATACCGCTAAGTTTACATTGGTTACTTTATAGCTGGGTGGTTTGATGATGGGTGTTCTGTCTTGATATCAGGTAAGAGAACAGAGGAAAGAGATGAAGATTTCCTACACGACAAGACTACACCTCCAAAAGGATTTGAGATGTGACACCACTAAAGGAGTGGAAGAAACAATAAGGAAAACGCCATGGTAATGATGTGAATACAGAAGCACCAATTAGCAGAAAAATATAGGAACTCTTTAGACCTGAAGGATCTTGGTCATGACTTTTCAGAATGAGAACACTGACCCAGGATCAGTTTTTGCAGTTCATATCCAAATTACATTGATTTGTTAGGTCAGAGGGAACCGATTCTGCACCATGGTTAAGTTGAAACACTTGAAAAATACTACATGCGGCATCTTATTGTGTTGAGAAATGACTAGCCACGCCAGGTGTGTTTCACAACTTCCTGTGTCCACACATCCTTCCTATGTGCAGTGAATTTAGCATTAAGCAAAGCATAGTGACAGTACATCATGGACTCTGCTGCAGAATCCTCTGTGCTCAGTACAGACAGGTAAAATACATCTTTCAAGGTTCATTTATTTATAGGCTTTAGAATACAAAATGCGTAAAGAAGCAAACATATTTAGGGATAAAAGCTTGAAAACACTCATGCTGTAACAGTGCTGTAACTGCTCTATGGAAAGCAAGAAGTAATGCAGTTCTCCCTAAATGTTAGCATATTGCTTTCTCTATCTCTCTCTTTCTCTCCCTTTGTCACAATCCTCAGTACAACTAACAAAGCTTTATCAGGTACAACATTAAAACAGATTAATTAAAAAAGAATATGTATATTGTACAGTATATTTTGATACTGCACACATTTTCAAAGCAGTATCTGATGATGTTTCTGTATATTGTGTGTGTTCAGTGAACTTTAATTGTTCTAAACTTGGGATTTTCTTGTAATTGTATTTGGTTAAGGTCTGACTGTGTTGTTTGCTAGTGGAAAGTAACTGTTATGGCCACTGGTCCATTGGTTACTGGACTGTGCTCTGTGGGCAGGTTCAGTTCCTGATGCAGTTTAGTTCTTGTTTGTTCACCCTCTATCTCTGTCTCTGGCTCTGTCTCTCTCTCTCTCTCTCTCTCTCTCTCTCTTTCTCTTTCTCTCTCTCTCTCTCTATTTATGTTTCTGTCTCTCTCTTACTGTCTCATTTTATCCATCCCCTCTGCCTCCCCCTCCTTCCAAATCTCACTCTCGCACTTGCGCTTTCTCTCTCTCTCCTTCTCCTCTTCTCCCTCTTTCTCTCTCTCTCTGTCTCTCTCTCTCTCTCTCTCTCTCTCTTTCTGTCTCTCTCTAGTTTGGGCGAGGAGAAGGTTGAAGCAGGCTCAGAGATGAATGCAGGCCCACAGGGAGAAGACCGGACCCTGACATATCATGAGGTATGCACACACAGGTCACATATCATCTAGAAAAGACAGATCAGTCTTTTAATTGTTTTTCAAAACATAATAATAATAATAATAATAATAATAATAAAAATAACAATAATAATGTTAAAAACAGAAATGTGTATTTACTGAAATTAAAACTGTTTCACTGAATCACCCGTCTGCTTTCTCTGCAGGTCTCTCCTTTGCCATCTTTTATGGAAACCACTTGTCAGTGATAAAGATTAGACAATTGGGTGTGTGCTTTCAGAGTAACGTGAAAGGATAGGAGGGAGGGGCTTGTGCTGTGTACGCACCCATGCTTAAATAAATAGCAGTTATAAATTCTAGGCGATGAGATTTTGGGGGCTTATTTTGTTGTTGAAAATGTAAATTTGATGTCACAATCGAAAGTCATAACAAACCCAAAAATATATATCATTATACACCTACATTTACCTGTTCTCCAAGGAAGAGAGGCAGAGTGTTAAGGGGGAAAATGAGGAGGAGAAAGTGGAGGAGGAAACAGACGAAGAAAGACTGAAGCGGATGAGAGAGGAGGAGAAAGAGAAGAAGAGGAGGAGTGTGATGGAGAAGATGAAGAGACTGAGTTTGTCCAGCACTGAAACAGACGAACCCTTTAGCCCTCTCAGTCCTACTCTCATGGTAATCACTGCACTCTTACCACAACACACTTTTGCATCATGTATTTAAAGGCATGGTTGTGAATCACAGCTAGTTATTGTGTCTATATAGGATTATTACTGAGCCATTGGATTCTTAGAATTTGTGGATCTTACAGTTTGTGAAAAGTTAGTAATTAGTAATCACTTTGTAGTTAGTAATCAGTCATTTTGCAATTTAGCCCTTAGGCCAAAGTTACACTGAGCAATACTTGGGTTGCGACAACTGGTAATGTAATTGTACTGCATGCAACTTGGCATTACACCAGGCAGTTTGTGTGCAGAACAACTGCAATAACATTTTACTGTTTGTGAATCTTCCTTATAGTAAAAAGAAAAAAATGAAAGAAAAACATCTAGAAAGGCATTTTATGTTACATTCAAGTAATGCCATTCCTAAATATTTAAAAAAGAAGTGATTCTTTAATGCAATGCCATAAAAAAGCCACTTTCGATTCCCCAAAGAACCATTAAAATGAGTGGTTCTACTATGTAATGGGAACCCCTTCAGGGCCTTCTGGAGAAGGCCTAATGATTCTACTGAAGGCCTAATATAAGTTGAGTATTATATATATATTAGTTATTGAATCATTGTGATTATTGTTTTTATTCTGCAAGAATTGTAGTGATACTCTAATTTCATTTGCTGTTTTTGTTGAAAACAAATGAGCACAAATCTTAAAATGTCCAACTGAAAACTGTCCAATCAGGAATTTCTTCCCGTTGTAGCCAGGTAGATACACCCAAGCTAGCTTTCCTGGACTGGAGGCCTTATATGTTCGATTGGCCACCTGTTATAATGCTCTTTTTTAAACATGCCCTCTTCAACTTGGCCTCAACATTTCCCCTTGGATGAGTCCCTGATGCCTTTCTAAGGGGTGTTCCATTACTGTATTAGCTCGAGTGAGGTTTATTAGATAAGCTCTTGTTCATGTTGCACTGTTCATGTGCACTGGTTTTAGAAAAAAAATGTCCATGTGTACTGATGTTAGCTTAATGCTAACACACTAATAAAAATCCTATAGGGACACTAGCAGAAATTAGTATTATAGAGTTTGATTTTTTTAGGTGGGAGGTTTGAAAATTATCCGCCAACCTGAAGGCTTAGCTCTAATAGTCACAATTTTCTGCTGCTTCTGTGCTATCCAAAGAACCCCTTTTCGCATCTTATTATTTATGTAGAGTGTCCTTATATAAAATAATGTTTCAAATTTTCTTGATTAAAATGTGGATTTCATTTCCACATGAATAAACTATATTACAACAGCACAAGTTTGGGTTTTAGTTTACTTACGGTTGGCAGTAATTGTGGTGATGTATTTTTTTTTCTTATGGAAATTCTGCATATTTTAATCCTGTAAATTCAATGTATCACTTTCTTCGGTGTGTACTCAAGAACATCTCAGTCATTCAATCCCATAAGTTAATAGAGAAAGTGGGCAGTAGAGAGGAAATATGGATTAAAGTCATAACAGACAATCCGTCTCAATATTGCTGATGTTCTAGTGCAGAAAGCAAATAAATCCTGATGGCGACAAAAGTTCACACATATCAAACAGAGCGCAAATAAAATAATGTCGCGTTTATACCATTTGAAAAATCGCGTTTGGTTTGCAAAATATTATTAGTTACACATATGATTGAATTAATTTATTATCATCCCAAAATACTGCACAAATAAACCATGTTCAGTGTGTAAAGGCCTTTAGGCTTCACTTGTCCGAGAATAACTAGCACTCTATGCTGTGCTCTAATCTTGTGGGCTGCAGAAACTTTTGTGTTCATTGTGTGGGCCATGAGCAAGAAATGGTTGGGAACCTCTGATCTAGTGTTTGCTTATAAAACTTCTGCTTGTGTGCTCTCTGGCATGTAAAGGCTTAGTTATACCAATCATTCTGGCTTTAAAGAGAAGGACACCCAACATACTCATACTGTGCAGTGCTGCTTCTGTTCTCTGTGTGATAACTTGTGTCTCTGCTGAAGTGTTGAATGTTTATCAATGTTGGCCTTTGTCCCCTGTGTGTATATGTGTGTATGCCATATATGCTTGCTGCTTTCAGGTTGAGGAAGCACAGGGACTGACAGAGGAGTATATGTGTTCGGTGAGTTACTGACTAGTTAGCTGTTAGGGCATGGCCATGGAGCTTTCCCAAATTTTTTTACCAGCTTGTTTAATTTTTGTTAATTAGCTCTTTGTTTTTCATCATAAAGGTTTTTTTGCTAGGTTATGATGCTAAAAGTTAGGTTTAGACGCATTTTACATGATCTTGTTATTTTAATCATGATGGTGTTTTGTGTTCAAATTTACCAGTTCAGGCTGTATAGCTGTAATGAAGGTTATCAGCTGGAGACTGCCAACTTATCAGACTGTATAAAAAGTAGTATGACCACATGAATATATTAATTTTATCAGACATTTGTGCTTTTTTCAGTAGTTAGGGGTGCATGTTCATTGCAATAAAAAAGCAATATTGATTTTAAATTAATGGTGTTTTCCTTAATTTTGGTTGATTTTATTCTCCAGCTGATATATTGTTCAGGCCCTAGTGTGTGTATCATCTTTGTATATCTGCATGCTGAGGCTGGGGCTTTATTGACATGCATTGGTAACATAGAGACAAATGAGAGACAAACTAGAGACAAATAAAATGCTAACACAACATTTTTTAAAATCTACAGATCTCTGAGAGAACAGAATCTCTGAATCGATCTGTTAAGAAAAGGTGAGTTGACCTGTAATACACAGACATACACAAACTTGTAGTCTTAGTGTGATTTGTGTGTGTTAGCTGACAGAGTAGTAGGTGTAGAATTGTTTCTGGACTGTTTAAATGTCTGTGATGCCAATTAGTGGCCACCAAATATAGAGCTAAAAAACAATATGTTGTGCATTACGTGAAAAATATGGAGTGTGCAGATGAAACTCAAAAGTGGCAACTATGCTTTCCATAGACTCTTTTTTAGTTTAGCACTCACCCACATGTGCAGTAAACAAACACTAGCCAAAAATTCCTGATTACATAATTTCTCAGGAATTTGTCTAATAAAGCACATTTCGGGTGCTAGGTTTGATGGTTCTTTAAAGAAGCCAGTAAAATAAAAATTGTAGTTTTGGCAAGGCAAGGAATTTATTTACTTTTTTAATATGTATGTATTTTTGCCAGGAAGTAAATGTAAAGTAAAAGACAAGTAAAAGACAGTGAAAAACACATCTGTTCCCTAAAACAGTCACTTTTTTCAAATTGTCATGCTAATAACTGCTTATTTATGGAAAATGTTTAAGTAAAATCATTTAGTAAAAATTTTACTTTAAATGATTTTGAATATCTCTTAAAATACCTCTTTTCTTTCTCTGCCTTCTGGTAGAATTACATTTGTAGGCCTACAGGACTAACCAATGAAGGCACCATCCTATTTTTTTATTTTAAAAAATTATAGTTAAAAATAAATAAAAAGGTTTAAAAGTTTTTATCTTATGACATCTTAAAATGTATTAATATCTCTATGTAAATTTGTTTTTGAAAAAGTAACAGCTTTCAGAGGACTCCACCTCCTTCTATGATCATCTCAAAGATTGACAGTCGACTGGAACAGTACAACCATGCAATTGAGGTACTGCTACTGTAAAGATATCTACAACTATCTATCTACAGCAGAGTTATCTAATTGAACTTTAAACTTTCTGTTTTGGATTGACATTTTATCTGTTGTTCTGGGGAGCTGTCTTGTAGTCTTGAATCCAACCAAAATCCAATCAGAAACTTGGAAAAAAAGCAAACAAGAACAGTTTCTCATACCATTAAAAAAAATCTGTTCTGTGATAAATCTCTGTGGCAATGTATGATAGTGGCAGTAATCTTTTTCGCCATCTATATCAGAAATGTGATGAGTTTACCCTGCTTCGCTCTTTAGACAGCAGTATTGTGCTGTATGGACTATAGATGTAAGGACTCAGTTCTTCAGGGGCTGTATGAATATATCAACCAACTCACATAGTGCATGTTTTCGTATTTGTGTGCAGGCGAGTTCTCAAGAGGTGAGAGATGCAAAAGCAGGTCTGTTTGATTTTCCAAGCAGCCCAGAGCCTGTTTCTGCCCGGAAGAACCTGTTCGAAGTGGGAGATGCCTGGAACCAGAATTCAGGAAAGGCTGCATCCTCTAAGGTACAATAAAATTTAATGCTTGTCCATCAGTTTGGACATCTAATCATGTTCCTCATCACTTATTATATGATAATCTCAGGAGGCAGTCATTTTCTCACATGTGCACTCACTGAACTGGGCTTAGCACAAGGATTGGGCCTCATTCACTGGTATCTTTCTAGGTTTTTTCTTAAATCTGTTCATTTCATGCTGTGTTCATAACTTTATTTGGCAGTTATTAACCCTTAAGGCCTAATCAATTCCTCACTCTCATAAGTTACATATTAGAACTATAATAGTTACCAAATAATTTACAACAGCTACTGAGTAATAGGTCTCAAGATTAATAGCTGAATAATATGCCTATGTTTCAAGAGGTTAATAACAGCTTCTATTTAAAGCACAATTTAGTGGATGAATTGTATTCAACATGAAGAAAATCATTTCATGATTTTTTACATGATTTTTATTTTAGGATACTGAGGGCTTGAAAGTGGGTGTGGCTGATCTGATCACTCAGTGGGTGAAGGGTAATCCTGATGTCAATTCCAAAACTCCCCCTTCTAAACCAACAGTCAGTAAAATCTTATTATATCAGTTATTAAACCCTACCTAGCCTCCATCAAAAAATCTCACTTTAAATTCTGTCATTTAAGGTTCTTCTCTTTATCCTCTACATCTGCTTGATCTTCATTCTTTTCATCCTCAGCTTTCTTATTTCTTCACTGGCCATATCTGCTGTTCTGCTTACTCTATCCAACTTCCAGGTAACCACTCTCTATGTCTTTTCCAACAATCTAGCCTGGTGATCTACTTGCTGGGTTCATAACATTTTCAATCCTTTTCAAAAACACCACATATATACAATCATTAATCCATAACTGAACTTTTAATTTCTGGTTACACAAATCAAATGCAGTATTTTAGAAATTCTAGCCACATCTTCTCTTCCTCTTTTCTCCTCTTCTTTTATCAGTCTAATGAAGTCAAGGCTGGTGAGGTACATCAGAAAAAGAGCCTGTGGGAGACAAAGGATACATCTAAAGCAGAGAACCCAGGTGGAAAGGTACAGTACACCGATAGTCAGACAAACTAAACTGCATTATATGCTAAATCAGCTGCTTGTTAGGTAAACCTACCCTGTATCTTATCTACACTCATCGGTCATTTTATCAGGTACATCTACCATATTGGTGCACTTTACATTATTACTGACTGTAGCTTCTCTGTTGCTATACAATTTGTCAGCTGCCATCAACAGAAAAAAAACACAATAGGACCATTGTCCTATAGGGCCTATAGGACCAATAGGACCAGATATTATTGGGGTGGTGGACCATCAGGTACATCACTGTTGCTGAAGATTTTCGTAGACCACACCTCACTGCTACTCCTATGCTGAGAATAGTCTGCCAACCAAAGACATCTAGCTAACAATAGTCCTGTGGTCAGAAACTGACAACTGAGGAAGAGCTAGAGGATGACTAACACAAATTCTGCATGAGAAAAGATCATGCATGGAAAAACGTTTTAATTGTCCAAGGTGGATCAACAAGATAGATGGGTCTATTAAAGTGGCTAACAAGTATACACAGTGTTTAAATACTCCAGTAACGCTGCTATGCCTGATATACTTGTACCAGTGCAACAAACACTAGCATGCTGCTGCCATGCCGGTGTCACTGCTGTGCCATGAACGTTCCATCAAAATAATATCTGGTCTGAGGTATTGTGGTGATCACTTTCCTTTGAGGTACTAGATAGAGGGCAGCTAGTTAATTATACGGTGACAGATGGGCTACAGTCAGTAATACCTACAAAGCACACCTATAAGGGAAGGTGTACCTGATAAAAAGGCCAATTAGTGCAGGAAAAAGTAGATTAACAGGCTTCTCAGTGTACAGTAGAGGTCTGTGCGGGACCGAGTTTGTAGACCCACTCACACCCATACCCGGAAGATTTCATCCCATTTTCACAGAAAATCTGCACTGCACTGCACTCCTGTGTGCAACGTCTCATTCCCAACCGCAAACCCAAATAGCTGGTTTTCGTCTGCATTAATTACAAATTAAAATGACTGCCACATGTAAGACTTGCTTTTATTGTTGTACGTTTGCCTTTCTTAGGAGCAGTTTCCAACATCTGTGGCTGTCTGAAGGCTCTGTCATTTCCGTAGCCTATAAGAATGCAATTTGCATGTTGTTCACATGATTGGTTACTTTAATACTGTTTAGAATGAGTTTATTCATTTTTGTTATTTTACTTTTAGATATTATTTATATATACCAATATACTAACTATTAACTGATTATCATATTATTTAGGCCATTATCATATTATTTAATTTGCAGTATTTCTCTACATGAATGTGTTGTCCCACTTCCACCTGCACAGTGTTGGTTAACCACCAGCTCCCATGCATGATACTGAAAATTAGCCCTGCACTGCATGATGTTTTGTTGGGTCCTGTGAAACAGACCTCTAGTGCACAGGCTTGCTGTATGGAGTTTGAAGTTAGGGTTATAGAAATTACATGACATTGCACATGTAAATCACAGATTTAATTATTTCTTCATTAATAAATTAATTCAGTGACATATACTTAATTACTGCCTATTTGTGTTTCCCCCCATTTTTTTAGGCAAGCATGGGTAAAAAATTTAAGTTTGTTGGGACCGGCCATGGAAAATATGAGAAGGTCTGTGTTGATGACAAAGACAGTGTCAGTCACACAAATGTAAAATCAAGTAAGGAAGTGCCCTTTCTACTACAATTTACCAGCTGAACAAAATGTGTCCTTGGCTTGTGCAGTAACTCTTTTTTATGGTTTATTTCTCATTCTGTATTATTATTTAGTAATTATATACAATAATGCTTTGCTACAGAGGCCCATCAGTTCTAAATTGCATCCTAAATATTGAGTTTAACTTTTTCCGAATGACTGAGCTAATTTCAAATTTTATCAGTCAACTAGTTTCAGGGTAATATTACCTGACAGGAAATCCATGAGGTGAGCTGCCAATGAGCTGGTATGGATTGTGCACTCTATACAAAACACATAAAAACACACACACATATGTAGGCACACACACACATGCACAATACTTACAGATACAAAATAAAGAAATACACAATCACTTGTGATATGCCTGAAAACAGGTCCATGATGAGAGCAATAACAGGAGCATAAATGGAACACCAAACAGAACATGATCAAACAAAATTGTTTTTTAATATAATTGTAATCTGAAACCATTATTTACATTTACATTTACCTTGCTATAAGTATTTAAAATAATACAGGAATTTAGCATTTAAGACTAAATAATGTTAAACATTACAGTTTGTAGTATCATAATGTAAAATCTTGATCTCACCAATTATTTATCATATCTACACAGCATATCAAGAAAACACCAACAAAAACCCAGAGATTACTTCAAACAAAATGTCCACAATAAAAAAACATTCCCACTCTGAATAGAAGCAGCGCTTCTGTAACATCACAATGAATTTTATTTCTAGTCCACTCCTTATTCTCCATGACAGCAGTGTAAACCTACGAAATGTCACATGCTAAACCTTTCTAAAGTTGTTCTCCAGCCCCAGTCAGGAGGCCCACCTGGACCGCACAGTTTTGTGTTTACTTTCACATGTCACTTCATTATCTGTTTAATTTTGTTAGGAAGTGTTTGTTGAGCTGAATTTTGTGTAATACAGTAGGAAAAACATGAAATGTGAAGGTGGGGGCTCCAGAACAAAAAAAGGTTCTTTGGAGTGCCAGAGAACAGGGTTCACCAATCTTATCCACAAAGGGCTGGTGTAACTTCAGGTTTTCATTTCAATGAAGGAAAAGGTTCAATTTATTTATTGTACTTACTAATTAGTTGATCTCAGTCTTCAAACAATTAGTCGTAGAAGGTTTGTATGTGTTTGGTTCGAATGAAAATCTAAAACCACACTGGCCCTTTGCAGACAAGATTGGTGACCTCTGCAATAGAACGACTTTGTTTCCCTAAAAGCCTTTCAATGGACAGTTCTTAAACAACCAATTAAATTTTACATATACATCCATACTAAGAACCATTTAATGACCTATTTTTAAGAGTATGTGCTACAACCTTTCCTAATGCACTGAACATCCTATTGCCCCTTGAGTAATTTCCTTCATTTCAACTTTCTCAGTGTCACATTCTCAGACCCCTGCTTACCCTCTGTCATTCTCTCACCATCTCACATGTCCCACTCCACTGTCTGCCATAGCCTGGTCAGCTGCAGCTGTCACTCTCTCTCTCATTCCTTGCAGTGCAGGAATGTACCAGTTACCCCTAGAGCATAGGACCTTTCACTGTAGCTTTCCTGAGACGGTTGCTCCATGAGTGTCAATGCATTCATTTAAAATTTAATCCAGCTTGTCTCTGTAATCATGTGAAATCACAAGGTCTTGTGCTATAATTATATTTCTAGTTAAGCATCTAGTAAATCACTACACATGAACTACATTAGTACAATATTTCTCAGCGACAGCCCCACAAATCCACTTATTTTCATTGTGCCTACTTGAAAGACACTTTTCTTCTTTTTTAAAAAGATTTAATACTTTTAAATCAAATATAACAGGTCTTTTAATTTTTTTTTTAATCGTTAAATGTTAAATTACTAATACAGGAAAATCAACCATCAGTAGACTTTGTTTTGGACATGCCAAATCCTTTAGCTGTCCGATTGAAGTCTTTGGGCTCTTCACCTTCACTTTTTCGATGTAACAGGCTCCTCTCGAATACTGTGGCAATTTTGGTTAGAGGTTTTGCAGCTGCTTCTTTTAGCTTCCTGGCATCAAAGCGCGGACTATAGAGGAGGACTGGCAGGCGATGTGCGAATAAAGGGACTTGCAACGAGTTTTCCTTTGATGTCTTGCTTTTCTCTGCATCAGATTTGTCAGCATTGATCTGCTTCATAATGTTCTCTTTGGTGGAGAACATTTGAAAGAGTACAGCATCCCACATTTTCAGTGCCCTGGGGGCCTCCTTCTGTTTTAACACATCCTGACCACCAGGTCCCTCATCAACTCCAATGGAAGTGTCTTGCCCTCTTGTCTTCCCACCACCTGCCTGCGCAGTTTTCTCATTGTCTCTCTCTGGCTCAGGAAACTTAGGTTCTTCAGGCTGCACTAGCATGTGTTTCTTCAACCGTGTCCAGCCACTGAGTTTTGCCTTCAGGCCCTTGGGTTTCTGTGTCTCTTTGCATTCTTTTTCTGCCACCCCGGTGCACTTTGCTTCCGTACCTGCTGGATGTTCACAGTTGATCTCTTGTCTGGCCTTGTTTGTTGTACTAGGCAGACTGTTCTTGCTCATACCAGATTCTCCAGTGTGAGAAGATTTAGTGATGGAAGGTCCTTTGGAATGAGGTACCTGAGGCTTAGGCAAAAGAGTCCCATCAGGGACTTTATGATCAGCATCTATCATGGATGTGGATTCAGCAGAATTGGTTAGTACTTTTGATTCTGTGGTAGAATTTGTTTTGATAGGAGGAATTTTTGATTCAGTAGCTGTGGACATGGAGGACGTGAGAGATTTTGCTGCTTTAAGCAACATGTTTGCAAGGCTAATTTCTGCGCTTTGTGGCTTGTGGAGTAGTTTAGTATGTACATGTTCTGAGGATTTAGATTCTGTTAATGGCTTTAAAGAGCAGTTTGCATCTGTAGGGGGCTTGATGTCATTGATGGCCACACTAACAGCTTTGGTTGAATTCATAGAGGATGGAGACTTAGCATCAACTTCCATTTTTTTCACTGCTTTAATTCCAGTATCAGCCTTAATGGAGTGCTGATTGTTTGTCACAAAATTTGTGCAAAGTTTGGAGTCTGTGATAGGAGTGCTACACAAGGTAGTGGGTACAACGTCCTTAGCTTTGATTGGAACCTGCTGGTCTACAAACATATTTATAGCCCTGTGTGTGGTTGCTATGGGGACAGCAGTTACATGGTTACCTGTGATGTCTGTCTTTAAGGTACTGGTGTTCATGGCAAGTGTGGGAAGTGGTTGAATATCTGATAGAATGGTGGACTGGGCATCCTTCTCTGCTGAAAACTTTATAATGGGCCTCATTCCTGTATCTAGCATTTGAGCAACTTTGGTGTCCTGAAATGGTGTCCATGAGCTTTCACTGGTTTGAGCTAAAAGTTTAGGATCTTCTGAAAGTTCTGAAGAGCATGTGGTGTGTATGGCAGGGAACATTACAGGTATAGTGGAGTCTGACTTGGAGCAACCTACACATTTTGTCAAGTCTAAATCTACAGCTTTAGCTGAATCTGACTTGGAGAAATCTCCTGGTTTAGTTGAGTCTGAGTTTAACACAACTTCTGGATTAGTTGTTGTGCCTGGGATGCTGGAAGTTTTTAAATCAGGAGGTATTGTAATGGATTGCCTGGTGTCTGTAGATGGCTCTTCAGATTCTTTGAAATTGGTGATTGACTTTTTAAATGGATTTCTTGCAGCTGTTACTGACACCAGGTTGTCCATTGATATTATTCTGTTGAGGTTATCCGTCACTTTGGCTGTACTGGAAGAGTAAATTATTTGTGAGTCAATATGTTTTGTCTTTGGAACAGCAGAGTTTGCTTTATAGGAAACTGGTTGCACTGGTCTTGTTTGCACTGATGTGGGGTCACATTTTTTTGTTGGATATGTAGATTTGGGTACATTCTCTATCTCTGCTGTTTGCATTGGAATATTTTGCACTGATAAAAAAATCTTTGTTGATAGTCCTGCTGTATTTGAGTTCAGAATATTTGATTGCACCATGGGAAAAGAATAAGTTGGCATTTTTTTCCCAAATGTCGAAGCTGAAGTAATGCCAGTGCTTGCATCTCCTAGGTTAGATGGCCTTGGAGTCTCTAGCACAGGTGCAGCACTGGAAGAATTTACTGGAGTTCTTTTGGTTGCAGCTTGATGTCCATGACATGCTGATGATTCATGATTAACAGTCCGGGATTTTGATGTTACTTCAGATTTAGCCTCTTCTTCCTTTAGAGCAACCTTTACTATATCAGAGGGAGGAATTTTGATGGCTTGAGTATTGGGCAAGTCAGGTAAGGTTTCTGTCTGTCTGATTGGAACTTTTGAAAAAACTGTAGTCACTGAGGTTCCTGATGAGGTTTGTGGAAGGACAATTCCTAAAGTGTCAGATCTGTCAGTGAGCACTTCAGCATTGGAAGTTGTTTGCAGAAACGTTTCCTGTGATATTTCAGCAGGTGAATTTGGCGTTGAATAATTACTTTGAGAATATTCAGAATCTTCAGATATTTCAGGAGGGGATTTCGGAGGACAGTTAAATGTGCTGTCTCTGATTCCACCATAAGCAATATATTCCATTGGTGTCAATCCATAGTATGTTGACTTTGTTTTAGGTATGTTAGGTAGATTTTGTACAGTGTTAGGCCCCTCTTTGCCAAGAAACCGAGCTGGAGGTCTGGGTGACCAATAGACAGGAGTGTTTGGGGTCTGGTATGAATAAGGAGTAGTGGAAAAATTATGTTCACGACTTATGGCCCTTGAAACACTTTTAGCTGGTGTCACTGCACTAGACTTTGGTGGAGTTGTATGTATCACACAAGTTTTTGTTTCAGCTGTTTGATTTTGCTGTTTAGGTGCAGAGTTGAATATGTCACATGCTCTTGATTGTGGAATAGTCTCAGTTGAAATGGTCTTAGACAATGAAATTTCAAATCTTGAGAACTTTTTGGTTAGGTTTTTCTCAGAATATGCTTTAAAAATGGCAGGCTTCACATTTCTGTCCAAATTAAGCAATCCATTTGGTGCAGAATACATCTTTTTATTCTCAACAATTGGTTTGAGGCTATTATCATTTCCTGTTGTCTGAAAAATCTGATTTGGACTTTGTAATTTGGATATTAGTTCTTGATGACTTGTTTGGTTGGTTCCCTTAGTATTTGGCATGGACACTTCCATGGAGAGGGGAAAAGTAGGCTGTGAAGTCAATGAAAGGGTGTTAGCATTGAAGTCTTCAAAAAAAGGTGGTCTTGTCATGGTTACATGAGACATAGTTGTCTTTAGTTCACCAGGGAGTGCACCATCTGAAGATACCGTCTTGACTTGTTGTGTACTAGATGAAGATACCCCTTGATATACTGGACTTAATCCCATACTGTCTTGGAGAGGTGGCTTTGATATTTCATAAAATGTAGCTTTTGAAGTATAAATCCTCTTTTGTGGAAAATCAGATGAATTTTTCATTTTTGAAGTGTCCATAGCAGCTTCATGAGATGTACAAGATTGCTTGGAAATTGTCTGCATGACATGATTATCTGTCAGAAGACTGTTAGTCCACAGTGAAGGCCCTGTATTTTTAGATGCATCCCCAGAAGGCTGGCTTACTGCTGCCTGGACCAAGGAAGAAGCAAGGGGTGGGGCCAAATGTGAAGCACTTGGCTGAACAAGAGCCAAGGAAGATGTTTGTGTTTCCGCTGAAGCTAGATTAGTGGCTGCAGAATGACTAAATGTCTGAGCAAATGTAAAAGGCATCGGCATTTGTTGCACATTCACTTGATTTGTGACAGAGGTTCCTGAAATACTGAATGTGAAATTTTGCCCAAAGTCTATCTCAGATGTTGGAGTGGGTTCTGAGTCTGTGACCAGGTCACTGGCATCGTCAAACAAAAAAGAGGAACATGTATAGAGTGGGGCTATTTGGTGGTCAGAAGATGGAGCTACGTATGTCTGCGAAGAAAGAGCGGGCGTTGAGCTGTAGTGAGGACTATAGTAAGAGCAGAGATTTGGGGAGCTGGAGTAATGGTAGGGGGATCGGACAGAAGAGTTGTGAGACTCAAGGGTCCTTTGGTAAAATGTTGTCTCTTGAGAATTGGGTATGTTGAAGGTACTGCCATAGACAGGTGTCTCTGGAATTGTAGGGGGAGTAGAGACATCACTGTGCTCCTGGTCTGGACTGGCCTCACTTACAGGTGACAGGCTTGACCGGAATGGGATGGGGGTCTGAGAGGAGGAGCCCACTTTCTTCTTGAAATTTTTCTTTATCAGCTTCTGCAAGCGGGCATTGTCCTTTCCTGGCTTGGGGAGGATAGGGGGCGGGTATTGTTGGGAGAGCGAGCCAGAATCGCTACCATAACTTACTGCCATTAGCATTTCAACTCCTACGAAAACACAAACATGCTTAATTAAATATGTGGCCTGTGCTAGCCTTATGTTTTCCCCCTAACCTAAAGGCCTTGCCTCATCTTATCTTCATAATGTTTAGGATGCAAATACACTGAGGAAAAAAATTATCAAATTAAATTTTGTGTGTACAAAAAAGATCGATTCAAACACTTCCCATTGCAAGGCAACAAGCAAGAGACCCTGCTTGGGCAAACTGAAAGACATGATCATGTTCTAGACTAATTATCTGTAAAATGATCATAACTGCAGTATTAGAACATTCTGCAGTTTATAATAAAAATAAAGGGAAACAGAAAAAGATTGTATTGTATTGTACATATACTGTAAATAAACATATGAGAAATTTATTGCTGCTCTCATAACAAACATCCTATCTCCAAAATGGAAATAAGAGATAGGAGAAATAAGAGAAGGCGGAAAAAAATCTTAATGTTAATGTATGTTATTTTCCAAGAAATGTTGGACATTGGACATGTTGTCATTCCTATTCCATTCATCATGGGCAGCTGGCATTTTCAAAGGGTGTATAAAAATAAACAAATTAATTAATTATGTGACGTTGAACTTACTGTATCAAGAGCTGGTGTTTCATGTGTTTATCATGCTTCAACTAAGTATGACTTAGAACTTTGTACTAAACGCTTTATAATAATTTCCAAATATCTATCCTTTTCAGGCCAGTAGCACCATGAAGATAACGCAAGAGGCAAGCACCATGAAGACATTTCTCTGAAGCAGTGATAATGGATGATTTCTTCAATTTGTTAATTCATTCTTCTTTAATTCTTTTGTTTATGATTTATTCTTTTCTCTGAAAGCTCCACAGTATTACACATAGCATTAAAACTTGTTATTAAACCTAAAGATTAAAGTCATTTCTTACAGGCATATTTTAAGTCATATGAGAATAATCTCTAGTCATTCATATTGTGATGTACTTGCATTTCTGTTGCCCAACTATCATGTTGTAGTGGAATAGATGCACAAAGGTTAAACAATGCAAAGCAGTAAACTGGCTTTACTCAGACAATTTCCTGGCTCTTTATTAAAGGTACATGTTAAAATAAACATATAAACTTTTCACCTTGACTGAATGGAATACTTTTCTAAGTTAACACAGGGGTGATTATGAACAGGTCTATACCTGCACTTCACTGTTCTGAGACCTGTTAGGAAATAAGAAATGGATCAGACTGACACCTGAAACCTACCTCTCCATTTTAGGCACTGCCAGCCATGACACATGACACACTTTCCATTTCAGCTCAAAAAAGAAAGATTAATAATAACATAAAAAAACCTAATTGAGTAATAATAAAACCATGCATTGAACTTGATTAAGTGATTTTATATAAACGACAGGTTTATTTAGTACATGTTTAGCACAAAAAAGCTAGATAACTTAAAATATGGCCAGACATGAAGTAGTGATGCTTCTGCAAGGACAGAAAAGAGAAGCCATAGAAATGTAGAATATCCAGACTATTGTGTACATTTGTGCATTGCATTCACGCAAACACAACTGGGCTTCACATTTAAGATTTCGGATCTTACAGCAAAAGCATTTGTGGGCAAGCGTCAGACACTGATTGCAGATGTGCTTTCAGTAAATGAACAGGTTACAGCTAGGAGCAGAAATGCATGGTTAATTATGTTTACCTTTGCAAGGGTGGCAGCAGGCTGAGTGTGTCTGTAGGCTTGAGCTCAGAGTGGCCAGACAGTAGCAGAGCAGAGCTGCGCGGTGACCGACCCCTTAGCCATACCAAAAATAAAACCACTTGCACTAAATTCAGGGAGCAGTAACCATGCAGGGGGTTTCCACTTCACCTGAGAACTATGACAGACATAACGAGGGGTGTGTGTGTATTTGCGTACCATCATGGTGCTGTTTTAGCTTTAGGTGGATAGGAGAAGTTTCTTGCACTTGTCCAGGCTCTGCTAGAGGGAGTTACTGGGATTTGCTGGAGCCCAGTAGAGTGCGTGGGTCTTGGGGAAAAAAGGAAAGGATTTACTGGGGAATGAGGATTGTGAGTGTGTCTCAGATGATTAAGACTGTTTATTATTTGTCCTCTTTTTGTCCTATTTTGTTTTGGTTTGGCTTTCATTGTTTACACAGTTTACATGTTGTTCTTTTATTTATCTGCCAGATAAATAAATGTAAATGAATAAATGCATTAACTGCTATTGTGAATGCAGCCAGAAAGAAACATCTATTCAAGCCAACATAAACACTTTGATCAACACCTTGAGAAAAATACATTTAAGACCATTTCTCCATGCAGAATATTGATCCTTGGTTATGTATGGGGTCTGCACACTAGTTCATCCCACAGGTTTTAATTATATCAGTCATTGCAAATGCTTGACTGTGGACCATGAGAAATTCTTGACATATGAATCATTGACCTACTAGAAGAGCCAACGACAACGCAATTGTTGCATCAGAGCAGGGGAAACCACATTTTGTTCTAAAATACATGATGCCATATGTCCTAACAGGGGATATTGTTGATGTCTGAACTTGTTCTTTTTTGACATATATTACAGACCTAGACAAATGACAGAGACACCCTCTGTCATTTATCTAGGTCTGTAATATATGTCAAAAATTAGTAAAGCCACCACTCGTTATTCCCCAAACTTGCATTGATAAAAAAATACAGTACTGTGAAAAATGTCTTCATTTATTTAATTTCCAGTCAAAAAAGCCATTAAGTATGTTATTCACTTTTCAGGAGATATTTCTCCTATAAAACAAAGTCTACAGGTATTTCTGTCCATCCTTCCACTCTGAAAAGACAACTCAAGTCTACAGGTCTGAGAAGATGTGTAGCTGTCAAGAAGCCATTACCGAGAAAGGGAAACAGATGAAAAAGAAAAAAAAGGGCAAATCAAACAAAGAAGCTGCTGGTGTTCTCAGAACAATGGGCTGTTCTACCCAGTGCCCAGACCTCAACATCACTGAATTTGGGATTAATCGGATTATGAGAAGCAGAAAATGCAACCAGCTTCTGCGACTGACCTTTGGCGGTGTGGAAAAATATCCCCATGATAGATTCCTGTACCATAACATACTGTTCCCTTTTGTTTACATCAAAGATAAATAAAAACCATCAAAAAATGTCATGTAGTATCTCACTCTGAGCAGACTGTGACCTATACAGCAGTAAGCTTTTGTCTTGAAAAATGTTTTATTGTAAATGATTCATAAACAAATGATATGGTTGTGCATGCAGTGCAGTTTAAAAGTTAACCTGAAATTGAAACCTTGTATTTTAACGTTGTTAGTTCATGCCCCTTTGAAACACAAAATTCTTATTTCTCCATAACATTTAATCAAAATTTAATGACTATTGCTCATGTCTGAAATGTCTTCTGAGTTTTGATTTATGTCACTATATACCAGTGAGCGGGGAAATTAACCAATAATATCCTGTTTCACCTCACCACCCACCACCCCCACCTATGACTGAGCAAAAAAACTCAGCTAGCTCAGAGACCTTTCCTGATAATGTGTTTCACTTGGAAATATGTCTAGGTACAGAAGAAAAATGCATTACGATTTCCAATTACTGTTGACTTTAAGTCAATAAGAAAGGTTCCTGTAACAGAGAAGGAGTCAAAGTAAAAAAAATACCAATTTACATGAAAAAGGAGAGTTATGTGTTAGTAAGTGTGTATGGATCATTAATCCATTAGTCCAGAGTTCAAAACAAATTTTGAACTTTTGATTGACTTAGACTAAAATTGTTTTGCTTTGAGTGACCCTATACCAGGGTTGAGCACCCAATGACACCAGCTACCCCCTGCCCCCCTGTTTTTTTCCCCCCATTATATCTTATATCATTCTATAACATTAATTAGCTGATACACATACAGACAGTACTATTCTAGCACCTTGGCTTTAATATCAACACAACACCAATGCCACAACAGCTAGCTTCTCTCACTCCAATTCAAACAGTGGACAGTGGTTAATTGACAACCTGCAAAAAAAACCTACCCACAATAACAACACAAAGAGTGAGCTGTGATTCAATGCAGCAAAAATGAGGACTGCTGCTAATGACTGTAATGTGCTGGTGCTGAGTGATATAGTAAAGAAATCCTGGTCTGCACTACTTACTGGAGCCACGACACCACAGACAGTCAAACAGTAACTGGCACGAGCGTGTGTGTGTGTGTGTGTGTGCGAGCGTGCACTCTTTGCACGGCTTCGAGGAGAGTGGGGCGGGGAAGGAGTAGGAGAGAGAGAGCTTGCTAATCAGAGACAAGCTTTCATAAAAAAACCCCAAAAAACTCAATTTAGCACCCCTAAATAGGAGCTAGACATGCTTTAGCCCTATATCTTAATTATGTTTATTTTATTGAAATGATTGAAAATCAGTGATGTTTTACTAGACTCAAAAGTCACTAGCTAAATAGTCATAGCACTACTGAAACTACCAAGTGTTAGAGATAATTTTAGCTAATTTCGAGGAAAGCTCAAAAAAGCTAGCCAGTAGATTACTAAGAAACACAGTTTTGAACAGCTGTACACACATAAAATCATAATATTTTTCATTGAAACATAAAAAATTCCTTAGTTACAGAAAATATGTGTGTTTTTGTTGTACACAAGAGTACACATTGCTTTTCAGACTTTTGGATTTCACAACAATGGGATCTAACTGCTTACCATGTGGCCTGGAGGTACAGGGTCTCACGTCCTGCTCTACAATGCAGCAGTGTGGCTAAAATAATGCTTTACTTTTTGTGTTACAGTTGTGACATGAAAATGAGGGCCAGCATTTTTTTGAATAGCAAGGAGGGTTTTTTTTATTTAAAAATTAAACTTACAATAAATCTAAATGTTCAACTTTTCGTTAAAAAAATTAAATAGATCTTTGAAAAAAACACTGAAAAAAGTTTTAAATTCAAATTTAGGGGTTTTGAGACAGCCACCACCTAAAAGAAAATACCTTATAAAAGATGATTTTGCATGTATTCATCTTATGACTGTCTCAATTAATGGCACCAGTTTAAATAGACCATAACATTATCCTTCTACATGTCTAGATCTGATTACTTCTTTTTTTAAAAATAGTTTCTTTTTTACTGTGGGTTCACAGTTTTAACTAATTTGGTAGAATGGTCCCTATGATATGTATTCTATAGGTGGTGGTGTAAAGTTTGATGTTGACATGAATGTGACTAGCACACATATTTATACAAAATATAATTTAATATATAAAAACATAAATAACATATAAAACAGTAACAAAAAAATCTATATCTATGAAAGTAAAATTTCACATAAGAATTTTTGTAGCCTATTTGTCAACATACTCTGGAGGTGGATTTCTGGGAAAATAGGAATTTTTGACAACTGGTGGAATGGTGAGGTACTGCAGAATTCATGCTTTTTAAATTGATATCCAAGTTGAATATACATTTTTGGCACATATTATTATGACTTCACTGGTTAAAATAATATTTTAAGACATTTTTAGATAAATAAATATGACCACTTTCCCAAATTATCAACACACAATCATACTGTTGACTGACATCCGCAGTAGCGGCCTCATTAGAGGACTAATCAGACTTAAGGGTCTCTTTATGTGCAGTTTTTGGCAATCATGAAGGAGTGAATATTAAAAGGGTTAATCATTGGCCATTTCCAGCCTTTTATGGGTCAATAAAGGGAGTGGATCAATGCATGTGCACACTGTCCCAAATCCACACTGATTTTACCATCTTCGCTCTTAATTTATGATGATGAAAAGCATCTACACAAAATTAAAAACATATCCATTTCATCTTAGTAGGGATTCTACATATATTTTCATACTTATGACCCCAAATGACATTTTTGTGCGTCAAACCTGCAGCATAGGTGACTGGCTTCAAATGCTTTGTATGGTTACTGTAGCTTCTCTGAGAATTGTCTTCAGCAAAAGCAGCAGGGGTCAAAACATAGGGCAGGCAAAACAATTTTAGTAAAGTCAATATTCCATGCAAAATAGACAAAATAACAGTCACTGGATGAACTGAAAGAAATTGACAACAGTACTGAAATACAGCCCAGAAATATACTTAACATGTGCACAAGCTCACAAACAAAACCTGGGAGAGGAGGGCTGACAGATTCTTTGACATTATGAAATGATTGCAATAGAGGCATTTTTCCTAGCAAGTCTACCAAATAGCTTGTTGATATAGAGCAGGAGGCATCACTTCCGGTCCTGGAAGTCACAGTTGGGTGATTTCCCTGTTCAAAAACAGAGATGAAACCTGGTAATTAACTGATGGATTGCATCAGGTGTGTTTGAGCAGGAAAACCACAGATAAATGCAATAAAATTCTCCACTTGTGAATTTTTAATAATTTTTTGGATTATCAAACCTTTCACATTGTTAGTTGGAAAAAAGACATTTTCTTTCCTGTGTTGACAAATAAATAAGGGAGTTTGTCATGAGTGTTAATTGATATGCTAATAACCATATAATAGGCCTGTTACAATCAAGGGATTTTAGCTAATGTTTAATTGCCATATAGAGAATTGCATTTAACAATTTAATTGTTGGCTGGTTTAATTGGCTGGCTGTTAATACTTACTAGCTCATAACTGATGACAGAAACAGCTCAAATAAATAAACATGACTCACGACTGCCATGTAAAGGTGTTATAGCACCATTAGAAGTTAGTACTAAGCACCGTTAGAAGTTACTCCTTTGTTTTCTTTTACATGCATTTACATACAACCCAACAGAAAAAATGCACCCATTTCACACTCTGGTTGTTGCAACGTAAACATACGATTGTGAAAGCCAACAGCAGTGCAAAATATTTGTGATCAGGTGACTGTGTAATAATTGTGATAGGCCTACCAATTTGGTACAACATCCTTTATGTTTTAAATGTTTAAGTGTTCATTTTACATTTCTTTGATTTGTCTGCAGCAGTAATAGTATCATTGGCCTATAAATTCCCTTGTGTATGGGCTATGGCTTTATATCCAGCAGGCCCAGAGAGTGTCTCATATACCCTTAAAACACACAGAGAAATTTTTCACATGCCAGGCTCATGTGTAAGCAGTCCAGGCTTTCTCACCCCGTCAGCTTGCCCTTATTTTTGCTCACCTTGTATTATGACAGATATAGCATTGAGACATCCCAGCTGAGTGTCCTTCCATTTGGCTTATTCTCTTGATCTCCTTATTGAGCTATGGGTGTTTGTGTGGGCCTATGTGTGCGTAGGGGCGGTTCTGAAGATGCAGGTCCACCTCAACTGCCTGGATTACCCTCTCAGCCAATAAGGGTTAGAAGATTATGTATCACTATAACATAGGACCAAATAAGTGTGGCAGTGTAGAGAACCTTGCAGCCAGTCTCCAGGACACTCTCCTCTTTCTGCTTGTCTGAGGTAAGATGCTCCAAGATGTTGAGATGGGTTGCAAGTTTAGCTGAGAGAGTAGTGGAAGTCCTAGATGGTTTCTGATCATTGAGCGAGGACAGTTATCAGTTGTTCACTCTTTTGGTTGTTAGTATTCTCTTTAATTAACTCCAAAAATGATCTCTTTTCAAATGATACGTTTTAGTTTCAGCAGTGCTTAATTTGACGTGTGATGTCTTGGTAATGGCTCATTGGTAAGATGAGATAGTGTTTGCAAAGAACAAGAATAATTTATTTAACAAAACTATGATAACGATTTTATTTTACTCAAGTTAACTGATGAAATTTTCAGAAGATGGTTCATAAATTTTAATGTCAAAAATTGAGCAGGAATCTACCAAGACCAATAGAATACAACAGGCCATGTCAAGTGGGACCACTTTTCAGCAGTCAAAGAGGGGACCTCTTTGGGTTAACACACTCTAAATCCACTATGGCCAATGCAGTGTACTGTGGGATTTACAATGGCTTTACACCGTGTTACAATACTAGCAGCCTCATTGTTGGCAATGACAATACAGGATTAGAAAGAAATGGATGGAATGATAATGGCTAGAATGGCCTGAAATGCTTTAATGCTTTAATGGTTTATCTGCCAACTTTAAACTAACAGTTCATTAATGACCACTGGCATTATTACTAATTATCTTAAAGGATCAAATGTTTATTCTAAATCAAAGTTTTAAAAAGAAAGTTGCCAAAAAAGTTCTTGGAGCAATGCCATACAAGAAAGCTCAAAACGCACTGCCCTTTGGCTGTTAAGTGTTTTAAATTTTTGCATTTCTCTGACAAAGAATTATTGTCTATGGTAAGTACATGTATGCTACAGATGCAGCAGATAAAGATTATATTGAAAAATACTGGAATATAATTTAAAAACCATCCATTGAAAGGGAACTTTGCATGTTTAGTTTTGACCAATTTGCCTTCAACTAATTCATATATATCACATATCAGTTATATTATATATTGACTATTTTCGGCAGAAGATAATGTATTAATTTCTGGAATCACAGAAGTTCTGAAGTAGCATGACCATCTGCCATTTCTCACTCTCTCATTTACTGAGGTGTTAGGATTGCTGAGGGTTATGCCCACATAAGGATGGCAGAGAACCTTGAGCAAGGGTCGCTGCTGAGAAATACAATCTTCTGATAATCCTCCAAAATTTCTGCAGCTGTGCTGAAGCTGCACCACAGAATGCCCCCGAGCAGGGCATTAAACTCACATATGAAAGGAAGCTACTCACGATTCATATTATGTATTGATATCATCAGGTCTGTTTTAAATAACTCTTAAAAATACAAGAAACTGTCACTATAACTCAGAAATATGGCCACTATGTGTGATGTGGCTGGGAACAACAACCTGATTAACCACAATATAGTGAGGAGAGCTGATCATCCAGATATACAGATATCATTGTCATCACATCAACCTTTCTTAACATTTTATTTGGAGTTATTTTACAGTTTGAGAACACCAGTTGCCAATTCATGTGGAAATGGTTAAAATGGTCCAAAATTACTTACACCAATGTACATTAAAATTAGGAAAGTTTCTTTGCTACTTCTACAAAGTTAGAATTTCTGAGATGAAGCTCTGTTACAACATCAATGATATGTTTGTTTGCGTGTAATCAGATAAAAGAGATGTACAGTAGTCTTGAGATATTTGGAGTGATGAGGTATAGGGCAAGTCTGTCATCATGTCGTTGAGAGTCAGTATGCAACCAAGGGCTTGGGTTCTCTGTGCGACAGGAGCAGAGCATGCACCCTTAAACATAAAGGTGCCAATAGTGGTTCTTTGGAGTGATAAATGAATGCATAATGTAAAACCAATGGTTAAAACTAATAACCATTCAGAAACCTTTGCTTGAAAAAAAGTAGAATACGATGCAACTTTCATTCTCAAATATTATTACGTATTTAATAAGAGAAAGTGTTTTTTTCTGCTTCAGCTCTAACTTGTGTGGGCACTATGTCTGACACAGAGGATGTGTGAGTATTTATTCTTTTGTTTTTTCATTATATCATTCTGTTGAAAACATGATCATACTCATTTTACACTCATAATGTTTTTTTTTTTGTCTTTTTCAGTGATGTTGAGGGTGAGTATGACATACAAGGTGATGATGCTAGTGATTTGTATTATTATTATTATTATTATTATTATTATTATTATTACCAGTGTACAGCCATATAGTATGTGGGATATCTAATGTACATTGCACTGAGTTTACTATATTGTAATTGCTTCTTTCCCTGTAAACATACTTATAATGTTAGCATTGTTTCTGCTTTTATTCCAGCATTTACAATGCAGTTACTTGGTGATGCATTTGTGCTCATTAGGTTTGAAAGTCAGACTATTGTATAAATATGAAAACATGTCTGTAGCCTCATCCTGCAGGTCTAGGATATCTCAATTATTCGGTCTATCCCCTGATTAAACAAGCTTTTCAGAACCTCTCATACTGCATACAGTGTTGAGGTAGTGCCATCTGCTGTTTGGCAGTAACATATGTCTGGTCTGAGTCTGAGGACCTAATTTAAGAACATCCTTGTAGGCGCAAAGGGCAGTAGAATTAGGCTCATGTTACTGATGTTCTCTGAGGACAGTGTTGTTTTGGGACTGTACTGGCCACACATTTGTTTAAAGCTCCTGTTTCAGGACTGTCTATATTTAGCAGGTACTTAATCAATTAAAAAAGAACGATCATCAGAATGTAATTTTGTGAAAACAGTGTCCTCACAGAATACTGCTGAGTAGAAGCATGTGCAGTTGTAATGTAATAATTATTGAAATAGCATGAATTGTAATTGTGTCCGTTTATTGCTTTCTTTCTTGGCAAATGAAGAATACGAAGAGGAAGGTAAAAGAAAAAAAGGCGATTGTATCGTCACTTGGTCTTCCACCATACTAATTTATCCACATTTCCATCCTTACGTTTGATGATAACTGCCCTTAACCTAATGCTAGATCACGTTTCATCATTTTATTACTAATTACACAAAATATTAATTTGAGTCTGACATTCACTTTGTATGGATAACTAAAATAAGTCACAATTAAGGGAATTTTCATAATTGTTGCTTTCACTAATGCATAAAACTGACCTCTCTCTGTCTGAACTTTATTTAGTCAGTGTTGTTATAAAAGAGACTGAAATTGAGCTTAGCACATTCATGTAACATCTAGGGAAGCTAACCTAACATAACACATTCATCTGGTTGCCAACCAAACTTGGCACGGTTATTTGGCTGTTAACTAAACTTAACTAAATTTAGCACAATTATTTGGCTGCTAACCAAAGCCCTGTTAGGATATTACTGAACCTAAGTGTATATTACTTGTGTAAGTGTTTGGGGTTTCTGAAGAAGACCTTTCTAATTTCATTTTGTGTGACAAGCTAGCTAGGAGCAATGCCTCATCTGAATTAACATGAGATACTTATTAATTAAGTCATTCCACATGGTGGACAAAAACTAATGATAAATACATAGTGCAGGGCAAAAGGTTGGTTGGTTGTTATTGGTCATTAGCCAATGAATGTCACTGATTCAAGTGGACCCCCTCTCATTTTATGTGTGTATTTTATGCTCCCCCAAACAGAGTGCAAATGTTACTGATAATGTTATAATAGCACCTACACAATGGGAGCATTAAAAAAGAGTTGCATGTGATGTAAGTACGCTAATATATTAGTCATATTACTCTGCGTTAATTTCTAGGAAATGTTTTGCATCACCTGCCTCAACAAGAGTTTGCTGTAAAAGTGCAGTTCTTTTAATCTTGTCTAATAACCGTGTTACAGCTTTTAGTTGGAAAATGAACTGCAAGTTGAGCCATTAACTGATAGAGTGTAGAGTAAATGCAGTGAGAATGCAAAAAATCTGTGATGAGATGAATACTAGAAACCTTAGATATGGATAACCATTTTTGCCATTTAGTATACCCAACCAGATTTTTTTATATAATTATGAGCAAACAAGGGTGCACAGTGTCTCACTTAAAAAATATTGAGGTAATATATTTTGTAGTAGTAGTATTATTGTTAATAACCATCTGCAAAACTGCCACCATGAGATCCTGTTGGTGTGGGTTTTCTCTATTTCAGCAATCCACACAAATCCTAATAGAAAAATAATAGCTCCCCCTTGTGGAGAAACATCAGCCTGCTAAAAAGGTTAGCTATTGGCCAGGTCAGTTAGATGCTTGGCATCTAAAAATGAGGTGGGGATGGGTCAGGGCACCTCCAAAGTATAATCCTCAGGCCTCCTATAGTCTATGATTTTTCTAATAAGTGACTGCTAACTAAACTCACCAAGGGTGCCACTTGAAAAAAAATATGGACAACATAGTTTTTATTATGAAATATCCTTTACAACTGCACATTTTGTGGCATCTGAAGCCTTGACATTTTCTGTACCAATCTTTTGATTGTCTAATGATTTGTTCTCCTCCTGTCCTCCCATGTGCTCCCTCTCACTCATTTATCCGTCCTCTCTTTCAGTATCCCAGCCACTCTCTCTCTTTAACCTGCAAATCATCTTTCATTCCTAACTATGCCGTCTCTCTTTTCTGCATTTAAATAACCGGCACCACCTTCCTCCCCCTGGTTGCTTGCTGCATGCGGCATTAGCTGGAGAGGTAGTAGAGGTAGAGGTAGCCCCAGAAGCAGCCCCAGAGGCTGAGCCAGAGCCAGAGCCAGAGTCTGAGCCTCAGCCCGAGCCTGAGCCAGAGCCTGAGGAAGAACCTGAGCCTGAGCCAGTACAAGAGGTGCATGAGGAAGGTATGTGGCATGGATATTCATTCATCCTTCCCTACCCATTCACCCCAACAGCTCAAATAAGAACTACAATCAGACAGTGCACCTTAAGTGCCACAGTCCCAAATCAAGTTAATTTAGTACTTAGTTGAGTGCTTACCATTACTCAAGCTAAAGTGCCTCCTCTTCATATGTTCCCACTGTGAAGGTGGCATGACTGTAGAGGCAATAGAGCCCTTTCAGTCAATGAGCCAAGACCTTGACCAGGAATTGGAAAAAATAGGCATCTAACAAACAAGGTTTACTTTCCAATTCCAGTTTACCTCTGATATGGCTGCAACTGAGCTGTAGCTCAACAAACATGGCACTAAAACCCATTTTAAAGGCTTCCACAGAGCGTTAGCTGGCTAGCTGAGTAGTGCAAGTGAATGCTTTGAGCAACCAGGACTTTCCTTGGATTAACCATAGCATCACCGGTGCTCATGCAGCAGTGATGCCAATAAAATACTCATGCTAATGCCTCCATGCTTTTTCCCCCATATTTGAAAACACCAAGAGATTCTACTACTGCTGCTAGCATAAGGCTAAAATGGCGTTACTGTTACTGTTACTGCTACTGCTACTGTTGCTGCTAGTATAAAACTTTTGTTGGACAGACAGAGTATCTCACAGGTGTTGTGCTATTGCATGAACACGCTGATGTTACTGCTGTGTAATACTAATGTATTAATATACATGGAAAATGAGGGGATATTTTCATAAGAACTAAAAAGGTCACTGCTAGGAAATTAATTATGATAATATTGGGTAATTTACTTTGTTAGCAGTCCGAAACACCTCTGGTATTTGGGGTTATTCAACACTTATTTTGTTCCATTTGAGTTTCCAAACATGAAAAAGTTAGGGAAAAGTGTTGCATGTTGCCATTAATGACATATTGACTGAGCTTAATGATGAAGGTTGTTTTATAAATCAATTGTTGCCATTTGCTGATGTCGTGTTGGGTTTTTTTCATTAAATAGGTTTCTTTACAAAATGAGCACCTCAATTTATGTTACTGTTCAGCCAAGCTCTGCATTAGAAAGTATGTCAGCTCTGCTTAACTCTAGGCACAGAACTGTCCAGCTAATGTTTTCTGTTCTGCTCTTGCTTTCACTGCTTGCTGCATGCAGAGGCCTATGAAGAGGAAGGTATGTTGGTCATTCTCTTATAGTATACATGTACTTCGGATTGTAGCGAAGACAAAAGTAAAAATGTATACATGCAGGAAAGCTGGCCGTGTTTATATATTCCTACAATTCTAAATGCTGTTTCCATTTACAACTTTTAAAACAGTTCTGTAATGTAGTGGGAATGCAGGAAATAGCCCTAAGCATCCTGCTGCCTTTGTTGACACTAAGGGCAGGAGATAAAAGGGTGAAGGAATATGTAATGCTGACATTTGCTTCTAACTGCGCAGTGACCCCACTGCTCACCTCTGCTTTGCTTTTCTCTTTTTGCATGAAATGTGCCATACCAGTGGAGGAGGGAGAGCAAGATGGTAGTTTGTATTGTATTTCCTGCTGGTACACCTGATAATTTGGGTGTTGACTTTGCTTGTGGTTTGGGTGTGAGGGTCAAGGTTTACAACCCCCCAAAAATGTTGTTAGGATAAACAACGCACCATCTCAAGCAGTTCAGAAGGTTAAATCTGATTTACCCTTCTCATGTCTGTATTTGAAATTTAAAATTTACATTGGTTCTTTCATTCTCTGGACTTGCTTGAGCACAAAACTGAGGAAATGTTATAAATCATTAATTCAAATGAACATACTAAAATTTAGTTGTCTAGCATAAATTAGAAAATATATTAACATTCCCCAACCTGTTTGAAAAGAGCATAGTAATTGAAGATGTAGATAAATTAGGGATGAAAAGGTGATTATGTAGTCTTGTACTTTGGTGGTAGGTGTCCCCCCGTGTGTGTCTACTCACACTCATATATGTCAGTATCTGTTTATTCGTTGTCATGTATTGGTTGTATGTATTGTATGAATTTGTTTCAGTGTGTCTTTCAGTAATGTGTACATTAACATATATGAAAGTAGTTCTCAAATTAGAATTCCTCATTTTATCTAAGTGATTTCTGTCTGAGAAGTCAGTTTGAAGGAACTCAGCAAACAAGGGTTAATTACAATTATATAATTATTTGCAGTGTCTGCCACTGTTAAGAAATACAGTCACCATTTTGCGATTGGTCAATGAGCTTGAGACATTTTTATTATCTTTAAAAAGCAGACAGACAAGCTCCCAAATGGTGGAGCTAGCTTAGTGTTCGCCTAATTGTTGCAAGATTGCATGTTCAATCCCTGACAGCACCATCTGTATTCAAGAGCCTAAGAGAGCGTAAGTGGCCTCACTCTCTTTGGGGTGAGTTGGATGGTCTGTTTTTCTACCTCCATCATTACACCCAGTACATTGCTAGCCAACACAGCTAGCACTGTTAGCTGATGTAACAGAATGGCCAGTTAGTCTTCTTCTCCAAGCGTGTTCAGCTGTCCAGTGACATTGTGTTAGCAGCAGTTTGAAAAGATGTTGTGGCTGGCTTTAAGTAACTTAGAGGAACGACATTAGCCCTCACTGTGTTAGCCTAGGCTTGTGCGATATGAGAGACCAAGCTAACGAGTTGGAATTGACTAAATTGAAGGGAAAATTTGAGAAAAAAGGTCTGTATATTCCCAAAAGTCAGTATATTTCCAAAAGTCAGTATGCAGCACTGAGAACAATAGCAATAACATTTAGTTAGTTACTCTTATTTAATATTTCCAGTAGATTCTAAAATTAATTTTCATTCAAAATTCCAAAAAAGCAACCTTAACTAGCATATCTAGAGCCCTTGTTTGGTGGAAATGTTGGATTTTACGGTGTTTTTGTTACATTAAAAACATTCCTGCAAATTGACTTGAAATCACATATTAAGTTATGATGTTGCATGGAACACTACTTTAAGTATGTTTTCCTCTCATTATGTTTACCTTACTGGTAAACCACAGGGCCCTGAGTGGGTGACACTAAGATTTAACAAAATAATTAAGTTTTTAATGTTTAACACAATTCCCTCCAACTATTGCTGTAGCACCTTTGACACTTTATGAACACTGTATCTCTAACATGTGTAACATGTCCCTCTCCCTTTTTTATGTTCTTGTTTGTAGAAGAGAAGCCAAAATACAAGTAAGTGGAAATGACATTAAAATGTTTTACTTTTCCAGTTTAGGAATATTTATCCACATCTTAAAAACAAACAATACAGTACGACACAATATTATTATTATTGCAACTATTACAGGGTGACATGGCAACATGCAGTGCTAAATTAGTATGTTGGTGTTGAGGTGGTTGATGATTTTAGACTTACAGAGTATCAAGCTAACACTTGGCTAACTTGTGCTGGGCAGTATATCATCTATACCACATGTGTCAGGCTCCAGTGCTTGCGGACCAAAACACTGCAGACTTCAGCACACTGCTACATTAAACACACCTGATTCAGCTCATCAGCTAATTAGTAAAGCGTCCATGAGCTGAATTCAGAGCGTTAGAAGAGGAAAAATGCTAATCTCCGCAGCACTTTGGCCTAGAAGGTCCCCAGTTTGACATGCCTGATGTATACCAATATTGGTGGCACACCACAATATTGATCCTTAGTTTTTACTTTAGCCTTGAATGCCAGGCAATATCATATCACCTGGATTTATAAAGCCATTGCAGTGGAATCAGCCCTCTTACTTTGAGGCATGCCTTGTCAATTTTTAGTAAATCACAGCCATTAAGAGTGTATTTATAAAAACAAAGCAGGAATTCAGCCATACATATGCATGTGCGTCCGTTTAGAAATCAATATGCAAAAGCATTGAATCTCTTTTGTCAAGTGAATCGAATACATCTGGTATACTGAAAGAACAACTTGAAATCCATTCTCTTTAATATATATTTAAAGCTAACAAAGTATATGTCTCAGCCAAAACTAACACATCTTGTTGCAGGGTTTTTTTTTGAAGGAGGCTCTGCTGTGTGTACCTGACTCAGTTTCTTAGTTTGCTCAGTACTTGGAGCGCTATATGTTATTTTGAATGAAACAGCTTTATTGGAAATTGTTCTTGGACAGAGCTGTCCGTACTGATGTTGAAATAGACAGGCAAGGAGCATGAACATTATGAAACGTACTTTACTTACAGCTGTATAGAAGCTCTTTTCTGACATGGAATCCACTCTTCTCCACTCCAGTGCTGCTCGATCCTGGGTAAATAATGTTACATAGCTGGGTAATGCACTTAATTAAAAATCAGCTAGATTTTAATTTTTTAATTGTTACCAATTTACTCTATTTAATTCTAAGTAGGTATTTCATTATTTTGGAAAAATACATACTCGTATTCGGTCTGAAAAAATGGTGCATCCCTAGTTCATAATGAACAATTCCAAAGACAGAAAAACAAAATAGATAGGAAATTTCCTTCCGTGCATGTTCTGTCTTGTTAGCATTTACAATATTGTGCAAGTGTTTTTTGTAATTTGAAGAGAAGTAGGCCAGAACAGAAAATTCCAACCAAAATGAGCTGTCAGGAAACACATGTTCATTTCAGTTAACTTTATAAACCTAAACTTAAATTTCATTTAATACCATAATATATTTGGAATTATTGTGGTATCTAATTTTCTTGATTCCACTCAGCACTAATGTAATCACTTATGTGAGTGTATGTGGTTGAAACACACTAATCTCTGTCTGTCTCTTCAGACCCAGTGCACCAAAAATCCCAGAAGGAGAGAAAGTGGACTTTGATGTAAGCAGATATCTATTATTTTAGTGATGTCCCTGCTTGCTGCGTTTCTATGCAACTTCAACCTCACTTGCTCAACTTTGAAACTTTTATTTAAATTCTCTTATTTAATGTTTCCAACAGATTTGGGATGAACCATCAAATATGTGGATAAACTAGGATATTTCCCAACTGCTTTTTGCTTTGCTATAAAACAAAGAAAGATTTAAGATGATATCTCAGTGTGTCTCTATGTGTGTATTTGTAACAGGACATCCAAAAGAAGCGCCAGAATAAGGACCTCATTGAACTGCAGGCACTAATTGATGCCCACTTTGAGTGCAGGAAGAAGGAAGAGGAAGAGCTTATTGCTCTGAAGGAGAGAATTGTGAGTTCCTCTAATTACCAACACAAAAAATCTTACAGAATCCCAGAAATATGCAGTTTATTCCTGTATGTCTCACGCAACAAATGCAGAACAAGTTGTACACATTCCAGTATAACACATTTTTGGTTTTTGTGCTTTTGGTTTCTGGAGAAAGTCAGGACTGAATGCTGATGGAAATGCACAGGCTTAGAAAAGTCATTATGCTTCTTAGAAAAAACATCTGTAAATGTCTAAAGCATCTCTCTGAATTTTTTATATTGAACAAAGCATCTTGCTTTGCACGGTTTTACAATTTTCCTCATATAGTCTCTCTGGCACATGTAACTAAAGGGATCTGCTGTCACTTTATTAATGCTAGTTCATATCAGGTCAACATGCTCAAACTTTAACTGATAGACCAAAAATAGATTTTAAAAAGTGCTACATATTTGTCCACAAGAGATTTGGTAGAACTTCTTGTATCTATTAGACAGACAACATTTATCGCCACTGACATACCAAAATCTTTTCATTCCATATTTGTCATTTAATCTTTTACATCAATCAAACATATCTGCTGTTCCTCACATTGTGTGAAAATTTCACAACAAACAGATCAATATAAATGTTTTAAAATTAATTAGAATAAAATTTCTTTGATTGGAAAGTTTCTTCCAAAAACTGTAAGGTTATCCTTTAGGAGAGCCAAAGTTTTGTCCTGACATTAGAAATATCACAAACATGTTCCTAACATTTGTGTTAGAAAAGGAGAGAAAAAAAATCACAGTATAGTTCACTGTATAGTCTATAGAAGTTCCATCATGTTAAAAAAAAAAGCAAAAAAAACAAAAGACATTATTATCCATTAATTAATCTCAGGGCAAGTAAATGTATGTACAATTTTAGAAACTGGTGAACTTTTAGTGCTTATTACAGCTTATTTGTGCAGTAGTAGAAAGTGTAGCTTGTTGTCACGCTGCATATTTTGGTATAACTTTAATATGACGTGTCTGCAGGAAAAACGCAGAGCTGAGAGGGCAGAGCAGCAGAGGATTCGTGCTGAGAAAGATAAAGAGCGTCAAGCAAGACGTGAGGTTTGTTGCGCTAGCTACTTACTCCTGCATGCTGTGTGCTGTCACAGTGTTATGTGAAGAAGCACATTAAACATATGTTACAACATGTGGTACTATATTTTTAATCTGCTTCTGATGAAGTAAAAGAAACAGGTACTTCTATTGGCTTCTAATATAAAAGCATTTTGAGTCAGCGAAATTTTTATTTCTTTAACAAAGTACAAGATAGACATAATATTATTGTAGGTGGAAATCACCTGCAGCTATAGATGCACAAATAAAAATTAGCCTAAAACACTGGAGTGTTCTTTTAACTGGAAGACTACTTCAGTGGTTCAGAAACAATACATTACCTCTAAAAGTCACATAATTTACTGATGGACTACATTTTTGCTTGATGCTACATTGACATATGGTATGTGTATGTGAGCACACATATACAGTTGTATGCAAAGGTTTGAATGTCTTCAAATGTAATTTGATGTAATGTAACATTACGTCTTGATTGTCAATATGACATTTTTCTGCAAAATGTAGTGCACAATTTCTATTTATTTACCGAGTTTAAGATTTTGAAAAAAAAAATAAAACAAAACGTTAAATCTGATGTGGCATAACTTTTGCACAGGCCACATTCTGTGTTTTATTTTTTTCCACAATGTAAAATTAGCAAATAACAGTAATTATTATCAGAGGATGAAAACTTAATTTCATTTTAAAAAATCAACAAAACATAATTTGGCCAAGGCACCCAAATGTTTGCATACAACTGCATATCAATGTAATTATGTTATAACAGAAGTTTGGGGGGAAGAGCATGGCTGAAACCCCTCCTTCTTCCAGTCTAATGCCCTATACAGTCAGTACTACAGCAATGAGGGGGATCTGGCCTTGTAGCTACAGGCAGAAGCTGCCCAGAACTCCAGCCCAAGTTCTCAGAGTTCTCCCCCTCCCTCAGTCAATCTTCCCTCATACTACCACCACATGGTGAAGGCATGGTCTGAACTCACAAAATGTGTATGGAGACCCATTTTTGTGTCTATGTCTAACAGGAGGAGAGGCTGAGGAAGGAGGAAGCAGATGCTAAGAAGAAAGCAGAAGAGGATGCTAAGAAGAAATCTGTTCTCACCAGCATGGGCTCCAACTACAGCAGCTATTTGCAAAAGGTGCATATCTGACCCACTCTATTCAAATTACCATTTAGTGCTAGAAGTTATTTTTGAAAATGTAATATTGAAAATGGATCAAAATTAAATAAAAATCTTAATCACTCTCATTTAAACTAACAACCATCTTGTATATTTAACGTAAGCTTCAGTGAAAGAGTGTTGCTTTGTGGTTGTACTATTGTTGTTTTGTCTTTTTGATGTAGGCTGATCAAAAGAGAGGAAAGAAGCAGACAGAGAGAGAGAAAAAGAGGAAGATCTTGGCCGAGAGACGCAAGCCTCTGAACATTGACCATCTGAATGAGGACAAGCTAAGGTCTGCACAAATACCCATAGAACATTATTTTCAGAGAGTCCTAATGTGTTAATGTGTGTTGAAGGGGAATATCACAGATTTTTCAAAATTTATGCATCATTAAATGACTGACAAACTCATTTACAGAGTTGTTCGATGTGAAATAGTTTATGGAAGAAAAACTTACAGACTCAGATTTCTTGATAGAATTCAGGGGGCATAATGTGTACAACACAAATATGGCCATTTTATTTATTATCCAAACAATTCCTGAATATACAGGTGTCTTCTGAGCTTTTAGAGGTAATTCTGATGATGGTAAAAAATTGTGGTAAGTCTGAAAATATACAAATCAGGCATAACATTATGACCATATCAGCTCCACTTACTATATAGGTGCACTTTGTAGTTCTACAATTACAGAGTGTAGTCCATCTGCTTCTCTGCATACTTTGTTAGCCCCCTTTTACTCTGTTCTTCAGTGGTCAGGACCCCCATGGACCATCACAGAGCAGGTACTATTTGGGTGGTGGATCATTCTTAGCACTGCAGTAACACTGATGTGGTGGTGGTGTGTTAGTGTGTGTTGTGCTGGTACGAGTGGATCAGACACAGCAGTGCTGCTGGAGTTTTTAAACACTGTGTCCACTCACTGTCCACTCTATTAGACACTTCTACCTCGTCAGTCCACCTTATAGATGTAAGGTCTGACGATAGCTCATCTACTGCTGCACAGTTTGTGTTGGTCATCCTCTAGTCCTTCATCAGTGGTCACAGGATGCTGCCCACAGGACGCAGTTGGCTGGATATTTTTGGTTGGTGGACTATTCTCAGTCCAGCAGTGACATTGAGGTGTTTAAAAACTCCAGCAGCACTGCTGTGTTTGATCCACTCAGACCAGCGCAACACACACTAACACACCACCACTGCATCAGTGTTACTGCAGTGCTGAGAATGATCCACCACCCAAATAGTACCTGCTCTGTGAGGGTCCATGGGGGACCTTACTACTGAAGAACAGGGTAAAAGCGGGCTAGCAAAGTATGCAGAGAAACAGCTGGACAGTTACAGACTGTAGAACTACAAAGTGCACCTATATAGGAAGTGGAGCTGATAAAATGGACAATGAGCATAGCAACAAGGTCATAATGTTATGCCTGATCGGTGTAAAGTCTTTGGGCATTTTTTTTTTTTTTGCCTTACAATGCCCTGTTGGTACCTCTCCACCATTTATGTTTTTGGAAGAATAGGTTATAGGCAGAAATCTTAACTTAAGCTATTGTGAAACAATTTGTCAGGCATCAGGAAGCATATACGTAACCATTTCATGTAACAGCTTTCAGTGACATAGCTTTAAGAGGCATTAAATGCTTTAGACATCTGGTTCCTATTGCCCCTGCTGCACACAATTCTGACTCTGTACATTTCCTTACAATGGAGCATTTCACGTCAAATCACTCTGAATGGCTTTGTTTACATCTTAACTATTTGATCTATTTTGAGTTTGAAAAATCAGTTTAATTCCCCTTTAATATTTAATATTTTGTTTTACATCATAGCATTATATCAAAACATTGAGCAAACGTTTCATGATGAATTGACCAATATGTTGAAATGACTTGAAGTAGTATCTCTTTAGATGAAGTACATGGAGTCTTCTTACATATTCTTCTCCCATAATGTTAACCTTTTGAAGGTATATGGTTTTGTTATAACAGTGATGTGTTAAGCCATACCTGTGTACTGTACATACAAACAAATTAAGATGTATTAAGCAACTGCACTGTACTACTATATAGAAGTTGTTTTTACTTCTGTTTTACATACGTAAGTCAGTTTTTACTTTGTTAATTTAACTTTGTTTTTGGACCATTTTAATCACAAAAATGATAATTTAGTTCGTAGTCCTAACCATGAAGACAGTTTGGAGTATATACTTGAAGTGAATTTTGGTATCTGTTGCTTCATTCATCTGTGTATGTTCATGATGTGTGTGGGTGTTTTTGTAGGGAGAAGGCCAAAGAGTTGTGGGAGTGGATGTACAAACTTGAGTCTGAAAAATTTGATCATATTGAGAAGCTGAAGAGGCAGAAGTATGAGGTAAGAGTTAGTAATAACTAAATCATAGAACTACGTTGGTATATTACATTCTAAAATCACAGTACAGTTAACCCTTAGAAGTCACAGTTTTCATCAGGGATAAAAAGCCTAATAGTGTAATTTCATGTTAATTAAGTAGAGAAATTTATTTAGAAGTATCAATTCTAAACTTTAAATCAATACTATGTGTAATATTCTTTGTTATGCTGTGAATTGGATGAAAAGTTGGGCATACAGTATTGTTTTGAAGAAAGAAAAAATATCTTTTATATTTCTCAGGTTTTGCTATTGTTTGACATTGAAACAAGAAGAAAAAAGTACAGATTTGAATGATACATACAATATGTAAATCTAATGCATAATCTAAAACCATTGTGTAACCTTACATAATCAAACGTCCTTATATAATTATGTTTGAAGAAGTGAAAGTAATAACTTTTGATTTCTAAGGGTATTTAGAACTATTCACAAAACAGTATTGACACTATTGTGTTTTGCTGTAGCTGCCCTCTTTTTTCATTTTCAAAAGGATACTTTTCTATAGTAAATGGAGCATGAATGTTTTAATGACAATAAATAACCTCACAGGGAAGACCTTTTTACCACAAATATATCTTAATTCACTGCATTTTTACGTTTACAGTCTTTAAAACAGGTGCCACAGTGGGTTCTTTGTGCAGTGCTAAAATAAACATGTTTGAAAAAAGATCTGAGTGTGAAGAACCTTTTAGATAAGGGCCTAAATCATTTTCACATAATGTAAAGGTTCTGTACCAATTTAAGGGCTCTTCCTAGAGCTTTTATATAATGTGGAGATTCTTTAAAATTTGAAAAGGTGCTTCACATTTACATGTTATTTACATAGATGGTTCTCCAAAGAATCATTAATTCAAAAAAATAAATACTTTTTTTGGGGAAGATGCTCTTTTATGATATCAAGCAAGTAACATTTACTTGCACCTTAATTTTTGAGACTGTATGTCAGAAGAGTTTGGCCAAATGCTTTCAGCTTAAAAAGTTAAGATGACTTTTTTCCGTTGTGTATTCTTAGACAATTGGATGCTTTAAGACACCAATTTTCATATCCCATTACAACACAGTATATCGTTGCTGTTGAAACAAACCTTGTATCTCCAAAATGGTAACTTTTTAGGAAAAGGAAAAACATTCTTAACTTATAGTGCAATATAATGTTAAAAGATTGTTTCCACACACATTTTCTAAGCTCCACACAGAAAGGACTCTTGTTGCCCCGTCAAATAATTTTGGACTACTTCTATTGGTCCATTCATCAAGAAATTTTCCCAGAATGTAAAGAGCAACTGGTGTTTGCAAATTATAAAATTATTTAAAAAAAGACAAAAATGAAGATATAAGGTTTTGTCCCAACAATGACCATACGAGTGTTTTCAGTCAAACTGTTTCTTCAGACTTTAGGAGGTGCTATATTCTGTTTATACTCCTAAAAATAAAGGTGCCAAAAATGGTTCTTTGGACCAATGCCATAGAACAGTGTTTCCCAAATTGGTCCACAGGGCCCCCTAGATTATCCCCATTTTTCCTTTATCCCTATGTGTTGTGAGTTAGGTTTGAGCAAAAATGTGGACTGTCTGACAGGTTATGGGGACCAGATTGTGAAATACTGGTGTAGAAGAACCATTTTTGAGTACCTTAAAGAAAGATGTGTGGAGTATAAAGAATATCCACATAATGCAAAGGTTCTATATCAATTTTTTTTTTTCTCGAACTGCACATTCAAGCAAAGAAACATTCAGGAGCCTTTCTTTTTAAGAGTATATTTGCCAAACAGGATGAGTCTTGACTGGGTAAAATGTACTCTTCCTTTGTACTTCCTTATTTGTGCAAAACATACTGGTTTTTTTTTTAATGCTACACACAAAACATGCTTTACACTGTATGTGTGTGTTAGTGAAGATATACTCTGATTTCCCCCAGATTAATACCCAGCGTCAGAGAGTGGAGGAGCTCAGTAAATTGTGAGTAACTGAGGTCAAGTCTAGCAACAGTTGCGGCCTAACAAGCAAGGTCTAGCAGCAGAGTTTGACAGCAAAGCATGGTATGCGTGCATGACAAAATCTGGTTACTATGAAAACTGGTTACCAGCTCAAAATCCAAACTCATTTGAAGGACCAAAGAAGAATGCAGCTTTACAGTTTCCATTTTCAGAGTTTCCAGAGTACTTTACTGTCATAAATGTTCAAAAGCAGTTCAAGAGAGTGGCCCTGTCATCTTAGCTCCAACTGAGACTCAAAGCAGCTAAGTCACAAGACCAAATTTGTTTTTTGTTTCAGGCTTTGATTTAGGTTTTGTAACATTCATAGGGCAGAAAGGATCTGGAAGTGTTTTGAAAGCCAGGGCAACACTGTACTTTGAGCGTACTTAACTGCCTACTATTTTAAGCAAACTCTGCTATTAAAATGTGCAACTTTATTGTTAAAATTGTTAGTTAAACCTGCAGTGTAAACATCTTTGAACTTGAACTGAGTTTGCTTACTGCCAACATGTCTGGAGCTGCGTGAACTTGGTGAACTCAGGCTTTTTAAAAATTTTTTCAGCTAAGATCTTAAACTTTCATTTGCTGATAGTTGGGTTATCCTAACATCTGGTACACTGGGATATATTGAAATGGAGCTCACATCAGCCTGTTGAGGGTGATGTTTACACAGTCAGATTCAATCTGCTCTGCAGGTAAGTATGTGTGGATGTGTTTGGACCCCACCCAGGCTTGCTTATGTTCAGTCTGCCAGTCTACTTCCCTCCCTACACAACGACACTGACAGCGCAGTGAAAGCTGGCGATGCTTTTGGACCTCAGGTCAGAGAGAGTGAGTGTATGAGTGCACATATGTGTTTTACAGAGGAAAGCAGTTTCCCAGGTGAGAGTGATCCCACAAGTAAAGGTAACATTCTGGCTGGTTTAAAGTGGCTCATATGTTGTTTTCAGGTCATCTCACTCCGCAATCGTATTGATGAGCTGCAGAAGCAGTAAGTAGTTCTACCTCACACACACACACACACACACACACACACACACACACACACACACACCCACACACACACACACACACACACTGTAATTTCTTTACAGATGTCTTACTGTTAGACAGCATGTTTGTCATTTGCAGTAAGGCTATACAAAACATGTCCTGAATAAGACTAAAGGTGGTTATTTGGGGCATTTTTGAACATCCTAGCAGGACAACATGCAGTCTCCATGTGCATTTGTATGTGTATGCCACACTATCTGTTTTAAATGCTATGAAAAATAAGATCCAAGGTTTATTGTTTTGTTGTTATGCTACATTATAACAAAAATGTAACAACCTCAGTAAATTACATATTCACACAAACATAGTGTTTTAAAGGGGCCATATAAAATTTTTTATTTTACTTTTTCTCTGAAGTCCATTTATAACATTTGTGTGGGTTTTTGCAGGAGCATTATTTAACCTCTTTTTAAATGTGCTGTTTTGTTACCATTCCTCTAAAGTCAACCTAAAATCAATATTCAAAGTTTATGTAATAATAGGTCAGGTCATGTTAAGCTCAAATTCATCATGTCATAATTTAAAAGACAAAATTTGGGCTGCCTCTGATTTTTTATTACATTACTATGCACCAGCAGGCGGGGAAAAACAATATTAACCAATATCATGTTTTACCTCCCCCACACTAACTTAACGCTCAGTGAAATAGGTAACAGAAGGAAAATGTTCTGTGATTTCCAATCCACATTTACTTTAAGACAAATGTATGCAAAATAATCTCTGAAGTTTTGACGGCTCTCCTCTATTTTCACTTATTCAAAAACCAAACATTCTATATAACATCAATGTGATCTGACATATACTGTAAAATAAGACATATAAAATATGTTAATTTGGTGAATTCAGTCAGGATGTTTTTGCAGGTTAGATTCCATTTATGGACACTATATGGGCCCTTTAAAAAATATAAATAGCTGTCTCCTCAGTGGCTCAAAAGGCTGAGTAATATATTTCATTACTGACACCGGACTGAATGGAGAAAGTTGTTGTTTGTGTGTCAACTTAGTGGTATTTTTTGTAGAACACATCTAAGTAGTTTCTTTATACTTCAAGCAAGTTTAGCATACAAAACCTTTGGGCTTTATCTTTTCATTGCTGTGCGATGTTACAGAAATGAGTGTGTGAGAATGTGAGTTCTGATACTGTGCTGCATAAACCAGCAATAGTCATGAGAAAATGAAACAGTCAGAGATCTGTTAAGTCATTCTCTTTAGTGAGAGCTGAAGGACGGTGTGCAGCGGTAAGTCCTGCATGCAGCACACAACTACATCTCCACCCTGCTTTCAGTGTTGACACACAGCATGCTGAGAACAGCTCACATTAACCTGCTTGAGGAGTTCTGCAGTGGGAGGGTTAAACTCACCCTTAAAGCCTAGAAGAAATTTTGATACAGTCAGTAACCATGGTCACTAATTTTGTGTTGTAAAAGAACAGAAAACCTATTTTCTTGAAACTCATTTGTCAGTATACTCATTGGCTTCTATCATGTTTCGTGTTATTAGTAATTGGGTTTTCTAATCTTTTCTAGATACAATTAAAAGACAAATTAAAATGTACAATGAGGGACATTGCAAGTTAAAAAGGTGCAGTTAAAGGCAAATTATTGTAAATGGTAATCACCTACATGAAACAGATGCAGCAGATAGAGAGTACATTGAAAAGCACCTGTTCTGTTGTGTGTTTCAGCCCAAAGCTCATTCCTACACATTACCATAATTGATTTTTTTTGGCCATTCTAGTTTAGACAAGACATTCCATAAGTTTTATTTTGAAGCCTGTAACAGACATGAACATATATTATGGTGCACTACGGTGCAGCTTTTACAGTGACTCAGTAAAGACAGATCTGCTACTGCTGTTTTCAGTTCAGTTCAAAATCTGACTGAAATGCATTTGTTAGACTCACCCATATTTGCAGTCGTTGATGTATCTCAGACTTCCAGAAGGCCTAGAGTGACTTTTTTGTCAGACAATTTGTCCCATCTATTCTAAATCAAAATGTGATTGGTTGATTCCACTGTCAGTTCCTAACTCCAAGGCCTAACCAATTGTAATGCCCCCTGGTCGCATACCGAGGCGTAGCCAAGGGGTTATGGGGTGCTATCTATTTTCTTTTCACAGTTGAATACGTCAACACAGTTTTGTCTTTCATCTTACTTTCTGCAATAATTGTAATCATGTGCTATTTTATTCATTTGGAAATGATGGACAGATGTAGTTAGGTACTAAATCAACTACTAACTAAACAACTACTAAATCATAAAACAAAACAGCTTCACCCCTGGCCACATATATATTCACACTCAAATTTAAGTAAACATGAGCCGTAATACTGTAATCAACTGTTAACAGAAAAATCCTCCAGCAAAAGTGACAGATATGCCCAAAGGTATTTACAAATGTCACAAAGAAGCAGGAAAACTACCTTATGCTCAAATTATGGCATAGAGAAGGATAGAGGTTCGGATTTGGATTAAAGCACACATCTTCACATCTTTGTCATTTATTTCATGAAAAATTGAATCTATCTACCAATACAGTATGCAAAATCGTTTTCACTGAATCAGATAATAAGATTATTTAAAATTATTTAAAAAAAATGTTTTTTTTTGTATACATTTCATCACAGCTCCAAGAAGGGTGCTGCTGCTCGCCGCAGAAAGTAAAGAGCTCATCAATAAGGCCATAACATTGGACAAGCCATGCCCTGATCCACTGCTCCATGCCAGGGCCGTGTCCACTTGGCCTCCGCCAGCTGTACTCCTGGTCTTCAGACAGCCAGAGACAGATTCAGCTTTGACTACCAATTACCTTATGTATTCCGTCAGGCCCAATACTAGCAGTGGGAGACCCCTCTTCCCGCTGACCGCTGTTGGGTTCTTATTCTGTGTGTTTGTAAATAAAATTCTGGCTCACCAGCTTTGTCTGTATTTCTTCTACAGTCTTGTGGTTCAATAAATCATGTTTTCACACTTTGCAGAGTGGGTGGTATCAGAATCAGAATCTTTATTTACCAAGTACCAGATGTACAAGAAACTTCTCTTGGTGTAGGTATCAACATAAAATTAAATCCAATAAAATCAGGAGAAAAATGGCTTCCTTAGGTTTATACTGCCATGTTTGGATGTAGAAAAAGAGCTTCCAGTGAGACATGAACTAGTGAGTATCACTAACATGAAAACCTCCACTGGACTCCCTCAATCAAACACTCACACCATTGTCTCCCTATCAGTGCCCCCCACCCCACCCCACCCCACCCCACCCCCCTCCGCAATGTTTGATACATGCAGACGAAAGTATAAACTGAATGCTGTGCATTACATTCAAGTACATAAAATGTCTTGTACTACATACCAAATCAAACAGTGGTAGAGGTAGTACATGATAAAATGGTCAACAAATGTAGGTATAAGTTGGGTGTACCTAATAAACTAGCAACTCCATGTAATAACACAGGGTGTTGTGGTGCCTAATTGAGTTTGCATCGGATAGGGAAGAACAGAGACCCTACTGAGACAAAAAGAATTGTCAAAAATTGGTTGTCACATATTTAACTAGGCTTTGATTTAATGGCTCCTTTATTCCGTCAGAGTGGAACCAGTCAGACTAATGCTGTTTAATTCCAGGGTTTGTGATGTCTACAATGCAAATATAGCCATTTTATGTGTTATCCAGATTAACAGTGAACCTACACGTCTTTTGAGTTTTTATATGTAATGTTGATAATGGTAAAGTAGTGATACATTTGAAAAAAGGAAAAAAGAAATATGGCAACAATGTTGCCTTATAATGTTATAATGAATGTTCTTTTAAAAATGCTTTAGGGCAAAACCTTATCACAAAACACTCAAACAATACCTCAGACATCAGGCAGCAGATTCAGGACCACTTCTTGTAATAACTTTCTGTGAGATAGCTTTCAGAGGCATTAAATGCCTTAGGTATCTGGTTCCCAACAGCACCACTATGAACAATTCTGACTCATAATTTTCTCTAGAATGGCACATTTCACTTCAAAACACTTTGAGTTACTGTTTATTCTTTACATTCTTGTAATTTGCACCTAAAAGGCAGCAGTTGAAAAAAATGGTGGAATTCACTCTTAAGCGAATTGTCCAAATGTCAAAATTTTCCAAATGATGAATTTTAACTGTGTTGGTGTAATCATGGTAAATCAAGAAACAAAATGGTGGTGCGTTGAACACTGTTGTTTTACACAGGCATTGCAACTATGGCAGCTGAGAAGGCCATTCTTGGCATCCTTCTAGCGAATTTTTTATTGTTTTAAAAAATTACACTAAAATATTTACGACAAACATGTCTTCAGTTCTTGAGTACACCAAGCTTCAGTGGCCTCATTTGTAGAGGACTTTATTAGACAGTTGTGTGCACTGCCTTTTCAATACAGCTTGGTTTATATACATGTTGCTGCTGATTGGGTACCACCTCTGATAGACCCCTCAAATGAGAAAACATATCTCAAAGCCCGTTGCACACCCTTTCACACAGTTAGACCAAAACATGGAACACAACATAGAAATTGTAGCAAAACGATGCATGTTTTGAGATTGAACTTGTCCCTAGTCTTGCTTTGTTCTGTTGTGATATACAGGTCTTTCACCAGCACAGCATTTCACACATTTCATCTAAGTATTGGGCCTACCATTAGGAGGTTGCAAGTTAGATGTCCGGTGATGCTATAGCCATCTGTCGCCAGGAGTCCAAGAGAGCACAGTTGGCCTTGCACTCTCTGGGTGCGTAGGATGCCCCCTCTATCACGCATGAGATACTAGTTAGTGCAGGCATCTGTTAGCTTATGTAACAGAACTGACTGTTAGCACTGTTCTCAAAGTGTGCTCAGCTGTCCAATGACTACATTAGTTGCAGTTCAAAAAGACGTAGTAGCCTTCTTCACATAATTTTGCCTTCACCCTCCTAACGCTGGTGGTATCATGTGTTTGGGGGAGTCCTAACTAGTGGATGGAATTGGATACAACTAAACTAAGGAGAAAATTGGGAACCTCCCCCTCCCACCCAAAAAAAAGAAGATTCCACATCATACATTTTCCTAAAGATTTTTTTTTATTGAAAATGTAAATATAAATGTAATATGACACGTTTGATATATTCAAGCTAAGCACATTTTGCTTCAAAAGGATAACATGATTATAAAACAATGAGCTGGTCTGTATAAAACTGTATAAACATTTCACAAATGCCTTGGAAACCTTTTTTTAAATAACCCTTTACACTGCATATTTTCCTTTTTGCCATTAAAGGAACAGGACGCTTCAATGCTCTGTAGAGTCTGCTACTCAGAATTGATCAGGCTAAGATCCTGTAGAGGAATGCCCACTTTTTTAAATGGCGTTGTCATGGAAAAAACAATAGAATTTTGTGCTTTAGAGAAAAAATGATAAATTCTGAAATTGTTTTAAAGTTGTTTTGAAATTGTTTTTATAATGTAATAAATAAATAAAGTGCTCAAAATATAGCTTGCTGTTATAAAAAAAAAGATATGACTGATTAAAAAATGTCAGAATCACAAGTTATATCTCCTATACTATTAAAAAAGCATCTAATACAAATAATTAATTCACTGTAAATTTTTTTTTTTCCTTTTTCTCCCATCGGACTTCAAAAAGAGCATAAATATAATTATGTACAAACCATGAGCCAAGATTACATTTGGCTAGTTCATTATTACTGTTGGAGCTATATGAGGATCCTGGCTGAACATCTTTACTCCACCAGCGCCTTTTCCAGGGATAGAAAACATCACAATCAACGACTACTGGTGCATTTATTCATGTCTTCCATGCCAATTGTAATACAACTTATGAACAGACACATATTTTCTTTTGCTGTCCCTGTAAAATTTAATACATTTTCAAGTTCAGTTCTTAATGAGTAACACTTTCTTTTCAAGTTATAAAAGTCAATAATTCATCAAATGACTTCTTAACCAGTGCTAGAATGCCCCTTGATATTCAAGAGAATAAAAACATACAGTATTGTAAAGTTTGACAGTTTCAGTTGAGGCAAGCTTGTGTGAGTGTTTTTTAAGACCACTGGCAAGAACAGTCTGTGGGTTCCTGTATTGAGTAGCTGACCCACGTAGAGTTTCCACTGCAGTAGAGCTGGACCGAGCGGCGCTGAAGGCCCATCTCTCTACAGCACTTACAGAACCGCGCGTAAGTGTTGATGTTGTAGTTGTAAATACTTGCTGAAGGACACTTGCCATCACAGGACACTATGTTCACCTGGAAAAAAAGGGAGCATGGTTTGAGAGTTAGGCTTTATGTAGCCTTGCAAGCAAGACCTCTGACAAAGAACATGATGGTCTCATTTACTAGCTACTCGAATAACTTTTAAACATGTGATGAATTTCACAGTTTTCTACAAACTGTTTAGCAAAAATATCTTGCTCTGAAATATGTGTTACCATGTGCAGAGTGGGTAACTTCTGACAAAGTTTTATTTAATCCTTGTTTAAGTACTGCAGTCACAATGGCCCTTATTCGTCATTAGCACATACCATGCCTCAGTTTAGCGTCATACACATTCTGATCAACATGAAACAGGAGTGAACCAATAAAAGGAATGCATTTAGTAGGCTCTTGAGGCAGCGGCTGTCCTGCATAAGATAATTTACCTGGACACAGAATACTTTTTTACATGCAAGCGCAGCACTGAGATCTTTAAGACTGATCTGCCAACGATTATCATTTGATTTTAACTGCAAAAACAGCATTTTTTAGCTTGTTGAAATATTATGCTCAAATTTAAACACACAATTTAAACTCGATTTAAACCAGACATGAGTTTTATTGTACAGATAAGCCAAAGATGAAGCTGATGAATGATGAAATTTACGTGGACTCATTTACAATCAGATTTGACGATACACAACTTTGGTGAATAAGGTCATTCAGACTGAAAATGACCCTTGGTCATTACAAAGTCTTTGTGGTTAATTAGTTCAATCTGTCTCTCTAATTGAAGTCAATTTAATCTATGAAAACAAAAAACCCTTATCAAAAATATTGCCACAATTATTTTTAGTACCTTTTTAGCACTATGTGCAATCTCCCTTTGGCAACAAAACAGCAGAGGCTTCTCTTACAAACATAAATGAGATTCGAAAAATTTCAGAATCCTAAATTCTCTCTTTTAAATTCTCCTCTTCAACACTGGGCTAGGATGACAAAAAGCTTGATTTTGTGGTTGTTAAACCGTTCCTGTGTGGATTTAGAAGTACATTTTGGATCACTGTCCTGCAAAAAGGACCAATGGTGGCCCAATTAGTCAGTCATACAACGTTACCGCCCACTGATGACACCCTACTCGTGCCCCACTCATAAAAATAAAAAAGCATAGGAGCCTAAAGTGAGGAGACAACCACACTCACGCACTGAGGTAAATGCCTCCAGCACCACCTTACAAGGCTGCAATATGCCAGCTGTCTGTACCAACTGTAAATAATTAAATTAATCTGAGCTTAGTTTGTGATAAAAATGTTGGACCGATCAAGTGAGGATTCTTCAGTCTCCATAAAGCTGCCGGTGTTGGATCCAATTCACGTTTCCCTTCATAACTCAAACCCTCGGGCGCGCGCACTCACTGAACAGATATCAATGGCAAGCAACACTCTGGAAAGCGAAATGGTTCAGGAAAGGTTAACGTTAAATGGCCATTGTTACCGACTGTGTCATCCATATAGCCTCGAACTTTTTTCCCGCTCTATACAGTTCCAGTGTTGCTTGTCGTTGATTTCTTTTCAGTGAGTGCGCGCCCGAGGGTTCGATTTATGAAGGTGAATGTGAATTTGAGTGGGAACTGAATCAGATGTAACACTGGTAAGTGCTACGAACAGCATGCAGGACGTAAGGATTTAGGGCCACTGCAGCAAAACCTGGATGACCAGTGAAGCGGTCTGCGACCTTTGATGTAAAACTGAATGAAACTTTGACATTGTTCAAAGAAATCCTCTTTATTCATTTAGAATTCAGTGCATCTAAGAAATCAGCACTCGGTTTATATTGAATACAGACCTGCTGAACAGATAATTATAAGCTGGCTGTCACAGTTTTAGGGAATGTTCTATAATATTCTGCCTCTCGCTGCTAATCATTTTCTGGCACTACGTTAACTTTTCGGCGGCTTGAGTCAGTGGCTCATACTGTTAAGGCTCAAGGCGCACTGCCTGATCAGAAACACCTTCCCTTGTTGAAGATGGGGATGGCAGTAGAGAAAAATCATCAACCTCGTAAGACCTCTCAGTTGCAAAAGTGCCGTTTGATTCGGTCACTCTCCATATTTTCTGGTAGCTAATGTACGCTAGCTCTAAAAACACAGCAGCCCAGTCCACCCGGTTTCCCTCGCAGCCCCACCTCCAAGCCTGTAGATCACTGCACTGCCCCTCCCATTTTTGAGCATTTTTCAAAATTAAGCCAGGGGTGGAGTTAGCTGAAAATAGTGGGATGTAGTTACTCTTTAAGAGTTTCTGAATACTCAGATATACTTGACAAACTGAAACATAAGTAGGGACAGACTTCAGTTACATTTTATTCACAAGAATTACAGATGCAAAACTAAAGGTTAGATTTCTCTCATATATTAAATTCAAATTAACCGCAAACATATTTTTTCATGACATTTTTTGGACAACTTTACCAAGGGTGTCAATAATTATGTGGCTGACTGTATGTAAGATCTTAAGAGAGACTCATCTGAGTCAAAAAGAAAGAACAATGCCCGGGGTCAACTCACCGGTCTGTTGCTACGGCAATCATTTTTCCGTATTGTCATCCTCACCGTCACTTTCTGACATGACTTTCCATCCTCTTTGCCTACAGTGTGCAAAAGCAGTTATGTTACATGAGCCTTACTGTGATGCATCATGACCTCTTCAAGTAAGATCACATAGGTAGACTGTTTTTTAAAGCTAAACAAATTTTAGGAACACAGTATATTGTATCCACCCACATTATTCACTGAGGCACCAGATTCAGAGAAGCATTCTGATGTCAAAACTGATCATATCTAAGTACTTAATATGAACATTACTCTTTCCCCACTTGGCTGAAAATATTTATCGTTAAACTACCCTTTGATAAATATATATTCTAATATCCACAAACAACAATGTCCCACCACCCCTAAGCAAAATAAAAAATGCTACTGATTCTTTAAAGCAATGCTACAGATATCTAAAATTTAAACCATTATGGTACGGCTAAAGCTGAAGATGGAACTACAGCTACAATCTAGTGCTAGCAAGCAGCGTAATAGTTTGGACAATGTGGCATTTGTCATCCATACTGCAGAACAGCATTTACAAAACATGGCATCAGAAAAATGTAACAAAATGTATAGGGTCAGAATATGGATACTCATTGTGCCATATCACCCAAAATATTACTAGACCCCAGTAACCACAGACTACACACATGCACACAAGCAAACAATGTAATGATGAGCCCATTCTCTTGGAATCATGCAGTAATTACACAAACATTCACTAACTGGGCACTACCAACAGTACATTGTTGGCAATCAACAATGCACTGCCCAAGAGAGCAAAATGGGGAAAGGTTACAATCATAAAGGCAATATTTTCAGAATAAGTTCAAAATAGGCTGATATGTATTTCAGTAATGAGTTGTTTTCAAAGCTATTTAGTGTCCTGCATTTTAAAGGGGAAGTACATTGTTGGAAATCAACAATGGTGATGGAGAGCCTTATTGTCTGGCATGAGGAGCATTGGGTACCTTGTTCACAGTTTGTGCTAATTGTGGGTTTCAGTGTGCTAACAGGGAAGGGGAAGAGTGAGTATCCAGTGCCTGAGGAGATCAGCACAGTTTGTTACAGTTCTTATAGTACAGGGAACTAGCTTACCTGTAGGCACAGCAAAACATTTAAAATAACTTTACTCATTTTTCACTCTCTTTGATTTGTATTTCACAAAATTTCAAGACTTGGTTATTTTACATTATACATTACAGATCTATAACTCTACAAGCAATGCTGCAAGGAACACTATGGCAAAATTAACCAAACTCAACAGATAAACAGATCTGTACACTCGCAAAATGATGTGTTAATATGTAATGCATCAAGTAATAAACACGTATCTGTGTTCAACACATTTTGTGTGCTTTTTTTTATCACTACCAGTGTTTTACCTTATTTAACATAGGAAACTGGTTCAGATTTTTAACACAAAGATGTGCTCTTTTCATTTTTAATTTATTATTCTTATAACTCTATTCTCATAACTGCCATTTTTGCCTTATTGTTTTGCTATCTAGTTTCGAGCAGAGAACGATGGGTTCGACCTTTGAGTCTTGGTTCCTCTCAAGGTTTCTTCCTCTTGCTCTTAAGGAGTCTTTTCTTGCCACTTGCTTTTGCTTAGCTTGGATGCAGATTTCTGTAAAGCTGCTGTTTAGGATGCACAGTACAAATAGATTAGAATTTTAATTACACAACAGACATGCCAGGGCTTCTGAATTCTAGCGTTAGTGACCTCATACTCTGCACATTTGTGTGTTTTCCCTGCACATTTTTGTTTTTTCCCTACTCTACAGACCTGATCCAGACCACAAGGTTAATTCAAGTAAATTAATTAAAGCAGGTGTGCTAGATGAGCCAAAGCACTAAAATGTGCATAAAGTATCCACAACTGGTACTAGGAATAGAGGTCTGCACAAGGTGGGTTCACTCGCGGGTCCCGCGTGATTTGCTAAATAATTTGGGGGTGAGATTCATTTTTAAGGCACCGCAGGTAAACAGCCAACAGGTTGCGGGCTTGTTTGGGCAGATATTATGGCTGGCTGAGTGGAGCTAGCTAGGACAAATATTGGTTGCTTGTAGAAGTGAACAGGCAAATGAGCTGCAAGTGCACTGCAGAGGAAAACACATTAGTAATCACAAGCAGCAAAACACATGAAGCTGTAGAACATCCAGTAAATAACAACAACTGTTGGCTTTTTAACCTGTGTCATGGCATGCCTCAGCCTCTGTCTTGGTTTTAAATTAATTTCAGCAACGCTATTTTATTTTTTTTTTTGCTGTGGTGCTGCATGCTTGTCTGTCGACAGTGATGTCATGAGAGGCAGCGTTCATCGTTTGGCGCCATGTGCAAGTTCACATGGCTGTGATTAGCCTAAAAATAAAGAAAATATTTACTTTTATTGTGTAACATCAAAACATTTATTTGTGCTGTTGGGGGTGTGGAGGTACGATGGGTCTGGAGGTGGCTCCACCATATCACAATGTTTGCATGATCATGTCCTACACCAATAGAGTGGACAGGTGGGAGCTGGCAAAAATCAAAAACACAGCCCAAAGCAGGTGGGCGTGGGAGGGCACGCCATGTGATTGAAGTGAGCCAAAATAGTGCTAAGTTTCACGGTCAGGAGTGCGCAAGAATCAACTTAGACTTCGTGGGCACAGTTGGATGTGATTAGTGGTTGAATAGGGCAGGCCTGTGCAGACCTCTTATTAGGAACCCCTGAGGCATGCTGCCTACATGTTGGAGATATGGAGATATGGAGACATTGTCTTATACAAGTTCAATTTCAAAAGAGAAAATACAGTTGCAAGCAACAATTCAGGGGTTCAAACACAATTTTGCAAGTAGGCCCAACATAAGACAAAAGCAGATTACTATAATTATTTTGAGGGCCAATTATTTAAAATGCTACAGTATCAGACAATGTATTCTTGTCATTGCACTACTGTGTTCAAAATTTATCTAAACCAAAATGTCAAATTACCTGTGCAATTTAGCAAACCACATACCAAAGACAAAGTTATTAAGACTAAAGACTTAAGTATTTTGACATCATTTACATTTCTTTACTTTAACTGAGCCAAAGATATGTTAAGTTTACTTAATTTAAATATGATTTCATTTTTCCTGGAGGTGGATTTAAAGCACAGGTGGCTTGCTTCTTCTGAGTATAATACTGTATGTCTGTACCAAATTTAGTCTCAATGTGAGGCTTGCAGCTAACAGTCATACAAACTTTGCCTAGATGGATTTATTGACATGTTGTTGCAAAACGTCAACATTTCTGATATTTACTTACTTTCCAAAAAGTTTTACAAGACCAAGTTCGAGATGATCGGGTGTAAACTGTAAGACTAGTTTGAAATGAGTGTTTTATAAACAAAGTGCATTTGTAGAAAAATTGTAAGAATTAGTAAATGACTTGTATTGACAAAGTGGTCAGACTCAAAGATGTGCATTATTTGATTCCAACTGCATGTTTATAAACTGTATGGTCATTTACTCAATTTAGTGTGTTTCAGTGTTTTGAAATATGAGTAGCATTCCCTCAGTGGCAGATATCGGTCATACTTCAATGGGTAGTACAGAGTCCATACCTGAAGATACATATCAAGTTTCATGGAGATTGGCCAATTCTAAGGATGTCAAATTGTCTCAAAATCTAAGTGGGAAGAGCTATATGGTTCTTGGGGCTTTTTTTGGGGGCCATAAGAGAAGAAGTCAGGGAAAAAATATTTTTTTTCCTCTATGACATAGGGTGGAAGAGACCAAAATATTTAAAGCTTCACTATAGCACCAAGCTGAGCTTGCGCGCCTGAGGTGCAGAAGGGACAACTACCTACTGACCAAGTTTCATGTCTGTACGACTTACGGCTTGATCTGCACGGTTTGTTTTAGTAAAGAAAAAGATAAATAAGAAAAATCTTAACAATTACAATAGGATCGCAAGCACTGCATGCTTGGACCTTAATAAATTCAAGGTGCTTCAAGTCAGCAACAGCATCCTCCTTGATAAGGAGCGTAGCAACAACTTGTGAAAATGGAGAACAATGAGAAACCAGTAGTAACCATGATTGAAATTTAGTTATACGCATACAGATGTTTATTACTGAAGTCAACTTGTCTGCTTGCATGGCTTTTTTGACAAAACAAAATATAATACGCTTCCTGTAAGAGATTTTAAAGAAATTTAGATTTTTAGAGATTTAAATTATTCCCCTATAAAGCAGTTATTTATGCTAGGCAGTTATAACAGGCAACAGTGTTTGTTTTATTTCTAACAAATGTAAAACAGTCCTCTACAATGTAAGTGGTGACTGGTAATAGAACTACCAGAGAGGGTTTATTCATACTATAGCGATGCATCTGATCACAGCTCCTGAAGTTTTATTTTGAATTTTTGGAACTTAAAAATTAAAAATAAAAAATATCAAATTTAAACCACTGAAATCACCACTAAATTCAAAACATAAAATGTATGTTTCATAAATTCAAATTAATAAAATAAACTAAACAAAATATAGTTTTGCTTGCTTAGATTCACAATATATATTATCAAAATAAGTTAAATTCAAAATCTTTTTTTACTCCTACAAATTTCACTGTTACAAAGTAATTTTATTTTCTTTAGATATTACAGTGTCTGTAAATTTTACATCAAAAAAACTTTCACAGTAAAATCACAGAATTTTACTTCATGACAAAACAAATCACTTAAAAACTTTGACTCAAAGAAACGAAAATTAGGTTAACATTTCAAAGGAGACCGCTGCCAACCTAACTGCCAAAATACAGCCTAACTGAAATAAACGCCACAGTGTAATGTCAGTACTCACATGTTTTGCAACATCCATCCATGTAGGTCACTACTGTGCCTCCGATCTAGGAAAAGTGAATATCTTAGAAACATCTGACTGTGGACATACAGCAACAGCCAGAGGCACAAGTGTTATCTGCATACCCCTGTATGAGATGCAGAATGGAAGTATCAATAGAATGGAAGATGAAAATTTTGAGTGTATATTTACCTTCATGCATTCGGTCTCATTGAATGGAGGGCAGCTGTAGGAGTATGAGACCAGTACTGGTCCAGACTGTGTGTCCGTACAGTCGTAACGCATGCAGTCAGACACCCAACTCTTTCCTGGCTGCAGGACGTCAGACAGAAAAAGTGCATGCATCAGTGTTTGTATTAAATTTGTGTTGCCAGATGTATCAAAAGTTTAATGCTTAATCCTTTATTCACTATTACTGTTCCCTTCAGACATGCTGAATGTAACATTTGATTTGTAATGATAAATATACTTGATAAAAAAGAAGCCTGTGTGTGAGTAACTGACATTTTGTTTTATGAACACAAATATTATTTTAGGGCCATTTCCTGAAATCAGCCCCAGATAATGCAGAGAATTAACAACCCATGCCATTTGGGTAATCTGAACAACTTTACTAGCTATGAGCACAAGACATCTGGAAAGTGCTCATTTCTAGCGACAGTTTACCGTGCTCTCTGCATCATCTGGGAATTTGAACAAAATATTAGCTCTGAGGAAGGAGTAGTTTGCTGAACATTTGGAGTGATGAAAATGGTAAGATGTATTGTGTACATTTATAATACTAAAACATGTTTTTGTTGAAAATGGTGCTGTATTTGTCACCTCACAGAAAGAATCTCACCTTATACAAGACCAGAGACCCGTTGTCACTGTGGTGCACGCAAGACACATTCTTACACACTCCACAACAAGCACTCTGGTCTTTAGGGGGAACATAAACCTGATTCTGAGGAACAGAACACACATAATTTGTGAAAACATACCTGTAGACACACATATAGGAATGTTTAAAAAAAAAAAACTCTTTATCTTGGCAATTCTTGTGTGCTTGTGCTTGTGAAAACACCTTATATCATTAGAATGAATGCAAGTAAATATAAATACAGCAAAGTTGAAAAAAAAAGCAGTTGATATCTTGTAAGCCTGTCTGAAGAACAAAGTTTGGTTCCAGTGTCTCCTTGATACCCTTAGCCATCACATGGATTTGTTAAATTCCATTACCAGAACACTTGATTTAACACAATGAAGTACTGATTAACCAAACCAGGTTTTGGATGATAACTACAATTAATACGGGGCAGACATGAAGAGAGGTTCAGAAATGGTTCAACAAACACATCAAATGCATAAAATCACTACTAACTGTATTAATGTTATTTTCTTTTTATTCTAACATTAGTGTTTTTCCGAGCAAATAAATGCTCACTGCCCAGAAAAAAACAGCTTTTCAAATATAAATGTCTTAAGTGTTTTTGCACAGTACTGTATGTGTAAGGGTAAAGTCTTTTTAAATGTTGTTTTGTCTGCTTCACAAATAACAATCTGTGAAATATGTAAATGTATGAATAATATTTCAATATTTTCTTAACAATGCAAATTATGTAAATAAAAATGAAAAATTATTTTGATGTTGCTTTGTCTACTTTACAATTATGTTTTGTGTAAAAACTGAGATGAAATTTTGGAGGCATAAATTCCAGTCAAAATAATACATAGCAACACTTAGCATATAACAAATCTTGAAAAACTGCAGCAGAATTGTATTAAATATAATGCTAATATTATACCAGACGCATCTAGTATTTCCCTCCCTTAATATTACAGTTCAACACAGCTTTATGTAAAAATATCTTTCTTATGAGGACAATAGAGTCTACATATGTGTATGTTTTATTCTATCTATGAGTTTTTGCATGCTTTTATTGTGTATGATGTACTTACAGGCTGACACTGTGCAGTGCAGTTAGTGCTGGATGCTTGTATGCGGTAGAAGCCAGTGGCAGAGTCTAGAGTGTGTGTGCACCTCGTTGTATAACACACACCTCGGGCACTGTGCTCCATAAGAGTCTGTCCTGGCCTCATCACACCTCTCTCTCCATCCACACAAACTGCATCTCTCACTGTATATGAACATAAATACACATGTAAATATACATATAAAACTTATATATTCACACAATTATTAAGGCCAGAATGTATGAATGGTAAAGCAAGAGCCTAAAATTGAATCATTGTTGATATTTCAAATAATTTTTCTCACCACACTGATATCTTTTGCAGCCACACTGGTTCTTAGGATCTGCCAGAAATGCCCTGTCTAACTGCAAACTCTCACCCTTTAACACAGCAACACAGGGAGATCACCCATCAGTAAGACAGAAAACTAAAAAAAACACCTCTACTCTAAATAACACATTTTATTAACCCTCAGAAGTTGTAGTTATTAAAGTATAATGTAATTTGATATTATTTATTACTCACTCACAGCTCACTGAGAGGTATTCTGTGGGATTCTAAACATTCAATTGATAACAGTTTTATGTTTGTAAGTAGAAGAGGAGATCATGATGCATCATCATGATGTAAATTTGACAGAAAAAAGTTTTTGTGCGTACAGTCTTGCTTTGCAGAAAGAAAATGGCTATAGGCACAGAGTAATAAACACTCATTGAACAGTGGGGGTTGAACAATGGAAAAAAGATATAAACAAACAAACAGAAAAACTAAGAGCAGCTAACTAAACAGACTTACCAAGGCACATTTAGGACGAGTGATTCTTTCACATGCACATTCTGAAAAAGAACGAAAAGTTTCAGTCTTCAATAATTTTTGAGCTGAATTAGCATTACCAGAGGAGGCTATGTAATGCAATTAGTAAGTAATTTAACTGGCGATTTGTACAAGATTTGTACACTTAAATTTCATAGCCTAGACACAGACATAATCGCTTGGCAAAAACACACAAAAACAACATAGTGCACGACTGTGTCTATTAACAGTTTTTGTTATCATGAGGTCAGTTTCAACAGCACTACTGTTATGGAGGAAGCTCTTGTAGGTACTTGTAAGTAGCTATGGTTATTTCCAAAATGACATAAGATTAAAATCACAGATCTCATCAATAATCACTTCACTTGGAGTACCTCCCCAGGTAAAACTAATTGCACTCGAATAGGGCTACAGTTTACTTTATGCCCCAAATCACATCAGACATTAGACAGCTGTGGCCTACCACATGTCTGCAATGGGCAGCACTGCTCTGGAATCACAGTTGATATGACAGCCATTCCGACTGGACAAATGATCACTGAACATCGAGAAGGCTCACACACTGTGCACACACGCACACACACGCACACACACACACAAACACACATGCAAAGGACACACATATACAAAAACATGAGTAAGGGTATTTATATACTCTGTAATGCATGAATGTGTATGAGAGAGAGAGAAAATGGGTGGAACGTGTATGACTCACAACAGTGGTAAACTGGGCAGCAACGCTCTGTACTGTTTGTGTCCACAGTGAGCAGTTCTCCATCTTCGCACTCAGGAACTGCTTCGGAGCATACATCACACACTGTAGCACACACACACACGGGTTTGAGATGTGATGCAGACTTGTTATTGAACTAAATCATTTATCTATTTTATGGCAACACCTTGCTGTCAAGGAATAGAAGACTTATTAGACTGTATTTGAGATGATAATTTAATAAAAAGCACACCAATTGATATAGTCATTGGTACATTCACTGTTGACTTCTGATCATGTAGGTCTAGGTATGTACCAATACAAAAAATTAATATCACAATAATTACCTTGCCTATTTTCATAATTTATAATAATATCACAATGTATTAGGAAAAATACTGCACGTATAAGATAATACATAAAGTGTTCTGAATTTCATTTTGGAAAAAAAAAACTTCGCTGATGGCTCTTTATATAATGGCACAGCAGACTTAGTTTATGAAATCCTGTTGAACAGTAAACAGTCTTAACAGGCATCAATGCCTTTGGTTTCCCCTGTTTGTTTGATTGTTTTTTTTTTGGGTGGTAGACCCTCTAGCACATGAGTATGAAAATGTTTACAGTGAGCTGTGAAGGTGTTTAGACCAATAATACACTAAATCAACTGCATGAACATCACAAAGTGAGAATTTAGTGGGGCCTAGTGGGATCTAACCAGACCTAATCTGCATATCTAAAAAATCTAGAGTGAAACTGCAATTTGTTTCACTAAAATGCAATGACTGTATTTTAAAGTGTCTAGGATCACAATATTGTGCATGTTGAATACTGTGGTATACCTTAAATTTAGAATTAAATATCGGCATGTGTCTGCGTAGGTCCTGCTTCTGGTATTTTTGGAAGCTCAAAAGTGAGTTGAGGAGGTTTGGGCACAGTCAACGTGCAGGTGTCATAGGTGCATAGGGACTGAAATTCATATTGTGCTAACAAAACTCCTGTAACAAGTAAACACCCTGTCAACCCTTTATAGATACTTATAATATAATTCACAACAGCCTGGCTGTCATCTGAACACATTCTGTAGCCATGTTTATTTAGTCTAAATAAATAGTATCTCTATCATAGAACTTCTGAACACTATATGTGCTGCACTAGGATATGTTAGCTAGCTGTGAGGTTAGCATTTCAAACACTGGAGTTGCTTCTATGATTATTTCTTGTTGTTGCCGTCACTGATTCCTCAAGTCATAACAGGAGATTCCCTTGCTATTCCTCTGTTTTTGGCATCTCAGCAGCATAACACCTCTGGTTAAGAGTATCTCTTTAAGATAAGAACTCACTGCAAATATGTGCCAGGCAGCAGCTTCCATCAGTGCGTGTGGCTATTAACGTCTGATCCTCACGGCACACAGGAACATCCAGCACACACTGGTCGGGATCACACTCTATGGAGAGAGAGGGAGGGAGCTGTTACCGCATGTGACCGTGAAGGATATAGGAGTATTACAATGAGGCTTTTTCTGGTTGTAGCTAAATTGCATCAAAATTGTCACCCTATAAAAATTACATGTGAGAGGAACTATGCAATCCTCTTGTCTCTGGTTGGCAGTTTAGGAGTTGTAGTCTTGAATACCTGTGTCTGTGTGTCCTTTATTACCATTAAGTCCTGAAATATGAAGTTATGTATATGATTAAGTGTTCACCACTTTTGTTCACTTCTCAACTGCATTGCGATTGTATTCTTATTTTAAATTATTTTGTTTCTGCTGACAGCATTGCACACTCTTAAATTATCTATAATATAATTATATAATTATATTATATAATCAATAATATCTATATAATTATCTATATACCTACAGTATAATGCACAGTGATATCGGAATCATATAAAAAAACAAACAAACAAAAAAAAACAAAACAAAAAAAAGACTACTACATTTTATAAATGTTTATGCATCGGCATCAGCAGATATGCACATGAAAAATATCAGATATTGGCATCGATTGTTTTTTTTTTTAGTTTACATTCTCCTGTTAACTGGATTCACATGCGCACAAACATACACAGTTCAGAAGACTGACAGGTAGAGTACCACTACATGCATGCACACTAAAAGACCACTCTTAAGCTCACCGCATGCATATTCTGGACAGCAGGAGTCATGTCTGAAGTATGACACCATCTTCTCTCCAAATTTACACTCCAGAGGAACCGCCTCACACATACTCTGATTACACACTGAAACATATCACAGCATTCAGTTTACAGAAAAACAATGGAAAATAGGAATAAACAGCCCTGTGAAAAAATAAATATATCCCATGAAATATTTCCTTTTGTTGCTACATATCTGGGCATATCAGTATTTGATCATCAGCTAAACACTATGCATAGATAAATGTTACATAAGAGAACAAAAAACAAAGGAAATTTTACTTTGCAATAATTTATATAAAAATATTAACAGAGATATCTTTTTTTCTGTTGAAAAAGTAAGTATACCCCTGGCTTCAGTAACTGGTAAAGCTCCTTTGGACAGAAACAACTTTATGCAGGTGTTTCTTATAATGTGTCTGCCAGTTTCTGGCATATAGAGAGGAGATACTTTTGCCTCTCCTTCAAGCAGAACTATTTCAATTGTGCAATGGTTGGTTGTTTCTTGTATGTACAACCCCATTCAAATCATTCAGCTTTTCAAAGGGATTCAAATCTGGGCCTTTGACTAGGCCATTCCATAAACCTCCTTTTCTTCATTTCATTCCTTGGTGGATTTTCTTGTAATGTTTGGATCATTATCCTGTCTATCTTTGGCTCGCCTGTGCATAGCACACTGTCCCAGAAGTCCTGGTCCTTGCCTAGATATTGATTAGCAAACTAGTCTTGACTTGATTTTATTTAAACAGCAAAGGCGGCCTCCTTGTGCATCTCCTCAAATTTGTGCAGTTTCCTTCTAATGGCAGATGCATACACTTTGACATCCACAGTGGTAAGAGCTTCATGCAGATCCTGTGATGAAATGTTGAGATTCTTAAAGACTTCTTTTAGCATCCCATCATCTGCTCACGTGTTAAATTTGCTGGGGCAGCCTGGCCTGGACAAGTTGGCAGTGGTTTCAAATCTTGTCTACTTGCAGGTGATCTTCCAGACAGTGGAAGGATTGATTTCTAATATTGTGGAAACACTTCTCAAATCCATTCCCAGACTCACAGGCATCTGCATCCTTCTTTCTGAAGGTACTCAGAGAACTCTTTTTCTAGGCATGATGATACCCAAAACTCCAATAACAAAGAGCAAATCAGACCAGATATCTGAAGTTTCAACAAAACAGAGTGCTCCAAGATATTTTCTAATTGTGCTAGCACAAAGCCTAATGAGTGCTTCTCTGTGCTGAGATTGAATCCTGCTCTCCCACACGGGAGAGGAGTAACTTAGCCAAAGAGCCAATTACAAATGTACACACACGTGCATAGCTCAAAAACTACTCCACTCTCACATTACTTTCACATTACTCTCACAACCAGTACTGTGTTTTAAGTGTGTGAGGCAGTAATTTCTACTGCCAAAACAAACATATTTGATAACTAAGAAAGAATGAATTAAAAAAAAAGTGTGTTATTGAGGGTATTGTGCTAAAATGTCTGCATTTTATGATTTTTTTACTGCATTTGTAACCCTACAATGATAAATGTTACATTACTCTGTAGTACTAACCCAGGCAGATTCAGTCACAATTTCTACAGTTTAAAAATGTTTATGTATCGGTTTTGGCACTGGTAGATAAGTAGATGAAAATTGTTAAACATCGGCATTGGTTCAAAATTCTCATGCCATCTCATCTCTGTGGCCTGAAACAGATCACTAACGAAGGACTAGGAGGATGACAAGCACACGAAAATGTACTTCACATGTATACATTAAAGAAGGATTGAGAGAAAGACATCATGTTCTGAGACACATAAGTCGGACACCAGTCCTACTGCCGTCTTTTAACGTTTGAAGCATAAACTTAGTCTCCTCTTCAGACCAGTTCTTGGTCATGTTGAACATTATGAATTTTTGCTTTGACGTAAACGGACATGCACAGAATGTACTTAAACTTTCAGATTAGGAATGTAATCAAATACAGACATTTACAAGTAAACAATTTGTAGTTGTAAAACTACAAAGGGCATCTATGGTAAAAGACATCTGGCATTTTCAAGTGATATCAAAAAATGGAAAACTGAAAAAACACAGTTTAATGTGACTAATGAAGTTGTGATATAACAGTGATGATAATGTAACTTACATTGATGTATGTAAAGTACATGTATGTGTTAGGGATATGTGGAACTGACCACAGACTCTTTGTGGGCAGCAGCTGTTGTCATCTGCAAGGCTAATGCTGATTTCTCCTGCTTTTGTGCAGACCGGCTGAGGGATGTCACTGCAGTTTAACTCTACAGGCACAATGCCGTCACTCTCACACTTGTACATGCAGCAGCCATCCACTGATGCCTTCCAAACCTCGCCCAGAGCATGTGGCGCTCCGAAACTATCCGTACAGGCTGTAGAAACAATGCAACACTCAGTACAGAGAAAGAGAGAGAAAGAGAGAGAGAGAGAGAGAGAGAGAGAGAGAGAAGTAAGAAACGTATAAAAAGAGGAGTATGGAAAGAAAAAAGAGAGATAGAAAGAGAGATAGATATGGAGAAAGCAAGAAAAATAGACATGGAGAGAAAGACAGAAATGGAGAGAGAGGGATACAAAGAAAAAAAAGATACAAAAAGGAAGAAAGAGGGACAAAGGGGGGTGGGTAATAAAGTGAGAGAAAAGAAAGGGAACAAAGACATGGGGGGAGGGGCATACCACACTTGTTAGGTGGAATGCAGAGTGTGGAGTAAGGGCGATGAAGAAGAGTTCCCAGTGGACACACACAGCCCTCAGCCAGGCCCGAGCACTGATCAGCATCATACTCAAACTCCTGACTTGGACACGATGGAGCTGTGCAGGCAGGTAGACATGCCTGGTACATCAGTGTCTCAGGGCACACAAAGGCTACAGAAAACACACATCGATACTCAGAATCAGTGATCACCAAACATACATTTATCGAACTTTCCTGCATTCAAAATCCTTAAGAGCTTAATGTTACTGTTTGATCAAAGCCTTGGATTTTTTCAGTCCCTTAGAATAAAATATTGTTACATCAAAGTCAATGAATGTTCCTTCTGCACCTTGACATATTTCAGCAATAGAACATGATAGGAAGAGTGTTATCATAAATAACATTACAGCTGAGATTAGTTTGGAGGCACAATCTGAAGGTGCGAGCCTTCAGAATCTGACCAAACGGGTTGCAAGTCAAATATGTTGTTGAACATACGGCAGTAGTCTGGACTTCTCCATTCAATGCAGATGTTGAACTTATGGCAGGAAGCAACATATGCAGCAAGAGCCACGCAAGGATTATTCACATATTCTGCATCTCGTACCCACACTTCACAGAATGTAGCTGGGGGAACCTGACACAATACACACACAACACACAGTTGTAACATATGTGAGAATTTGAAATTGGTGCATGTACATACAGTGGCCTCAGTAAATCTAAGGACAGAGAAGTCAAAATTATATAATGTCATTTAGAATGGCTCTATACTTAAAATCTCTAAAGCAACTAAAACAGTTTGCTTCTACAAATCCATTTCTATTACCTTGAAACTTCTATTAATCTGCTGACTTAGTATAAAAGCCACAGGGCATGTGCTGATGCAACAGCCTGACTGGGTTTTTATTTTTTTGTTCAGTGAAACAAATTAGACAGACATTAAGCTGACAACTGACGGAGAATTCCTTTAAATGTTACTGCTATGCAAGTACTTTGAGGACACTGTGTATTCAAAAAGCTGTGGGCATTCAAGATTTAAGATGTGTATGTGTGGGGATACAATGTTTAAGATGCTACATACATAGGGATGACAGGCAGTGAAGGTAAGGTTGTTGAGCATGTTGAGGCAGTCAGAGCAGTCACTGGTAGAGCAGTTGACCTCCCTCCTCCTGCTGTGGCTAACATAGCTGGTGGTGTTGGGAACCTGCCAGCTATCAATGAACACAGCTGGATCTTCACTCTCTGTCACAACGGTACCATTTGACAGGGTCAGATCATTCAGTGGGTTACCATCACAACAACCTGCAAGAACAGGTGGGGGAAGAGGGAGCAGGCGAGAGAGAGAGAGAGAGAGAGAGAGAGAGAGAGAGAGAGAGAGAGAGAGAGAGAGAGAGAGATGCAATTAAGTTTAGATTTAAATATGAAATATGAAAACGCATTTCAACTTACATGCAACATACATTTATATTCAATAGTTTGAAGAGTAGAAAGAAAGTTTGTGACTCCGTTGCGGCGGATTTCATTTGGTGTACCTTTAAGTAGCTGAATTAGAAGGGGTGTCTGCATACTTTGGATGTACACTGATCAGGCATAACATTATGACCACCTCCTTGTTTGAACACTCATTGTCCATTTTATCAGCTCCACTTACTATATAGGTGCACTTTGTAGTTCTACAATTACAGACTGTAGTCCATCTGTTCCTCTGCATACTTTGTTAGCCCCCTTTTACCCTGTTCTTCAGTGGTCAGGGCCCCCATGGACCCTCACAGAGCAGGTACTATTTGGGTGGTGGATCATTCTCAGCATCTGGAGTTTTTAAACACCTCAGTGTCACTGCTGGACTGAGAATAGTCCACCAACCAAAAATATCCAGCCAACAGCGTCCTGTGGGCAGCGTCCTGCGACCACTGATGAAGGACTAGAGGATGATCAACACAAACTGTGCAGCAGCAGATGAGCTAACGTCTCTGATTTTACATCTACAAGGTGGACTGACAAGGTAGGAGTGTCTAATAGAGTGGACAGTGAGTGGTGTTTAAAAACTCCAGCAGCACTGCTGTGTCTGATCCACTCGTACTAGCACAACACACACTAACACACCACCACCACATCAGTGTTACTGCAGTGCTGAGAATAATCCACCACTCAAATAGTACCTGCTCTGTGAAGGTCCATGGGGGTCCTCACCACTGAAGAACAGGTTAAAAGGGGGCTAACAAAGTATGCAAAGAAACAGATGGACTACAGTCTGTAACTGTAGAACTAGAAATTGCACCTATATAGTAAGTGGAGCTGATAAAATGGACGATGAGCATAGAAACAAGGAGGTAGTCATAATGTTATGTGTGATCGGTGTATAGTGATTTACTATATATCACTATTAGTGAATGTTGGTTTTAGTGACATCACAAAAAACAACAAATTCAAAATGGGGTGCTTTTGCAATCTAGTTTACATACATGAACTGTATGGACAGGGGAGTGAACCATTTATTTTGAAACTTTAAAACTTTTTACACAATACATAACTCGTACTTTCCAAGATCCACTATTAAATAATGCAGAGATTTTTTGAGTATTCATACCGCATAGCCCCATAGTAGAAAGCTTGTTGGTGTAGGTCTCCGTCTCAATCACCATCATGCCTGTGCTGTGGAACCACTGGATCTTTAGACCGGCAGGACTCCGGATCAGATACATGTTCCCTGTATCTAGAACCTCAAATCCGTACTTCTTAAACCGTGGCTTTGCATACCTAGAGTTTACATACAACTGTGAAATAAGAGAGATCTCTTCATCAGTTATGTACCGCATATAACAAGCATGTAAAAATATGATAATAGATTAAAAACACATAGGTAAACATACAGTACTGCAGAAAGGTCATGGACTACCCTTCATTTATTCAATTTCCAGTCAAAATGGCCATTAAGTAAAAGTTATTCATTTTTCATCATCAGGAAAAAAAGTAGGAAACATTGAACAGAAAACAGTACACTTTTAGCATTTAGTGTAGCCACTTTTATTACAGCTTCCTTGCTTTCAGTCTTTCAAAGAAATCTGCAGGGATATTGTTCCACTGTTTCAAAGTTCATTGAGTAGAAAGTGGTTGCATTTTCTGCTTCTCATGATCCAAGCTAACTCAAACATTGAGTGATGAGGTCTAGGCTGCTTGTTGAACAAGTAAAACCATGCAGCAACCTTCCACGTACGGAACGCCTCACGAAAAATAAACAGATGTTTAAATGATTTTGATGCTGTGATTACATCAAAGTTATTAACAATACAAAAGACAAAGCCTACAATTATTATTGATAGCAACCTTTAGGCTACTTCACATGGTAAGCTTAGGTATGGTAAGGTTATTTTAACAAAATGCATTTAAAGGCTGTAAATGAATAAATGTGCAATTTCTATAAAATTATAGAAAGAACTAGCAAACCATACTAAGAACAAAGTTAGCTTTGAAGCCTCTGAACAGAAACATATTTATTTTCTGTGGTTTAAGCAGGCTCTCTGTAGCGATACCAATATACCTGCCATGCTGAAACTAGAGCATATTTATTTTCACTGTAAGCAGCTTTTCTGGGGTGTTACCACAACAATAACATATCAGCATGTCAGCAACAACAGCAACAATAAGTGTCCTTTTTACTCTGGGAGTGTGGTGCATCTCGAGAGCCACTTTGCATGGCCACACCCCCTAAGCTCCTCACGGCAGTATGGCCCATGGTGGATGCCACAATATGAATGTGCTCTACTTTCAAGTCTTTCAAATGAATATTTAAAAGAACAGACAGGCAATAGATACTCACACGTCTCTGTAGGCGATTAATGAGCACCATGTTGGATTCATGCGTAATGTTCAGAGCTGCCAGGCAGAGGTTAGTGAAGTTCCACACAAGCTAAGGAGAAAAAAACAAAAATAAGAGACGTCATATACAAGTATGATAAAGAGACAACTATTTAAGACACTGTCTACATGCAGAAATGAACAAAATTAAGTGCAAGTGCATATAATACACACTAGATTCTTACTCCAGGCATCATTTTTAATTTATGCCATTTATAGCTGAACCACAGGATTGATGGCTATATAATACTGACTAGTGGTGGAAATGTGCTCAAAATCAAATCAGACAAATACATCAATTACACTGTCTACATAAGCTGTTCTCTGTGTACACCTACCGTTTATTGACTATAAGACCTCTGTGCCTATCATGTAATAGAGCTGCAGGGTATATATAAATAACACTGATGATATTGCTACATACTGTGATGTGATATGCCGTGCAATATATTAAAATACACTGATGAAACAATAATTTAAAGACTGATGATATAAAGTTAAAGACCAGCCTATGCTTTTTTTGGGATCATATGTACACTAATATTACAGTCATATATAATATTATTGATTGTTGGATCACGTGAATGCCTCCGTTCATACAAACTTCTACAGAAACATCTATAATTAGTCAGGATGCTCACAGCACACATTTAAACATTTAATGACTCATTTGCATAGCTCTGTGATATCAGCTTTGCGAAGGCCAATAACAATTTACAAATAATACACTGCACAGCTGTATTATGTCTAATAAACAAACCTTGAAAGCATTAAACTACAATGAAGAATGAACTGATAAGAGAATCGGATGAGCAGCAGGCACGTCAGGAAACCAGGCACAGCAGGAAGAGGAAAGAGGGGGGAAAGGGGTGTATCACTCTCACCGTGTTGTCTGAGCTGTGGCACTCCTGCACCAGGATGCTAACTGTCTCATTGGGGAGCTGCGTGACCACGTACGATGCAGCTTTATAAATAGCCACGTTATTCCCATCAAAAGTGACCACATTTAGATCTGGAAAGACTGAACAGCGACCTACACACCAACATAAAACAAAGAAAACACTTTTAAAAACATATAACACAATATGACACAAGTAAATACATGTTTATAAAACAAATATTGTTTGGCTGTGGTAGGCAGTGATTTTACCATGGTTAATACCCTTTAGGGTGATAAAAACACTCAAACACACAGTTTTTCGTGGCTTATTGGTTTAATACTAGTGTGTGGATGCAAGTACTGGTGTGTATGACTCACATGGACATGCCCACTTTGGACAGCACTTGTCTCCATTGACCAACGCAGCAAACCCAAGCAGGCCACAATTTGGAGGGCTAGAGTCATAGGGGCAGCTCTGGGACTTATTGAACAAGAGCAGCTGGCCATTCACACAAATGAGCTTAGTGCACTCATCTACCATCTCAGAATATGGCGGCTATAAAGACATGGCCAAGCAGCATGACATCACACACAAACACACAAACACAAATACTATCTTAATTATGTGCCTGTACTGATTGTGACAGTATTAAACATGAGACTGTGATATTTAAACAACTTTTATTGCCAGTGGCCAAACAAAGGCCAGTGTATTAATGTCTAACGATCATTTGGCATAGTCATGCAAAAGCCAAGCCTGGATAATAATATTTGCAGATTTAGCATTATAATTTTATTTTTAAGCACAACCAGAAAGTATATATGAAAAGAATAAATGATCAGTTATGACTTGTGTTAAAACACATCATATCTGTCATTTTGATTTGTCTTTTAACCGCATGCATTAAGTGTAATCTTAACAGTATTCTTTTGAAGGAAGTTAAAAATTAGTGTCAGACTGTACTAAACTGTACAAAAGTGTACTGATGGAATAACCCATATCTGATTAAGTGAACTCACAGTGCAGATTTTGCTGGGAGTAGCACCCTCAGCAGTGGTGGATGTAACTGTAGTCAAATTAGTCTTCCAGTGCACTGTCTCTGTCATGTAGGGGGAGGTTGTTACAGATGTCATAGAGGTGGCTGTATAGGATGTGTCTAGAGCAGGTGGCTGTTTTGTGCTTTTTTGTGTTGCTGATGTCATCCAGTCTGGTGGCTGCTCTGATGATGAAGTTGTAGACGAGGTACTTCTTTCAGAGGCAGTAGTTGTATCATGTGGCACTGCAGGACTGGTAGTTGATTTGGTTGTGCTGACTAGCGGTCTAGCGGGGCTGGTTTCTATTGTGCGTTCAGTCCTTTGTGGTGATGTCTCCGTGCTAGGTATGGTTGAGAATGTGCTTGAAGGGCTAGTTGGAGAAACAGGCTCTGCTGTCTCCAAAGAACCAGAGGTAGATGGCATTGTGTCTGTGGGTGCAACTGTTGTGGACTTGTGGACTTCAGTGACCATCTGAGGAGAAACATGTGTTGCCATGGTAGTTTCTTTCATGGTTAAGCTGAATATTGGTGTGGTCACTCTTTCTGTTGATGGAATCACTTTGGGAACTGATGTGGAAGAAGTGTACAATGGATGTGACCAGGATGATGGTTGTGTGGCTTCAGTAGTAGAAAGTTCAGCTCTGTCAGTGTGAGGACGGACATGAGTTGTCTCTGTTTGAGGCAGGACAGTAACAAAGCTGAGGGTAGACAATGCCCTCTTGGTGGCTGATGGCCGAGGTTCCTCAGTGGTAGTGGCAAGCTTAGCTGTGGTGACTATGCCAGCTGAAACTGCTGTTGATGTCTGTGGTGCCACTGTAACTGCTGAGGTAGGTATTGTGGGTGACACTGGTGTATAAGCATGAGGTACAGTTTTTGTCTTGGTCTCAACTGTAACTGAAGTGGTTGTGCTGACTGTCTCTATAAGTCGAGCAGAGGTTGAGGATGATTCTGAGAAGGGACTCAAGCTTGACTCTGTGGAGCTTACTGTGGTGGATGCAGATACAGCCGTAGTGGATACCACTGGAGAAGTTCTGGGAGTCGTCATGTGAGTTGGTAGAGTATGTGATGGTGCCAGTGTTGACGTGACATGTGCTACAGGTGAAGGAAGAACAGTTCTGAGTGTGGTTAGAGGGGACCTTGGGGGGCTTGTGGTGACAGTGGTCCCAGATATTGTTGTGTGCTTCTCAGAGGTTAGGACACCAGGAGACCAGGGTGTGTGAGTGGTATAGAGTGTAGGCACTGGTTGATAGGTCGTTGTTGCTGAGGTTTCTACTGCTTCTGCTGTAGGTGCAGAAGACATTGTTATGACCTGCGATGTTGGCTGGACTATTTCTGTGGATACTGGTGATGTTTTGGAGGTTACAGTTTGCTCTGACTTAGAAGTCGCAGGCACAGAGGACATTGTTTGTGCTGGGAGAGGTATCTCTGTGGGTTTAGTTGGGAGGTGTGTTGTGGATGTTTTTGCCACAGTGGCGGAAGTAGGCATAGTTTTCTCCGTAGTGTGTACCACCAAATGTTCTCTGGCTTCAGTGCCACTCATCGGTGTTGTTTTCAGAGTGCTGAAGATGCTGACTGCCGTGGTGAACTCTGTGGAATGTGCTGGAGTGACCGAAGGTGGTGTGACCGTGAGTGTGTGTAATGGAGCAGATACAGTTAGATGTGCTGTGGTGGCAGAAGTACTCGACTCTAATGCAGGAGCTTTGGTTACTTTAGAGGTTTCTGTACTAAAAGGCTGTTCACTGTCTGTAAAGAGTATAGCGGGCTTTATAGTTCTGGCAGTAATAGTGGAAAGCTGTGAGACTGTGGCATGTTCTGTGCTGGTGACGTCAAGGGGTGATACTCGGAATGTGGGGGAAGCAGACTCTGTTGTGCTTCTGCTGGTAGATGCTGAGGGAGCAGGGGTAGTCCTTACTCTAGTGGGTTGCTCTGTAGAGCTAGGAGATAGAGCTACACTGGAGGCTATTGCTGAGCTGGTGCCAGTGGAGAGGGAAGCAGTCACTGTAGGTCCTAGAGTTGTAGTGGTTATTTGTGGCAAGGCTGAGGCAGATACTGTTCTTGTTTTGAGTGTGATGAAAGGAGTAAGAGAAGCAGTGCTGGGCATTTGAGTGGTTTTGGGAGTTGAAGCCACTGGCTTTGTGTAGGAGGCAGATGTTTTCATAGTTGTTACAATTTCCTCTGTCACTGGAGTAGTGCTTGGTATGGGCAAGAGCATTGACGTGTGTGTGATGGTTGTTGTAGTAGCTATACTGCTATGTTCTGGAGGGGTCTGAGTGGTTGTTGCGCTGATTGCCTCTGTTGCCAGGCTGCTTCTGGTGAAGACACTTGCTGTAGCCAGGGACATGGAAGAGGTGGCAGCAGTAGGTGTTGTTGAGATGAGGCCTGGCAGTAGTACTGGAGGCTTAATACCTGAACACAAACATAATGCCATCTACTAGAGATAATAACCATCACATGAAGAAGGGGTTACGCTGAAAGCTTAAAAGTAAATGAAAAAACAATTTACATTACATTACACAGAGGTATTAGTAACTCCATACATTCTGGATCAATAAAAGAAAAAATAGTTTTGCTATCTACTTAAGCAGGCTTAATTACAGACAAAAAGATGGGTATGGCATAGTGAGAGGTGTAGTAGCTTACAGTCCTCCAAATAGACACATCTTTGAGTGATTTCATCCAGAACCATATGAGCTGGACACTGGGGCACACATCCTTCAATTCTGCAGTGATAATCACACAAGCTTAACACCACACACATATGCTGGCACAGACAAGTGTGTGTATGCTTTTGTACATTTTCAGGACAAAAGAATAGAGAAAAAACAGGGCTCAACTTTTCAAGATCAACAAAATAGGTTAGGCTATGTGTAACGCTTTTACAAAATATGTCTTAAGACAATTTATTTTTGGTTGCTGAGGTCAAGTTTAGGGGAAGGTTTAGAGTTAGGCTTAGAAAATTCTAATCTACATACATAGTGCTGGGTAAAAGTCAGAGATCACCCTTCATTTATTTAACTTCCTGTCAAAACAAACATTGAGTACAAGTACAGTGTCAGGAAAAAGCAAAAAGCATATATTTAACAGAAAATTTCACAAAAACCTCAACAACTAATCATAATTTTATTTTTTTTTCAGAATTTATTGTGTCCACATTTTGCCTTTATTAAGTTTCCAAGTTTCCAAAGTTTAGTCTTAGAAGTTCTTTGAATTTTCTGCTCTAGACTCCATTACTCTGAGAATAACAGCAGCTTCGTTGTTTGATTTGCAAAATGTCTTCTTCTTTGTCTATTTCCTTTTCTCAGCAACAGTTTTTTGACAGCTATACCTCAGTTTGTTGAGTGGTGTTGTCTTCTTACAGTGGAAGAATGGACAAAAACACTTGTGAATTTTTCTGATCTGATGCAAGAGTTGAGGTGGATTTTCTCACATCTCTCAAAAATGCTTGCTTTAAGTATTGTTCATCTGGTGGTGGTTGTTTAGGTGGTCTACAAAGTCTTGTACTGTTGTAAGGAGTACCATTTTCTCTTTTAATAATTTTTTGAAGATTTGGTACTCTTGACTTTCACCTTCTTTATGTATGTAGATTATCTAAATCTAATCCCCTCAGAAATATCTCCTGAAAAATGAAAAACGTTTCATTGTATTTAATGGCTGACTGGACTTTGACTGGAAATTAAATAAATTGAGGGTGGTCACTGACTTTTAAACTGTACTGTGACAAATGTCCAGTTCAACATTAAACATTGCATTAAACAAATGTGTGTGTGCGCGCATGCCTACTTTAGGATGGTGACGCAGCTCAGAGCTGCTGGATCACTGCAAGTTCTGAAACATGGACTCGTGCAGGATTCATATCGCCACTGGCACCGTGACCCCATTGGGTACTCTGTGCTGCTGCCTGAGAAAAATATTCAAACAAATCACAAATGTTAGAATATACATATCTATGTGTGTATTCAGAAACCACAAAAGTATATATGTGTTGGCCTACATATCATCATTACTGGTATAATGGAATTGATGTCACAATATTGATTTTTAATTTTAGCTGTACTGATAGATATAACTGCAATGCATGTAATTTGCTTGTGTGCTCTACTTTATCAAAAGTTCAAATTCTAACAGTTCAAAATGCATAAAAACTAATCTGTTTTCTGCCTGGTTAATGTTTTTAATTACTGTGTAAAGCTCCCTTTAGCAGTATTTTAAGAGAAGCAGAACAAATGAAACAGCTATGTCTACATGCTTTCAGCATACAGTAGTAGTCCTCGGGAGCAAGAGTGTATTAACTTCATTAATGCAAACTTAATGCAAACATCTGATAATATGACTATTTTTCCCCAATATGTTGCATTGTGCAAATGAACAATAATTATATATTAAAATGTGCTGGCATGTGTTTGCTATAGAGGATATGTTAAGTTATTTTCATAGAAAATCAACAAAACATGTAATTTGACTGGGAGTGTTCAAACTTTTGCACACAATTGTTTATATATGAGTGAAGAGATGCCCATGTGTTTATCCACTGACTCACTGGCAAATTTAAAGAGAATGGCTCTACGGTAGTGATCTGAGTGGCTGTACTTCAGGAGTTGGAGCCTTGACAGCATGTAGTGCAGGAAGAATCCAGGCCACACGAGTGACTCTAGTGAATCAAATCCAGAGATCCATGTGTCCCTATGTAGTACAAACGTCGCCGCATCCCAGAATGCCCTGCTCTCCTCCCACTTCCGAAGTTTCAACCGGCCACCGCGCTCTGCATGGAGAAAATAGTTTGGCCTGTCTGACGCTTCCAACGATATCAGTGAAGAGTCTGCAGCAGAGAAACAGTAACATTCGAATTAGAGTATGGAGGTTCAATCTAAAAACACATAGCACAACGTGATTATAGCACAAGCACAAAAATAAGTTGGAAAAACACCACTGGTGCGTGCGGGTGTGGCAGCTTAGAGGTGCTGCTGTGACATCCAATCAAATCAACTCTTCTCATTCCCTATAAGAACCATGTATGCATAGCAACATTTATCTAACAGCAGGGTATCATCACCTTTGTAGATGTATTCCATTACCTCAATGGATAGTGAAAAAACTATCATCTTATAGATTTCACATATATTTTAGTAGTAAATAAGTAAGAGAGAACAGAGCACAAACACTTGCTTATCTCTCATATATGTGATGACCAAATATGTACAGAATCTGGTATTTTAAAGCAATAACCCATTCAAGGCAGTGTATTACAGTGATTTTAATATGGTTAGGCTGTGTTAGACACAACATGAAGTGGGGTGAAATTACTGTGTAAAGACAGGCTTGAGTGGATTACTGCTTTTATAAAGTGGTGAAAAATTACAAGAACATAAAATGCACCAATGTTATATAAATAAATTTACATTTTCAAATAATAATTGCACTGAACAATTAATAACCTAGTGATAATAATATTAACTTCATTTATACATTAATAATAATTAATAAATAAATAATAAAACATTTAAACCTAACTTAAATAACTCAAACCTAACTAGGCAAATAAAAGAACAAAATAACATAATAAAAAAAAATATTTAGTAAATAAACCAATGTGTGCTACAGCTGTCGAGCAACATAAAGGTCAAAGATTATTCCATGAACAGCCCAGTGGTCTTCAATATCTTGGTGGACTATTTAAGAATTCAACTGATCTGTGCAAACATTTTAGAATGACCATATTTTATGTTCATTAATTTATAGTATGCACTGTCATTTTCTGGCTGCCTGCATAGCAAGTGGTTGCAAAAGGGAATGTTCTTGCACCTTGTACCTTGTAGCTTTACTTTATTTTTATAAATGCTTTTATGTCTCTTTTCACAAACTGTGGTCTTGCAATATGGCAAATGATCAAAGTGTGTAAATTTTAAGTCTTGTGTCTATGAAAACATCCTTCGTGAAAAGAAAAAAAAAGGATAATTCTGCAGTATCTAAATGGTACTGTGTGTGTGCACAAAATAACATCTGCAAGTGCATAAGTGTGCAAATGGACAGGCCAGGAGTCATCAATTTTGGTCCTAGAGGGCCCGAATCCAGCACAGTTTTGTAATGTCCCTGCTCAAACACACCTAATTCAATAAATCAGTTTACCAGGTTTAGGAGGTGTGTTGGAGCAGGGAAATCAACACACTGTGCTGGATAAGGGCCCGTATTCATGCAGTTTCTTAAAGTGGGAGAGCTGTAAAGTCACAGTAAATAAGAGAGAAATCTGATCCAAGATCAGCATACCTATTCTGAGAAGTTTAGTAAATACTGGCCCAGAATTGATGACCCCTGGTATACACTGCTTATCCATCTGGTATTTTTCTTTACCGTGTGGTCGGGTTTTACTGAGTCCTGGGGTCATCATGAATGTAGTCACAAGATCATCAGCGCTGGCCAATCCTCTCTTCATGAGCACCAATCCACTAGTCCGATTGGCTGTCAATATCAAGCTCCTCTCCCTAAATGTTATCAACCTGAATGGACCCTTCCCTAGGACTGCATAATAATATTTTGCGCAACGTACATGCATGCACACACACACACACACACACACACACACACACACACACACACACACACACACACACACCTCTATAATTATCAGAAAATGTTGTGTAATGCTTGCTGAAAACAAAGACGATAGATGAATATATGCATACCTTTATTGTAGTATTCACAGTCATATGCTGTAATCAGAAACAGAAACAGGGTTACTCCTTACTCTAATCATCTCATGCACAAAAAACAAATAGCTAGTAATTACGTTTCTATTGTAACAAACAGAATCTGTAAAATAAGAGGTAATTAATGGAAACCGTTAAACATCCTGGGAAGCTCTGCCCATGGTGCCAATCCTGGTGATCTACTGAACCGCAAAGTTATCTGTTGATATCATTTGTTTTCAGAATTTGTAGCTCCTTAAAATCTGTTATTTGGTATCAGTCACAATGTTTTTTATATCATTAGGCCCCACAGATTATTTTGTTATAAAATCACTCACGGCAGAGGGATGGGGAGCGCCAGTCGACAGTGATTCCCTGATGGCAGCAGCGGTGAGCATATGCGGCAACACTTGTACAGAAGCACTCACAGTCCCCACCACGGCTACAGCCACATGTGTCTGCCAGGCAGTTCATATAGAACCATGTCACATCCACCTAAAGAACATTGAATCAAACACATTATATACACAGTTTTTTGAATTGTAAAAAGTGCTATATGCATGAACTGAACAGCAAATTCACCTACAGCAAATCAGTCACACTGTAACACTCAAAAAATTTACATATGTCCAGTGCATCTGTGCATTACACACAAATTCATATAATAACACAGCACACAAACAGTTCCCTGAAGTTCTAAAGTAAATTCTGATGACTGTAATTCCTACACTCACCACTGGGTGACAAACTTGAAACACTTCACCGAGCAGAATTCCACACTGTCTCTTAGCAAAGGGTTCACGGAGAGGGTTCAAACTGCATGGGTGCCTTATGTCAGGACTATTGACACACTGAAGACATGAATGCACACATACATATGCATATATACAGAGAGTGAGAGAGAGACAAAGACAGGTACAAATTTAAATATATATCTGGCTACAAATTACAAACAAAAGTTGTACGTGTATTTAATCTCCAACCCAAAAACGTGTTTTGTGTACTATTAACCTAGTAAAACAAATAAAGTCAAGCTTCATCTGACAGTTATCCTCTGCCTGTGCTCTGTATCAAGCTTTAACAGCCTTTGTCCAAATGCTGCTCATTGTGAACTACCCTTTCGACATTTTCACAGACCACTTATAATGTTGCTATAATAAACTTGTTTAAGAAACACAACCTTAACAGTTAAATGCAGATTAATTTCTATCTACTTCTATTTTCATTCTTGGTTTCCTGAGTAAAATTATACAAAAACAAGCAAATAAAAGCAACAACAAACAGCAGTATTTATGAGAAAATTCAGCAAAGTTTGAAATTTTGTTCTCGCACTTGAGTGTATGTGTTTGCCTTGCCTCTGCTGCAGTCCAGCTGTTGCCAAATTCCTGAGGTGTTGCTGAGTCCATGTTGTCTGGTGTTCTCATTTCATTCACTGTTTTTAGATCAAAGTTCCCACATAAGCCAGAGAGTTTACCCTGGAAAGATACATCAACACATAAAGTACAGTTTAAATATGCCAGGCATGCTGTTTGAAAAGCTGTCTTTGTATTTGATTTTACATTTTTTGAAGTCTCTGAATCAATAACACAACAGTGACAGTGATGTTTGTGTGTGTGTGTGTGTATCAGAATACTTGTGTGCAGCATACATATGGTGGATTTGTGGATATAAGTGTGTGTGTGACCTGCCAGCGGGGTCCAGCCTGTATGTGTATGGTGGTTTTCCTGTCCCAGAGCACTGTCAGCTCATATTGCAACAAGTGGATGATGGTGAAGTAGCCTGCACTCCAAATCAACATGTTCTGCCTGTCAATCACACTGGATGGGCTCTGCACATGGCAAAAATTTTCAACTGGACTCAATATTGAACACACATAAACCCCTCATTTCACATTAGTAAGTAAAAGCATGATAAAGCAGACTACACACAGGGATGCACCAGTATGAGAATTGTTGGCCAATATTTTTCATGCACATAACTGCTGGTGGCTATACCAATACATAAACACTAATAAAACGTAGAAGTTGGCACTAGATCTATCTAGATTGGCAGTACACAGTAATCTAATATTTTTTGCTCTAGGATTAATTAAAGACTAAATGCAAACATTTTAGCACAGTAACTCTAGTATGTATATCTATTAGTAACTATGAGATATGAGTCAAATCTTAAACATCTGCAGATACTGATACACCCCAATTATACACATACAAAGCAACAACAAGGCACTGCAAATACAATTTTATTTATTCAAAGTGATTAAAAAACTGCCAGTACTCTTCGTAGTTCATACTGAGCACTGACTTAAAGTATTATTAGCATCACTTTCGCATCATTTAACTCATTTAACATTAAACACTGTATATTAAGGAGACTAAGTGATACAGTGAAATCAGACTGCTCTTCTTGCGGCTGAATCATGAAATACTGTCTCAGTGTAAGTAGATTAGAATGAAATTTTCTGAGAAAAAGCCCTGGGGGGGATGGCATTCCTTTGCATCCCCCTCAAATGGAACCCTGCCCGCAAGTGATTTTTTTGGTATTAGAGAGATTAGAGTGAATTTGTTAGTAGGATCACTCACAGGTTTGCCGCTTTCATCATCAAACACTATGAAAGATCTTCCTATTGAAATGAGGAGAGCTTTCCTGCAGATCACACCGCTTTCAAAGCAATCCACATTCTCTGCTGTGATGCTGATTAGTACATCAGCCGAGCTCTGACACAGACATGTGCACAGACAGATAAAGACAGACAGACACAGAATTATGAGCAGACACTGTCAAAAATTTCAACAATACAGAAAGAAAATATGATTATTTCATAAAGTAGAGACTTCCCACCTTTAGTAGGTAAACTTTGCAGGCTCCAATATAATCAAACAGCAGTCCATCAAATGTGCGGTAGTGTCGATCTCCATATGCAGTGCACATTGATGCACACGGATGGAACTCACACTGGAATGAACCATGCTGACACACACTAGCACAAAACATTTACTTTTAGACATTTACTTTTTCTTTCTTGTATACTGAATTTAGCTGTTGTAAGCATCAAAATTTCATAGTACTACCTTTATACAACTATACAATATTTTATCCTGTTTATACAATGGCATTGAAAAAGCTTGTGACTTCACACATAGATATAGTGCTTATATAGCTAAAAAGTATTTGTATTAAAAAAGCATTTGCTCTTTTTTTAATTCACATTGGGCCTTATTCATCAAAGTTGTGTAGAAATAAATGCAGATTTTAAATCCTTATTTTCTTGAAAATTAAATGTACATGGAGCTAAATTTGTGCTAGAAGTTTAAAACAAAATGATATAAAAACAAAAGCAAAACATTAAGTATCAAAGTGTTTAAAAAATTGCAAATACAAATAACATTTAAACCAAACGTACTTTTCAAAAGATATTCAGCACTCATTTTCACGAGTGATTTTCAGTTCTTACTATTTGTAGAGTATTAACTCATTTTAAGGGTGGGTCTTAGAAGGCTGCATGTGAAGGGGGAGTGCATTTTAAGTGTCTAATGGACAATTGATTTTTGAGTGCCAGGTCTTCTGACCCTTAGCCTCTACCACTCAGTGGCAGAACTCAAAGTAGCAGAACACATTGTGTCAAGTGCAGTACTTTACAAGTATGTCTGATTTTTTAATATAATGTTTCCCATATCTCATTTAACTTATTAATATAATACATGCACATTATAATAAATTATTTAACTACTATGAGCACAAATCAAGCATTTTTTTGGTTATTAAGAGATTACATTTACATATATATGATATACAGATATATATTATCAATTTACATTTGCGAGTCAAATTTACCTACACTTATCAATTTTGACTATACGCAACTTTAATGAATACAGGCCACTGAGCACCTTGGCCTTTATGACTGAAAAACTACAGTTTTCTACCGGATTCCTTAACTATCTTTCATGGTAGTTGCATGAACGTGTATCAGTGTGTGGGTCCTGTTTGTAAATCAGTGACTGAATGAACACTTACCACTGGTGGCAGGGAGAGGACACTTTGTCCCCTGGGTAATATTCTTTACCCTTCCATAAACATGGACAAGCCACAGGCTCAAAACACTCATCACCATGCTTCAAAAGCCTAGAGGATAAACACACAGATTCATATGCTAAACAGGCAGTTTGTGTGATGTAAAAAAAATAATAATAAATAAAAAATAAAATGGATTAATTAGTGTATTTGGCCAGACTGTTCTGAAGGTTATGACGGATATTTCATGAAGCTTTTCTAGCTTCAAAATCACAAAACCTATTTCAAGTGACTGAAACCAGATTTCTATGTTTCAAAATGAGTCAAAATAAGTTCCTCTCCTTCATATATAAGCATCTGTAGGAAAGATCACATAAAAATGCAGCTGATTACATATTCCGAGTTTCAATGGGTATTTTTACATTAATTATCTCTATTTTTAATGGGGAATTTCACAGATTTTTTTTTTTATTTCTATGTAATTCAATCACTGACACGTAAACAGCCATTCAGAGTGATTTTAAAGCATAGTCGTTCATTGTAGAGCAAGTTATGGACTTGAGGGTTGCAACGTGTACAATGCCCATATATATACCCATTTATTAACAATCCAAAATCAACAGTGAAACTACATGTGTTATAGGGGCAAAATAGTGGTACATCAGTGTTTTTTTTGGCCACTATTTTGCCTTACAGCAACGTGCATGTATCTCTACGCCAGGAATGGATTTTTAAAAATACGCTTTAGGTCAAAACCAAAACTATCATAAAACAATGTTTCAGACACGACGAAATGTATTTCTACGAATCTGGTGTAATAACTTTCCGTGAGAGAGCTTTAAGAGGTGTTAAACTCTTCAGGCATCTGGTTCCTATCACTACAACTGTGAACAATTCTGACTTAGTAAGCTTCTAAATAGAACAGATCACTTCAAATCAAGCCACACAGAGTGACTTAGTTTAGACCTTTATAATTTAATTATGCAGAAACGCAAAAAAAATCAGTGGAATTCCCTATTAAAAAAAGGAGTAAATGAGCATTAGTGTCGCAGACGCGTTGTTTGGTGACTTCCAACCATAAAGGCTAAACAGAGGCTCAAACCTAAAAGAACATTTAACAACAGAACAACCTTTCCCAAATTCTATTTTTTGGCATCAGAGGAAAACAAGAACAGCCCTGTAGAATGTTTTGGGGAGGGGAAGCTGCCTCTTTTTCACTTACCTAAAGTTTGTGTTAATTTCAGATGAACTGAGTGCATACTGCTGCCACATCAAGGCACATGTGGTGCTGTGCCTTCTCACATACATATATATGGATCTGAGACTGAGAAGTGCTCAATTGGACAGATGGCTGAGAGAAGCCACAAAAACTGTGAGGAAAAAGTCAATTTTCATTCTCACTGTTCCAAAGAGTTCCCCTCTCTCTCTCTCTTCCTCTTTACAGATAAGGATCTTGTAATATTGAATCATTTTCACTGGCCCCAAGGCCCAGAGAGGGTCATGAGAGTGAAAGTTCCCAGGGCAGTGTGTGTGAGCACTGCGTAAACTTACACCCCAGATAGAGAGGTGCTAACAGCTCTCTTTCTCCACCTGCCAGAACGCTAGATCACTTACTGTCTTCAAAGCATCCATAATCACCAATGAATTGCAAGCATTGCTTATGATCATCACACACTCTCTACTTCTGCTTCTTTCTTACGATCAAATAATAGTGTGTTAGTCAAAATTCAAAATCCTCTTTTCTAAACACTACAGACTGAACTAAGGTCACTAACTTGAGGTGGCAAAGCACTACCACTTAACCACTTTCACTTATCAACTTTACATCACATCTTGTGTTAGTTGCTCTGAACCTGATGTACAACCATCCCGCTTGTTTTATATTCTGTAAAACCCAGTTGTGAACCGTGACTGCTATAGCTAGGACTTTAGTTGGGATCATAAATGTTAAAACACGGATGTTTGAAGCTTGTAAAAGACATTCCAGATGCTTTATTTTAAGCTTGTAACAGACATTAACATACATTTTACCTTGTGGGATGCAGTTTTTCAGTGACTGTTTTAGCATAGAGCACTGTCATAGAGTTGCCACTGCTTCCTTTGCTGACACAGTTAAACTTTTGCTCACATTGTTTTTCTCACAATATTAGACCCTCCGATTTTTGATCAAAACCTAATAGGTTGGTTCCACTATCGATTTGTAATTATCTTCTAGTTAATCTAATGTGTTTGACACTGTTCCACTCCTAAAGGCAAACGGGGAGAGCTTACTTGGCTGTATCTGTCTAGATATTGGGACAAAAAATTGGATATTTGGAAAGTAAAACAATATTTGCAGTAAAAACAAAATGTCCTATTGAAGAGAATTTTCAGCCATTATTTTGTACCTAGCTAGATGGCCAACTAATGGAGTTAGCTTGCTTGTGTAGCTTTTTATCCAGCAAAATCTGTTACAGTGTTACAAAGAAACAAACGCTCGTGGGTTCAAATTTTCTTCTACACTAGGCAGGACTTTGAAAAGCTGTTATGTGTATTCAAACTGGTGTGCATGCCAAACCAGTTCTAGTTGTAGCAGGTAATTAAGCCTAATAAATGGCTTGCCGTTTGAGAAAAAAAAAGTATAAAAGTATAACCTTTTATAAACTAGCTACAGGAATGCAAGTTTATTGAGATGCCTTAACACCAAATTCACCTCTGCTCTTAATAAGTGATGAGCAACCGTGTACCTAGGGCAGGGGTTCCCAAACTCAATCCTGACAACCCTATGCTCTGCACATCCTGGCACTTGTTAATTAGTTAATGAATTGAATCAGGTAAACTTGATGGGACAAAGCACAAAAATGTGCATAGTGTTGGGTCGCCAGGACTGGGACTGGGAACCCCTGATCTAGGGTGTACCTAATCTCACAAGCCACACCTGAAAAACATTAGATAGTCTTGTGCGTTTTGTCACTCGCTGTGGAAAATAACTGCCTACTTTGACAGGAAAGGGCCATTTGACATAGAAAAATAACCAAACACAGTGTTGTGACTGTGTGGCAAGCTTTTTTTTTAACAGGCATACATTAATGGAAAATAAAGAGACAAGCTAAAGTAAGAACACCTCAAGTTCTTCATAGAAAACTGCTGAATAACGTTAAAAGATGTAATGTTATGACAGATGTTTTTTTAATCTAGCTCCTATATCTTACTCAGAAAGACTTGTCATGGCAAAGAGATTGGGAACTGTTTGTAAAACTGTTTCCCATCATATGCAACTCACACAACGGCGATAGATGTGACCAGCTTATGCCAGGCATTCATATACCCTGAAAGATGAAAACTGAGAGCATGCCACACTTCAGTCTTTTACATAATTTCTTGTCTTCATATCATGAGGATGTGTACACTAGACGTCCAGGGAGAGCGAGGGTATCGCAGATATGAGTTTCGTCTACAAATAAGCATTCAAAATTCCAAATCTTACTGTTATCACACAAACAATGCTGAAATTGCGCCAGACTTCTTGTGCTTTGTCACTTTACCTTTTTTCAGTCTAATAGCGCTTTCATTGGCTACTACATGAACCACTTGTTTGGTTATAATACTGACCTCAAATTACAGGACAGTACCTGTGAATGTTCCGAGTTGTAGAAATCCTACAATTGTTATATACACCAGGGGTTATAGGACTCTATTATGGTACTAAGGATATGCTGTTTGTTCTGGATTTGTGTGGATTTGTTGAGCATTGAACATTGTAACACTGTGATGGAATTTCGCAGGTGGAATGGTGCCATCTAGAAACAAGCCATGTGAAGTTCAACTGGTTGGACAGTACTTGCGAAAAAGTTAAAACAATGGCTTTAAATTTCTGGATGATGCATCTGCTTTAAGCATGGTGTGTGCCATAAGAGGCTATGTGGCAGTTCTTCTGAAACACAAATGAAAATGAACTACAATGAAAATGAACAGCCAGTTCCACACCTTTGTGTTTTAAAGTAAAGATTTACTTATTAATTTCTATTTCAGCCAAATATCAAATTTGCCTGAAATGCACATTTCTACCTGATAAATGCACATAAGTGCATTCATAGCATTTAAATGCAGTATGCATGTACTTTAATGGTTCAGAGACTGGCCAAAATAAAAAAAAATAACTAATAGCTTATTAGTTAAGAGCGAATATTGTCTGTTTTTTAATCTTGGCCAATTCTGATGGCCAAGTGCACCCCTAGTTACTAGCCAGAGTGACCATTCCTTGGCATTATGTAGACTATTACCTACAGGTTAACCTACATACAGAATCTCAACATCCACCTTCTTGACCTCTAAAAATACAGTAAAATATTGAACAGCAACCTTATGAAACCTTTTATTTTGTTAGCTTTTGGTCTAATGAAAATGCGCTGATTTGGTGCTACAGGCAGCAGGAATGTCCTTAAGCTGCTTATCAGTCATTTGATCCAGGTGTGCACCTGTTTACAGAGTAAATAAGCAGTACAGCTATGGGCATAATTGCTCTCCTTCATTAGGGCAGGAATTTGCCTGCTCACAAAAAGTGCTCTATACCCTCCTATCAGCAATGGAAAGTCAGACAGAGACAGACAGACAGACAGACAGATAGACAAGGTAGGTCAATAAAACTTGTTACACATTTGTCCCTGTACGTACAAAATCTCATTAGACAGCTGAATATGATAAACAGCTAAACTGCAAAGTAATCTGGCAATCACCACGTAGTCAAATACACATCCACTAGCATGTAACTGAGGGTTTCAATAATGACTCAATAAGGATTTTAAACATATCATATAACACACCGCAAGTTAATAAATGCTAAAAATCTAACAATGACCTGTATACAGAGAAAATTCCTTAATAAGAAATTCCTTAAAAAAAAACACTGGCCTATTTAATTCATGTAGTGTGAACAAGTTCATAGAGTAATCTGTGTCCTGCTTGAGCCTGGTGCACGTATCAAATATCACTAAAATACATGGTGACTGTGACTGTAGTGAACTTTATCAGACCAGACAGACTGCTTTCTCAGTTTGGCTGTCAAGGAAGCTGAATTTACGTGTGTGTACGTGTGTGTGTGTGTGTATGTGTGTGTGTGTGTATGAAAATGAGAACAATGGTATGTGAATGAGTGTAAGAGGTAGAGAGAGAGGGAGAGAGAGAGAGAGAATGAGAGATAGAGAAAGAGAGAGAGATAGAAAGTCAAAAGTGAAAAGCTACTTGTGTCTCCAGATTGTCAGACTTCCTTGAGAAGTGAACCTTTATATTATATCTCTCTTTGACTGAAAGTATGTACTAGGAATTTTTCATCTCGCAAGAAGAACAAATATACTTTTTTGTGTATGGTTTGCATATCTGTGTAAGATATCAGGAAATGTGTACCAAGCTATTGTGTGCTCATAACATACTATCAGGATGTTACTGTGTGTGAACTGGATCCTATTAGGTGAGCACCAGATATTCTCGGGTAACCATAAGATATTATCACATAAGCACCGTATATAATTGTGCGAGCACCTGACATTACATTATGCACACAAGATACTAAAAGATATTATTGTTTTTGCACCAGATACTATTAGTATCTGGTGTGCACACAATAATATTTAGTGCTTACATGATATCTGGTGCTCACCTGATAGTATAGTACACCAAGTGTTTTTAAGTGGCAATCATAAAAACAGTTGCAAAACAATGTCTCAATCAGGCATCAGGCAAAAAATCATTTTAAACCCTGTTATTTTCCAGATTAAATACTGTTGACGAAACTGTTGCCTGCCTTTTTCTCTGCCTTCACAACCACATGAACTCTTTAACCAGTTTCACAATCAGCACAGAACTAATAAACAGGTCCTCACTTAATAATGAAACTTCTACTACTACTAACTACTAATCAGTATCACTTTGCCCTCATAGCATAGCAATTCACCTCACTGTGCAGGTCGTACTACACACATCAATGAGTCACCCATCAATGGCACATTTAATCAGTTCCAGACTTATCAATACCCTCATCGGCATGTTTCTCATTCTGGCATAAGGGGCCTTTGTGTCATATTTATTCCAGTCCAGATGCCAAACTATCAAGTTGCAGGAACTTATTAAACACTCATGACAGAGTCTCAGCACAGAGATTTCATTCCCATGGTGCCACTGTGTAAAAGGTTTCCGTTTAAAAGGTCAACAAGTCGAGAATAGGTGAATCACACACACAAGAGCCATCTAAAATATCACAAGCCCCCTGTGTACAGTCTAGCCCCTCACTCTCTATCCTCCTCTGTGCTCATTCTATTCACCACACTAATGAATATTCAATAGCATTTCTCTCTTTGTAAACGATTCATTTACAATTGTAAATCTTGTGACCTCTGTTGCTCTCAGGAGGTCTGAATTTTTAATACTCAGTGGACAGGCAGAAAACACGTCTGCATAATCTAAAGCAAACAATGAGTTCATTTAAAAGGTATAATGATATATGTATGATTTTTTGTTTATAAAGATGTTGCAATCAAATGAATATAATAAAAACTGACTAAGCAGGACTAATTATGCTCTCTTTGTAATGAAACATTACAAAGAGAGCATAACATTAAATTACAATTTGTCAGTGTTCCTTAAGTAGTGTCACTACAAAAATATCATATTGCCTACCTCTGCTTTTGTAACTGTCTCTTTTAGGAATTCATAGAGAGCAAAACTTACTTAAATCTTTAACCATAAATGGTTCACAAAACAGGAAAACAGATAATCTAACATTAAGAACATCTAAATGCTGCCTTGCAAGCAGCAGCTCCTACAGGGTGGTAGCTGTGTAGGTAAGCGGATCGGCAGCCCTCTTATCACGCTGTTGTGGCTAAGGATGGCTTTAGGAAGTTAAGCTCATGTTATGGCACTTAACCTGAGTGTGCTTGTGTCGACATTGGCATTAAACATATCAGTTGACAAAAATCCATCGGCAAAGCAGGAGCACTCTCCACTGCCTTTACTGGGAATCTGACATGAAAGTCGAGAAGGAAGTGGACTTCAACAAAAAGAACTCTTGTCATAGTCTACACAGCAAGCAGCTCTTTTAGAGCCAGAGTAAAGCAGCTAATGTTTTCTGTCTGCCATGGTAAAGCAGCCTGTGTTCTGTCTGCATCATTACAGCAGCTACGCAGAGGTGGGTAGAGTAGCCTAAACCCATACTCAAGTAAAAGTATCAATACTTGGGGAAACGTAACAACTGAAGTAAAGTACCTCTACAAAAAACTTACAGAACTGTAAAAAAACTGTAACTTACAGAACTGCAGTGAAGCGTCTTAGTAAATCCAGCATCTATCAGCACAGGAAATGAAGTTTGTTATGCTCTACGTTTCTCTTTTTTTTTTTTATCTAAAAGTAAATGCTAAAAGCTCCAAAGTGAGAGATGTGACCAACCTTAAACCAGCACAATTGTTTTCACCAATTAAACGCACTGAAATTACAAAGAAATTTGTAACTAAATATGAAAGGCTAAAATTAAACCAAGTAAAAAGATTCAATAGAAGTATAAGGATTTTGATTTAAACATACTCAGCAGAGAACAAATTCATCAATGTTTTCATCTCTTAGGCACTAACCACAAGTCACCTTCTCTCCCATCAAAATAATCACCCCGGCATAATACGTAAACAAGTTGGGTAGTTTACGGAAAATTACCACTTTGTTTTCTTACTTTATTGTTTCATGGGCTTCTAGTATCTGAATCTCATACAAAAGAAAAGAGAATATAAACTGTTTTAACAAACATAAGACACACATTTAACAGATCCTTACACATTCATTTAATTTCTAGTCAAAATGGCAGTTAAGTGCATGTTATCCGTTTCTCAGCATAAGGGAAAATATATTTTTAAGTATAATATATTGTAAATATATATAAAATTATACAAAAGCCTTTTGTATATGTACTACAAAAGTGTGTAGCGTGTTTGCCCTTTTCCTTTATTATAGCTTCCATTCTTTTCAGGAGACTTTCTTACAGTTTTTCAAATAAATCTGCTGGGATATTTTTCCACACCTCCAATGATCAATCTTAGAAGTTGGTTGTATTTTCTGTTTCCCACAATCCAAGTCACCCCAAACCACTTAATAATGTTGAAGTCTCAGCTCTGGGGTGGCTGGTCTACTGTTCTAAGAACTGCAGTAGTTTCTTTCTTTGATAAGTAAGTCTTGATCAGCAGTGTAACTTGGGGTCATTATCCGGCTGTAGAATTCATTTGCTCCTAATGAGATGTTTCCAGCATTTATGATGCCTACAAGCAAAAACAAATCACCAACTCCAAATGATGTTAAGCATCCCTAAACTCCGCCTTGCACTGATCCTCCCCCATGCTTGATTGATGGTTGTAGACATTATTTACATAGTCTTTAATGGCAGTGTATATACAGCCTGTGGTTACTCCAAAATATCTCAATATCTACAAATCGTCTTCCTTTTTGTCTATTTTCTTTTTCAGGAATGACTCCCTGACAGCCGAACATCCTTTCATATCCTTAGTGCTAAACTGTCTTCTCACAGTGGAAGGATGGACAGAAAGCAAATTTAAGATAGGAAGGAAGGAAGCAACAAATTTAAGATAGCAGGAAAATTAAGGTGGCAGTAAATTTAAAGAAGCAGTGGCTTTAAGGTGGCAACGAATTTAAGGTATGAGGGAATTTAAGGTATCAGTAAATTTGAAGTGGCAGTGAATTTAAGGTGGCGGTGGATTTAAGTTGTCTAAATTCAAGGTGGCAATGTATATAAGATATCAGTAAATTTTAGGTGGCAGTGAATTTAAGGGAGCACTGGACTGAAGGCAGCAATTAATTTAGGTTAGACTGAGATGTAAGGTGGCAGTGGATTTAGGCTAGCAGTGGACTAGCAACAGCCTAGCAACACCTTACCAACAACCTGGGACACCATAGCAACCACCCAGCAACAACTTACCAACCACCTTGCATACCATAGCAACCACCTAACAACATCTAAGCAAAACCTAGATGACAGCAACCATCAATAGTCCTCTGCCATTTTAACTTTTTAACATAATTAGCTTAAAGTTCATGCACAAACTTTCCCTTTTTAGTTTATTATGTTGATATTAAGTAAGCACATAACTCTCACTTACAACACAACCTCACTATGCACACTACTGCGCTGAAAGCCTTTTTGTAACCTGAACTCAATTACGCACCAGATGAAAAGAACAGAACTGGCCCATTTCTATTGTCATTGCTTTGCTGTGGCATAGTACGGTATAGTATTGTATACTGTAGTCTGGTTTGGTTTAAATGTTTTGGTCATCGGATAATTTCATATTTGTCATGTGTGTCGGTTTTAACACAACACTGTCTGCAGCAAACACAATACCCAGGTAGGACACTCCAGCATCAAATCCCTAGACATGTCTAGGCATCATCCTGAAGAATTGCCAGGACCTTAGTCACCAAAAAAAAAAAAACACCATCCGTCATGCTGTACAGTTATATGCAAAGGTTTGAATAGTCCTGGTCAAATGATATGTTTTGTTGATTTTCTAAATGAAAATAAGTCAGCACATCCTCCACAGGGAATATAAATGTGCCATAAAATTTCAAATTTTTGTGTTTTTTTTTCAATATGTTAAATTCAGCAAATAACAGTAATTGCATTTTAATCAAGAAAATATGACCAAGGGTGCTCAAAATTGCACATGACTATGTCTGATGAGCTGTTCAGTGTCATACTAAATCATGAAGTTGCTGCCAATACCAAGTCCTAATACAGCCGTCCAAATGTCTGACTGGTACTATGGAAAAAGTACTAGTGCAAACCCTAAGTGCTCTGGCAATTCTGACCCTGCATCTGAATACAACACTCTGATTCAGTTCTCTACTTAATACTGGAAAAAAACAATAACGGATGATGAAATAGCAGCATCATTGTACTCACCCTGGGGAGCAGACGCAGCCAGGCACACAGGGCTCATGGATGGAGCAGGTGAGGTTGAGTAGGTACGACTCACACGTGCGGTCACAGGCCAAACCCTTGCTGGCTGAGAGCCCATCCACCATATTCCCACAGTCCTCATAAATCTGCCCTGGAGGGCACAACTTATCTGAGGAACAACACATACACACACACATAGAATTTTGGTGCAACAGTCACACAGACATACACGCACACATAGACACACCACAAAACGTACCAATACTAACGTACCAATACTAACGTATTCATCAATTCACATTTATTCACGATGTACCAATATTCAAATCTCAGCATCTGCTAAGAATCTAAAATAAGTATATACAGTAGCCATAAAAAGTATTTGGACACATAACCATAACCATTAAACCATTAATAAGCTTTAATAAAGCTTTTTAGGTTACTTTTAAAAAATCTTAACTAAATAATTACTGTTTCAGTAAAAAACACTTTCAGCACAAGAACTAACTGACTGTCAATGAGCTTGTGTCCACTGATGGGACTGTGCATTAAACAAATACATATCTACAGAAGCCTGCAAAGAAACTGCTCAAATGACAGATGTGGATCTTTCAGCAGAATAACTATTTGAAACATTGAAAATGACCTGAAACATCGCCTATTGAAATAATACTTTGCCCTAAAAGAAAATTATTTTGTTTCCTAAAACAATGAACTTAATATATTAGTTTTAGCTGTATGGGACAAATGTCCAAATACTTTTGGGGGCACTGAAGATATTACACCTATGTGTCATACATGTATTTTTATTCACAGTGTCAAAGTTAAGAAATTTAAGTTGATAAATTATTAACACCACAAATTTCTTTAATGGCATTAATGCATTTTCTAAGTTGAACCAGCATCTGTAGCTCCAGTCTCAAGCCCAGCTGCTCATGCACTCTTGCTACAACTCCGGTATACTTTGTAAAGTACAAGTTTTTTTTTTTTTACTTTTAAAATCCTGGGGTGCCCAAACTTTTGCATACAACTGTAGCTATAACAACATGTTGTGCTTTTTAAAAGGAAACATTTCAACAAATAAGATATATAGAATTAATCGCAATTAACTACACAAAACAATGTGATTAATCGTGATAAATTATTTTGATTATTTGACACCAAATGTTTATATTTCAATTGAATTGAACACCCTACTAGCACACTTCAGCTGTTTCAAAAAACAATCTATACAAGAACATAATAAGACATACACTATCACCACTATCACACAAACATTCTAAGCCTAAAAACAGCACACGAATACCAGAACTCAGATTTGAGACCCAAATAATGTCACTAAATAAAAGTGTCACTCACCAGTAATAATGCTCTGTAGGACAATTTTTCCATCTTGACAAATTCTAGACAGAGAACGATGATAAAATTATCAGAGTAATGTAAGTGTATTTGTCAAGCGTATACAAAACAATCTTATGTTACAATGCAAGGATCTTACTGTACACCCAATGTTGTCATGATCACATCTCCAGGGGAGTAATCAGCTCCCAGGAAACTGCACGGGCATTCGCTCCTGTTTAAGCACACAGACACATCACATTAACACATTCTAAGTCAGAATAATATAACAGGTTGAAGGGCTTTGATTGTCAATTTTGTCTCTGCCAGAATGAAGAGCTGCTACTTGTGGTGATAAGATGGAACATTGCTGCATGAGGGCTGTAGCATAAAACTGGCTCAACAATATCCATGTATCACATTGCACACTGGACCATAGCAATATTAATGCAGAATTGCAGCAATTTTTCAAAATGTTTTTATAATTAAGTCATTAAGATGTAAACAAATTTATTCTAAGTTTGATAGGAAATACTTTGTTCTAGAGAAACAGAGCCAGAATTATTCACAGCGTTGGCGATAGGAACCAGACGTCTGAAGCATTTAATGACTCTAAAAGAAAAGACATTACAGTTTTGAGATAAGTTTGTGGCCTACAATCTATGTTTTAAAACATATTTAGTACAAGGTACAGGTACAGGTATAGGTACAAGTATGGTGTTGTAAAGCAAAAAAGTACCCCAATTTTTTTTTTCCCCTTTTAGATCATTATCAACATTATTTTACCATTATCAATGTTATATTAATATTCAGACGACACCATTATCAATGTTATATTACATGTATGTTCACTGGTCATTTTAAATAGCAAATAAAATGGCTATATTTGTGTAACAGATACTGCAACCTCTGGCTCCTATCACAACCACAGTGAAGAAATTTGAGTCAGTAAGTATCTCTACATTGCACCACTTCAAACTGCTCTGAATGACTATTTACACTTCAACGGGGTGGAATAAGACTTTTTTACAGTAAAACAGTGCATTTATAGAGTGCCTGGCCTATAAGGCTAAAAGAATTACAATATAAAGCTACAATGATATGTTTCACTGTACCTTTTAACACAGGTGTGTGTGTGTGTGCTGTAGTATGTTCCTTGTGGACAAACACAGCCTTCTTCACATTCCTCTCCACATGACTGCAGCACTGACAAAGACATGCAGCGCCGCTGACATGATGACACACATACACCGTATTCCATTGTTGGGGGACATGCCACAGCTGCAAAATACAGAGGTCTCATTACAGGATGTTATGTTATCTGAGAGAGAAATTACTAAAAAACAAAGCAGTGTAGACACACACATGCACACACACACGAGTACGTTTGCACGTTTGACTTGTGTGGGCCAGATGTACAGAAGTGAGAAAGTGTGCTCACAATGTGTCTTAAATAAACATTCATTTTACTAAGGTTTTAGCTTGTAAACTGCTAATAGGACAAAATGGTAAATACTCTTTCAGTATGCCTCTGATGCTTGTGTCAGACTCCAATCTTTATGGGCAACAGCTTGGTAGACTACAGCATTCTGCTTCATGAAACACATTTAATTCAAAGCATCAGCTAATTAGCAAGGCCTTCAGAATTCAGAGTGTTAGACAAGGGAAAAGGCTTATCTCCCCAGAGCTGTGGCCTGAAAGAACCTCAGTTTAACATGTCTGGTAACTGCTGCCATTCTTAAAGTAGGTCTCCCAACAATATACCTTTGAGACTAATATCCCTAATGCTAATTTACACCTGGGTTTAAGAGGTATTAAACTGAAAGGAATATCTGATCAGATGCATTTTCAGTATCTCCACCCGCTGTGCAATCCTCCCACTTTTTTGATCCTACCGTAAAAGTGAGACAGAAATATATTTTGCATTTTTCTATGGGCGAACTCCAATTCCAAAAAAGTTAGGACATTATGTGAAATGCCAATAAAAACAGAAAGCAGTGATTTGTAAATTTGTGTGGCTCCAAACTGTGTATATACCTTCCTGTGTTAATGGCGCCTTCACAGATGTGCAAGTTACCTATGCCATGAGCAGTAATACACTCTCATACCATTACAGACTCTTCTTGGCTTTTGAACTTTATGCTGGTAACAATCTGGACGGTCCTTTTCTTCTTTGGTCCAGAGAACCCAATGTCCATTATTTCCATCCACTGAAAGGTTGATTTGTCAGACCAATACACATTTCCACTGTACATCAGTCCATTTGAGATGAGCTTAAGTCCAGAGAAATCAGCAGCATTTCTGGAAGTTATTGATAAATGGCTTCCACTGTGCATTGCATTGCATTTGTGGATGCAGTGATGAACAGCGTTTATTGACAACACTTAGTATTCCTGAGCCCATGTGCTGATATACATCACAAAAACATGCTGGTTTTTAATGCAGTGCTGTCTGAGGGCTCGTCGGTTACAGACATTCAGTTGTGGAGACTCTTTTGATATCCATGCATGACTGCATGCTTTTTTTAAACATTTCACAACGTTCCTGGTCTTAAATTTCCCCTGCCCCAACTTTTTTGGAACGTGTTGCAGTCATCAATTTCAGAGTGAGCGTATTTACAAAAAACAGTACATTTTTGTAAAGTTGATACACAAATATTTATCAGGCAGAATGTTCTATTTGTTTCTGAACGCTGGCATAAAAAGCTAGCACATCTGGTTCTATATGTGTGTGTGTATGTGATTCATGGTGAGACTCACAGCACTCGTGCACGTGTGAGCGGAAATCAATGATGACATTATGTTTCCTACAGGTGCGAGCGTAGTGGGCGAGGGCAGAACAGAGACATGGTGTTCCACATCTGCACACGTCAGCACGGCACTGCAACTGGAAGCCCACCGGACTCACATGTTCATGGCACACAGCAAATACCTCCTGCATCAACACCTCACACTTCTCCGCAGCATAAGCGGCTAAAGTCAAGCACATACACACACAGGTTAGTGTCACGTCTTTGAACATAATAAACTGCTTTAAAGGGACCGTCAGTGTACTTATATAATGTGTTTTCTGCTGTTAGCTGTTAGGACCTGCATGAATTTACTACTGACTGTCAAATAAAGGACTACAGTCATTTCGATTCTTGTGATATATGTAATTCGGCCAGCAGAGTTAAGATTTTCTTGCTTTTAACTCACGCATTGGTAACACACATTGAGTCACCTACATTCTAGTATTATTGAGATATTTTAACATTTGCACTCAAGTTGATCACCCTTTAAAGACTGTCCATATGTATCTGCATGTAAATAAGTTAGACATGTTACCTGCTTGCTGATGAGTATCACAGGGATCAAGCTGTGGTAAGCTAGGTCGTGGCACACAGGCTGATGACACACGCCAGGCATTCCCAAACAATTGTGGTGTACTCTCAATCATACCGGATGGTGCACTAGAGTCCCAGAGTACAAAATACAATGAGCAAATGAACGCAAACAATACACCAATCAAAACACATTTACTACATTCACATTAACAACTCACCCAGCAAGACAGTAGAAGAAGAGAAGAGAAGAGAGAAACACAACCAAAAAAAGAAAAAGGTCATAGCAAGAGCAGGACAGGATGACAGAGAGACAGAGAGACATTGACAGCAGTGAGTCCCCTATTTAGCTCTTTTGGAAGTCTGCATTTTGGTGGACAAAGGCTAAAAGGCCAAATAAGGCTGAAAAATTAAGTGTTTTTTATATCAAAATCGCAAATTCTGTGATTTTCAATTGGCAAGAGGAGCAATTTTAATTAAAGCCTACATTATCTAAAACATTTTCTCTACGTGTGTTAGGAAATATATAGAGATGAATAAATATGGTAATTGTTGAATGATCATTAAAATGTCAATTTCTGATCATTTTTATGAACTAATTTGCTGATACATAAATGTTTAGAAAATGCAGAAACTGTGACAAGACAAATCTTGATTACCAATGCAGGGGAATTTAACATTTATTTCTATACAGTTACAAATGCAGTAAAAATTAATAAAAAAAAACAGACACTGTAGTAAAGTAGCCAAATGATGTGTGTGTAAACATTCGGCTCTTCATTCTTAACAAATGTCATCTAATATTTGTTTAAGCAATTTTAGGCAATTACCTGCAGACACCAATATAATTCCTATATTATGGTGCATCCCTAGAAATTGAACCTAATAACAAAGACCTGTAGATCAGAAGCAAGCAAAAACCCATTTGCTGTGTACATGACAGCATGATCATAACATCTGGCAGTCAATTACAAATTTTCCCCAAATCTTTTAGTTCTAGAAATAACCATGGTCCATACTTCACTATAATGTAATGTTGATGCAGTTACTGCACATACGTTCACATGCCAAAGTTACATTAGCAAAGACAGTGAAGTCTATTTTTTCTAATCTATCGCACAGACAATCCTAAAAAAATGGGCTCTATAATGGCCTGTCCCGGGGAATATCAACTCCAGTCATGGAGGGGGTCATGGAGTCCAGCAGAGTTTGGTGACTTACCCAATCAAACACATCTAATTCAGCTCATCATTTCTAGATGTAGTGGATGTGTTTGAATAGGGGAATTACCAAACTGTGCTAGACACTGGCTCTCCAGGAACACCCCTGGTCGTACACATCTGCAGTGTCAGATCAGTTCCAGAGACAGGGATAGCCGATTCTATTGTCAAATCCACTTTTTTCTTTCACAATTACTCAATTAAACTTGATTAAAAAATATCAGCTACCTTCTCACTAAATCATCAGTAATTAGATGCCAGCTGATAATGTATAACAATGCATATATATATATATATATTTTTTTTTTTTACATTTTTTATATGTTTAATGAAGTTTTTAAAAATGTCCCCTGCCTTATCTGTTTCCAGTAAAGTACTCTAGAATCTTTAAAAGGCTATGCATATTTTTATTGTTCATTTTTATTATTTAGCATTTTTAAAAATCTCTGTCAAAATGAATGTCACGTATCTGCACTTTATGTAGTCTTGTGTAATGGTGTTGCTGTTGTGTGCTGCACCATGGGCCTATTGTTATAAGTTATATTGAGGAATGACCAAAATGACCACTTGACTTAACTAGATCTTGTTTCATGCCCTATCTTAGCAATACACACATTTGTATCAGTCTGATGCTGTTGCTGCATCTTCTGCCTAGATCAGGTGCCCACTGCTCACCTGCCTTCTGAAACAATTTGACCACTATGGAGCTTCCTGCTGTATAACGCTGCATACCACTGACCCTCCTGATGATACTGCTGCATGCACAGAACTATTTAATCAAAGCCATTGCTTCACCTGTTTTTCGCCGTTTCCGTATTTTAATATTTTATACTAATGGTAAAACCTTATTCTCTGTTCATATTGCTCTTGTGTTATTGCTTTGCTATCCACTGTCGACCAGAGAGGCATGGGTCCCCCTTTTGAGTCTTGGTTCTTCTTAAGCTTTCTTCCTCTTGCTCTTAGGGAATTTTTCCTTGCCACTTGCTCATGGGGGCTTGGACTCTGATTTTTCTTCAAAGCTGCTTTGTGACAACGCCTTCTGTAAAAAGTGCTACATAAATAAAATTTGACTTGACTTGCCCCTGGATAAGCTAATGTTCTCTGTATATGATCTGTGTATGGTACAACACAAAGGTAGAATGCCATCTACAATATTCAAGGACTCAGGCCTCAGGAGCGGTGCCAGAGGTGAGGCCACAATGGCACTTCAGAGTCAGAATCATATTAGAAGAAAAATAACATCTGTACAGTTATGCAAACAGCATTACCTTACAGAGGAGTTACTGTAATACAGTAAGGAGGTCTGATGGTATAGTTTAAGTTTAAAAGTTTAAGTTTTGATTCAGTCAAAATCTGACTGGCCCCTTAATTGACCTTCTCTTATGGATTAAAGGCATTCATTTCATCGTCTAAACTCCCTCCAGTCATCCACTGGCAGTTTGTGTTACATTTCTTTAGCAAATTAAGTAGATTTAAAAGATGAGATGATAAGAAATTAAATGATTTTGAATCTTATCATTTCTTATCATCATGATAAGAAACTCAATGAAAAATTATTCCCCATCAATTATGGAGCTCTCAGAATTCGAAGGTATTTATTTGGCCCCTAAAGAGAAATTGTAGACCCAGCAGGCATCAAGTACAGAGACTGGTTTTTTTTCAGAAAGTGAGTTGAAGATATATAAGTCAGTGTGTTACTCACAGAAAGTCATCCTGGATGTTCCCATTGAAGGTACCACAGAGTCCCACAGTGTCATCCCTCCACAGCTCCCCAAGCTGCAGGTACAACCTGAATTCCCTCCAGTTGTACTGCAGTCGTATTCCTTCCACAGTCTTTACCTGAATGAACATGGATGACAGCTCCTGGATCTGAAACACATCTGCACACATGCAGAAAGACATGCCCAGGCGATTTAATAAAGGAACACAAGGATGCACTATACTATTCCAATTATTTATTGTCCATCTAGAGCAGAGAGAACAATGTGTTACCGTCTGAATATGGCAGAGAGATGCGGAACTGGCTGGACATGTATATCTCCCCATTGTGGCTGAGCGATACCTCAGTGCGAGGATCCTCATTCAGGACCAGGTTCACTGACTGAATACAGGCCCCATCCAGATTCTACAGGTTCACACACACAGACAGAGGTATATAGCTATTGTAGGAACAACTGAAGAATAGCTAAACAGATAGACTAACATATTATCTAAATGCTTCAATTTTAGATAATTCGACTATTATGTAGTTCAGGAATTGGCCATTTATGGCTAAGAGTTTGTGAGGGAATTTGAGTGTATGTGTGTACTGTTCACATGGAGATAACTAGCTCAGAGTCTGAATCGTTTCATTCATGAGCACTACAGACGCCACCAACAGGTGCAGTCTGCCCAAACAAACATCTCTCACCAGTCACTTTACTGAAATGCCTCTCTCTCCCTCTCGCTCTCTATCCCCCTCTACAAAGTCTTTGGCTCTGTCATTCTGAGACACAGATAAGCTGAATGGCTTGTTCAGATTCCAGACAGGTGACACAGTACACCATGCTGCTCTCTGCATGCTGAGTTTTACCATCATCAGCCCCTAGCTTTAGGAGACGGAGGCCTTGAGAAAGAGGAGCTCCCCATCTTTTGAGGCTTTTCATGTATCTTTTGAAACAACACAAGGTTTTATCACGACATAAATACATCTCAGACTTTGTTTCATCTTTACCCAAGCAATGCACTAGAGAACACAAAGTGATTCAATGAGAAATGATTTCAGAATTTGACTGCAAATTCTACTCAACTGACTACTAATTCAAAAAATCTGGCCTTTCTGATTTTTTCCATTATTACATATTACACTGAATGCTTTATTATCTTTATACAAAATGTTATATTAGACAGAGAGAACTTTTCAAACACAAAGCACATTTTTTAAATTATTATGTAACTTATTTAAGGAGCAAAGCTATCCAACATGCCATCAGAGTGGTGCAGTTGCCACAAAGCTTTTATGAGCACACCTGGCCATGATCAAAAGAAAATCCATGAGAAAAGCTGTTGAGATATATTAGACTAGAAATCACTTATGTAGTTCAGGAAGTGGGGATTTATGGCTAAGAGTTTGTGAGGGAATTTGAGTGTATGTGTGTACTGTTCACATGGAGATAACCAACTCAGAGTCTAAATCGTTTCATTCATGAGCACTACAGACGCCACCAACAGGTGCAGTCTGCCCAAACAAACATCTCTCACCAGTCACTTTACTGAAATGCCTCTCTCTTTTTCTCACTCTCTCTCCCCCTCTACAAAGTCTTTGGCTCTGTCATTCTTTTGAAGGACATCACCTAATCACAGTGAGACCACTACCTACAAATTGAAAACTATATGGAATATGGATAAATCTTGTGTAGAGTGGCAGGCCTGACACGAATGGCACAGAGGCAAATCATCTAGGAAGTCACTAAAGGTTTCAGGAGAACACTGCAGGAACTGCAGGCCTCGCTAGCCTCTGCTAAGTTCAATGTTTATGATTCCACAGTAAGAAATGGACTGAGAATTAAATATTAATATTATTCCATATTAATTTTAAAGAGGCAATCCCTTTTCCACATGCAATTATATGTTGGATATCTTAACTAAATTAAATAAATTAATTAAATAGTAACTTTTTTTAATGGAAATAATAATTCTAAAAATGTTTGATAAAGTTTTCTCTTTCTCTAAAATTCCACACTGTTTACAGATCTAAAAGCATTCACTATGAGGCAATAATAGAGAAAACGAGGAAGGAGCATATATTGTTTCACAGCACAGTATAATATGTGGTGTGATTGTATTTTTTCTGTATATAATATGACAGCATTGAGGGACTTACATGGCCACATGGAGCATTCTGGATCGTCACAATGAATCCGCCTGAGTTTCGGCTCTTGGCTAAAACATACTGGCAGGTAGCTGGGAATGTGTAAACGCGACCATCAAAAGATTGGAAATACATATCCCCTGTAACTGAGCACTCCCCTGCATCATCCAACACAAAAAACATCCATTTCAGTCACCTGGGACAATTACAGCTAGTTTGTCAAAATTAACTCTATCCTACCAGTACGAGCTTGGTAATATTACAATTTTATTAAAATTGTAATTTTAATAATGATATACTATCATTATTAATTATATAACAATTAGATAATTATAATAATTATAATAAGTTGACACATTCCAACAGAAACAGGTAAATGATATAGGAAAAAGCACATTTCACCTGCAACAGGTAGAATATGTTACTGTTCTTTGACATTCTACAGGAATATTTTGTAGAATAAACCCTTAAACTGAACACTTTTATGTTATTTAACGTGCAACTAAGCTGTTGTATGGTTAAATACACCATTACAGGCTGACTAAACCAAATGTATTTCAAAACTGCTCAAAATTGTTTTCAAATTACAGTATTTAATGTACAACCCCAAGAAGAGGGGATGCTACACAATGGTAGACACGGCCCTGTCCCAACTTTGAGATGCGTTGCTGCCATCAAGTTCAAAATGAGTTAATGTTTTTCATGAAATGGTAAAATGTCTCACTTTCAACATCTGATATGTGTTCTATGCTCTATTGTGAATAAAACATGGGTCTCTGAGATTTGCAAATCATTACATTCTGGTTTTATATACATTTATTTACATTTTACACAGCATCCCAACTTTTTTGGAATTGGGATTGTACATTTGATAACTTGCCTAGCTACCAATATCTGGCAGAATATTAATATTTGTTAAATATAATTTTGTAGAACACAAACACAGGCATGCATGTCAAAATAGGCATTATATTCACTTTAAGCAAAGAAAGAAATACAGGAGAGAAGGATAGAGACAGAAAGTGTGATAGTGAACCTGGACAACTGTGCTCCGTGCAGTTCCACACACCACCAACACATGTACTGAAAGACACAGAAACATGAAAAAGTTATATATATTAGGGGTGGGAATCTCTAGGCACCTCATGATTCGATTCGATTACGATTCAGAGGGCTGCGATGCAATTATAAAACAATTATCGATGCATCTCAATGCATCTTTTTTTCTATACATGATTTCTATTTTCTTACTGTCTGAGAACTTGGTACTTTTAAAGCTAAGTATTTGCAATGATCCATAATGCATTTATGTCCAATATATTTTATTAATATAACAAATGGAAGTGATGTGGCAAGTGAACTGGAAGGCTCTCATTCACTGCTCTTGTTTGAAGACGCTGCTGCCACTTATGTGCGATAAAATGCGCTGTTAGGGTGAAATAAGATCCAGTGGTAATGGATGACCACGCAGCACATTATAGCCGTCCTGTCCGTTTTCTTTAGTGATGTTTTAACTTCGGTTTTGGTCTCGTGGTAGAGACGGGGGTTGGGTGGTGTCGCTGTGTCAGTAAAATATCTTCGAGACGGGGCGTGTGCAACATAGTGCGAAAGCCCTGTTTCTCAACGACTGGCGTGCAATGCAACGAGGTTTCGCCTGGCTAGTAGCGAACGAAAAAGGAAAAGAGAAAGACAGACGAACATTTGGAGATGAACGGACTTGTTCGCATTTATAAGCAGCGCAGTTGGTTTCCTGATACGTTAAATCTGCACCGAGAGACTGTCAAACACTAAAAGGTTGCGAAGATGAAGTCGCTTCTCTTTCTAATTTTCCCGTTCCACCTTAAATGGTGCCGCATTTACCTTCGGCACCTCAGTCAGAATTTAAGGTAGAACGGGAAAGTTCAGCAAGAAGCTGGCGAATGAGAAGCGACTTCAGCCTCGTAAAACAGTCGAAAGCTGAAAGACATTTTACATGAAACCATTCAGCTTTTGAGGAAAAGTTTTCTGGCGGAGATGGAAGAAAAGTGGCTATAGCTAAAGCTTAAAGCAGAGTAGAGTAAGTCCGCGTTTTCGTTTATATTGTTTAGCCTGTACTAGGACATTATCACATACTGAGACATACTGGACATTAAATGTTGTGGCTCCCAAGGTGGTTTGATTTTTGTTGAAAGGTCAAAATGGCTCTTCTTATCATTTGTGTTGTGACTCCTGACCTGACCTGGCTTTTAACGCAGAGGGAGCCGGTCGGATTTCTCGCTCATCCAGTTGTGTTTTTGTTATGTGCCGCCACAGACTGTCCGGGCGCTGTTTTTAATTTTGATTTAGAAATCATGTTTGTTTGTTACACAAATGACGTGTAAGACACTAAGTGTGTAAATATTGTGTGCAAGTTGCTGTTGTGTCTGACCAGTTGTTGCAGTCCTCCTGTATGGTGTGTCCTGAAGGGTAGAGCATTCCACGGTGCTCACATGGACAGTCAGATGGCTTCACACACAATCCATCCTCATAGATCAGATCTGTTCCGCAACATACACGCACTATGTCAAGCAAGGAGTTACATGTTTTTGTTTAGCTTCAGGAATAACATATAACACACATCATGGAGTTCATTTTGTGGAATAGATTTTAAATACAATAATAAATCACCTTGAATAATAAAAAATACATTGCAAGTATGAATAATGAAAATAAAATCAACTTGAATTCAGTCCCTATACTGCTGTTTACTAGCATCTGCCAGTCTTTTTGGAGTCACAGGTCCTCTGACCCTTAGCCACACCCATTCCACAAAGCGTGGAACCTCCCTCAGCAGCGCTGTACTGATGCATTTAAACTACTAAAGTCACAGGTCTAAAACAATGTACATTGCAAACGAATGTATTTTAAGTAAAACTGGCTACACATGGTTTTGCAGCTATTAGTGTTAACTTGTTAATCAGCAGTGTTCAATAAAAGACTAACTAGGCTAGCTAGGAAAGTAATGTATTAAGTAATTACTTAACTTGCTAGGTAACAGAACTAATAAAGTGAAAAGCAACTTGGAGTAGAATTGAGTTAACTGGCATGCTGAAAGAAAAATCCAGTTTCTGTATAGGGCATGTACAAAACAGCTTTCATAGCCTTCAAAACAGTTTGGCCAACTATGACAAGCCAACTTCGTTCTCTTTTGTAGTAATCAAACATGAACAACTATGTCTATCTTGCAAGCTCTATAATTAATCCATCAATTTAACTTCATACAAACCACTAAATACACGCCACATAGCAGTCATAGCAACATCATGTAATAATGAATTATATGAATCATTTAAATATACCAAGGGAAATATGCCATAAAAGCAGATATCTTGGTTCAATACTGCACTTAATACAATGCGCTGCAGCATATTGGGAGACACTTTGCCATTTAAGGAGGGGCTGAGAACCTCTCATTCCAAAGTCAATCAACCAACAGGCACCTAAACAATAAGGTGCACTCCTCACACTCCTTGTTTTAATTTGTATTTATGACCATTTTTACATTTTGATACTTAATATTTTGCATGTGTACTATTTTTTTTTTAATTTTGGCACAAAGAAATGAACTCCATGTATAAATTGTTATTAAAATTAATTATAAAGCCAGGTTTCATAGGAAGGGTAACCAAAGAGGCAAATTCAGTTTATAACATCTCTCTTTCTTTCTCACCATCAGGACAGTAGCAGCCATCCAGGCACTGCAGCTTGCTGTCAATGCACATGCTTTCAGTATTGCAATGCACAGGACAACATGTGATGCACTCTCTGTAATGCAGCTCTGCAGGGCACTCAATACCTACTCCAAAACAAACTCATATTTATTCCCATCACACTGTGCAAATATTAACAAATTTACATCACGCCATACTACAACTGACAAAATCTGTTAGCATATATTATTATTATTATTATGTTTAATTGACATTGGAAACTGTATTTTTGTTCTCACACCACACTGATAACACCTAAGTGATCTCTTTAAGCAGGTTTAATATAATCAGTCATGTTAATTTCTTTCATAGCAATAGCATAGCATTGTCAACAAATGTTAATATAACTGTTACTATAATGTGAGAGTGTAATAACATGCATTTTCAGATTTGATATGATTTTTGATTATGAGGTCAGGACTTAATTGGATTTTCAATAATATGTTAAAATGTCTTTATTCTACAGATCACTGATTATGGTTTGGCCCAGATAAATGATAAGTTCTCAAACACAACTCCACGCCAGCCCTCTAACAAAACAGCAAAAAAAACATCCCCTATAGTCTGAGAGACCTCAGAAAGAAGCCATTCAGCCAGTCATTAGAGCATGGATACTTTAAAAATATAAGCCCTCTCCCTTACTCTATTATGATGCACCCAGATGCTTTATTGATTATTGGCAGGGGTTTCCAAGAAAGACAGTAAATGAGAGATCCTCAGAAGAGACAGATGGGAAAATCAGAGATTCATTTTTTTGTTTTTTAAAATATTGTACTGAAACATTTATACCCCTACAATATCAAGTTGTAAAAGTCTACAGAGACAAACAATTGCAAAGCTAAAATTGTGAGAAAAAGTGTGTGTATCCTTTGGAATTATCTGGATTTCTAGAATGATCTAATGGTTCCTAAAATGTGATCTGGTCAAGACTCAGGCTACAGTTCTGGAAGATCAGAGCACTGTAAAATTTAGCGTTCTATTTCATTAAACACGTCAGATTGGACTCGTCTGTTGATGAGTTTGTTGAATTTACGCATTGAATTCTGAGTGTTAGGAGAGGGACAATAATAATATGACAGCTCATACTCCTGATCTAAGACACAGTAATAACAGGACAGTCCTACTTATCAAATACATTTTTTTTGCATTAATTAACAAATTGCTTAACAACAAATTCCTCTTGAACAAATGGTTGAAATAATTGTGGTCACTGAAAAAGGAAGAGGGCAAAATTATGTGATGAGGTAAACCTTTCAAGCAGAAATCCAGATCATTTTAAAATGTTCACTTTTCTCCTTTCCTCAAATCTGTAAATATGTAAGGGATAGAACACCTGACACTAACAAACACTAGCAATATATATATTCAGTATAACTTACCACACACAGGAAAATGTTTTCTCCAGTTATGTAATGGGTGTTCAGCATGGGCACATGCCCTTGCATACTCCGTGAAGACTTGGCAGACCACATCCCCATTGGGACCAGACCTACCCATAGGGATCAGACAGTACCAGACATGAGCATGAACACATACAGACACTGGAGGACTGGAGGAGAGGAGTTAATTAACAAGAAATATGTCTTGAAATACTGAAAAAATTCTGATTATTCCCTCAATCAACAGTGTAGGTGATATTGTAAATTCTACCGAGGCCAAGGGTTAATAAAAGCTAATAGGGACCCCTGAGCATGACTTAATCTGTATAGTTCTATTTTGACCACATAACTCTAAACAATGGTTATTTTTTTTGAAAAAAGTACATAAAAAAAGTACAAAAATACTGAATTTGACTAGACTCTGTTAAAGGATACACAAGAGGGTGCATTATTCCTGACAACATCTTACACTTCCAACAACAAAGTTAATCATAAGTTTTTTGGGCACTGATTACATACTGTCAAATTAAATAAACCTTAAAAAAACCTGCTCTGGTGTGCATAGCATTGGTGATGGATATATCACAAAGGTACTCTGGAATAGGTTACAGGACTAATTTTTTCAGTGTCAGGAAAATTGGCTTTCAAATATCTTCAATGTGGTATCAGTAATGTTATGCATTAACACTGCTGGAAGTGTGCTGTGTACTTACAGGCAAAGGTCATTGGAGCAACTGGCCATATATGAATATGGACTGACAAACTCATGACAGGATTTAAATGGCTCTTTCAGTAAAGATGAGCACACCTCCTCCACTTTCTGCAGTAAACAGTCAGAATCTTAGATTAGTATGGCATGTTGTGTAAAAACTGGGGGATCTGAAAGTTACCAACATTTTCTAGATTACAAATGGTTCTTACACATTTTTTCTGCAACTTCCATGAACTATAGATATTTAAAAAAGTATTCAGACTTCAAATATTAATAAAACCCCATTTCCAAAAAAGTTGAGACACTGTGCAGAATGTAAATAAAAATAGAATTCAATGATATGCAAATCATATTAATGATTTACCACTGTGTTGCATCACCTTTTCTTTTAATAACACTCCTTAAGTGTTTGGGAACTGACGAGACCAACTGCTGTAGTTCTGAAAGTGAAATGTTTTCTGATTCTTGTTTGATATAGGATTTTTGTTCAACAGTTCGGGATCTCATTTGTCGTATTTTCTGTTTCATAATGCGCCGAATGTTTTCAACGGGTGACAGGCCTGGACTGCAGGCAGGCCAGTTTAGCACCCAAACCCTTTTACTGTGGAGCCATGCTATTGTAATATGTGCAGAATGTGGTTTGGCATTGTCTTGCTGAATTAAGCATGGCCTTCTCTGAAAAAGACTTAATCTGTTTGGCAGCATAAGTTGTTCCAAAACATGTATATATCGTTCAGTATTAATATTGCCTTCAAAGATGTGCATGTCACCCATGTCATGTGCACTAATGCACCCCATTCCATCATGGATGCTGGCTTTTAAACTCTGCACTGATAACTAGCAGGATGGGCCCTTCTCCTTTTGACCTTGGAGGATGGGGCATCCACGATTTCCAAGAAGAATTTCCAATTTTGATCTGTTGGACCACAGGACACTTTGTCTCAGTCCATCGTAAATGAGTATAAGTCCAGAGAAAGCACGGCATTTCTGAATCTTCTTTATATAATGGTTTCTTCTTTGCGTGGTAGAGCTTTAACTTGCATTTAAAGATGCAGCAATGAACTGTGTTCACAGACAGTGGTTTCTACTACATAATCATGCGTGTTTTAATGCAGTGCCGTCTGAGGGCCCTAAGATCACGATCAGTCAATATTGTTTTTTGGCTTTGTCCCTTGCATACAGAGATTTTTCTGGATACTCTGAATCTTTTAATCATGTTATGCAGGGGTGGCGCCACACGTCCAAAAATGGTGGGGCGAAACATATTGTTTCCATCATATAAATAAATAAATAAAAACAGCTGACCAAGTGACAATACAATTAGGCCACTGACTAAAATGGCCTTTTATAAACCTATTCAAACCTATTTAACGGTGGACTGGATGATGTTTTTTTACTCTCCTGACGTTTTTCAAATCATGATACTTTTATTTCTACTAAAGTATATTAGTGAGTAAAGGAATCTTTTTACTCCATTACATTTTAGTGTTTAGATACTGATACCTTTTTTGTTTTTAATTTGAATATGTTTTGATGGTGGCAATATGTGTACTGCTTTGTGATTGGTTACATCTCTGACTTTGGAGCTTTTTTATTTTAGACCAAAAAAAAAAATTAAAATCCCCAAAAGAGAAGAACAGAGCTGCACAGAGCTGCACAATCTTCATATGAGTTTTTGTAAACAGTAACATGTTAAAGAAGCAGACTGTGCAAACAGTACATCAAAAATGTGCACTGGCAAAAACATGCTCTGGTGTTGAACTCCCTGGTAAATCTGTGTAGAGCAGTTGTTTGGTGCGGATCTGAATACGGGTGGAGTATTTGCATGTCAAAACCGATCCAAAGAAAAAGTTTGACAGGTCCGCACCAACCACAGCAGGTCTGAAAACGCCACCCAGCTGAAATGGAGATTCTGATTGGCCCTTCTGCTGAGTTTTACTCTGCCTGTTTGTGCTGTTCAGCGTTTCATGCAGTTTAGGGAACTCAAAAAGTAGCGTCGCCCCAGTACTTTGAAAAGTGGTGGGTCAAATCCCCGCTCGCCACCGTGGTTCTGGTGGCCCTGATGTTATGTACCTTAGATGATGAAATCCCCAAGTTCTTTGCTATTTTATGTTGAGAAGTGTTTTTTCTTTGAATTGTTGCACTGTTTGCCTATGCAGTCATTCACAGAGTGGCTTCTTTCACAAGCCTATATTTTGCTTGGATTCAGGGTTTTGAAGGGTAGCTCTTTCTAGGGTCTGGGTGGTGTGATGCAGCTTCCAGTTCCTGATTATGGATCGAACAGAGCTCACTGAGATATCCAAACACACTGGAGTTTTTTCCAAATGTGACATTTGCATGCCTTTAGTTTGTTTCTTTGTCTTCATTCTGTCTTTCAGGTTAACAGCCTGACTAATGATCCTAATGAGTGTTTTTTTTATCAAAATGTGATTGTGATTACATTTACAGCATTTGGCAGGCGCTCTTATCCAGAGCGACTTGCAATTTGATTATTTTACACAGGTTAGTAGTTATTTTAATAGTTCGCATGTAGAAAGCAAGTATGTCCAACGAAGAGACAATAGTGTTAAAACTTATTCTTTTCTGTTATTATCTGTGTTTTACCTTGGAGGTTGCGGAGCAATGGGATTTGAATACTTATGCAAGGTGCATAGCTTAATTTTTCATTTTATTTAAAATATGTGCATTTTTTATTGGAAAAAGTAAAGGTATTATTATTTGTAAAAGAAAATGTGTATAACTTTCAGGGGGCTGGATACTCTCACATGTTTGTGTAGTACCAGTAAAATGTGGGGATCCTGTGCAGAGCAGGGAGATGGATACAGATATTGAATCATTGAACACGTGGCCTGCTGTGGCTCTTCCTCCACCCAGCTATTTCCAAACATAGCAAGATCTTCTGTGAACACACCTGGAACAAACCCATTAAAGCATAACATTAAATTCTGCCGAACACAGAATAAACAAAGCCTAAGGGAAACCTCTTCACAGTCAACACTGACCTAAAGTGTATAATATTGGTCAGAACCTAACAAGACCCGACCACTCACATTCGGACATCATTTCCCAAATATATGTCGGCTTCCTTACTTTATGCTTCTTCTCTACTGTCATTATCTGAAAACAGTGGTGCCCAGTCACTGTCCTAGATATCTACCACCCTGGAGATTCAAATCACCTGGCTTTAATATTCACACGCTCCTTAAGGCGTTCATTACCTAGATCAAGTGTGTTGGATTAGAATTGTAGGTAGACCAAGGTATTATATCAGATTTTTTAATTAAATTTTTTGCTGATTTATTTATTTATTTATTTTACTTGTTTTTTTGTCTAATGATGCCATTATTATGGCTATTAATTTATCCGGTGCTATCATATTAGGTTTTGTTTGGCACTTTGGATGATGATGGGCTGGTTCGGGTTAGTTTCAGACAGCATTTTTTGGATGTAGGGAAGTTTTGGACTTAAAACTTAATGATTTGGTTCAGGTTGGGTCAGGTTCAGACAAAATTTTGGCAGATTCAGGTCAGGTTCAGACACCATATGTTGTGCTCTGGATTAGGTAAATTAGGGCTTGAACAGAAAGTTTCCGGGCTATATTTTGGGTTTGGCCAAAGTTTCTACAAGCTCTACATTAAACAGATAAACATTTGTGACTTACGGAGCCCAGGACTCCCCTAGAATTTATTAGTTTAGTTATAAACTATTAGTTTGTGCCACTGGTTTACTCAAAGTGTAAAGCATGTGTGACTGCTCCTGTACAACTTGTTGAGCACGTTCAGCATAAACAGCTAAATTTATTTGCATAGGAACAGTGTGTGAAAGTAATTAATCAAACATCATGAACAACAATCAACATTGCAGTGTGCTTTTATGTTTATTCAGGAAAAGAAGAATTGTTCATGGGGCTAGTGTATTGGTGATCAAGATTGCCAAACAGCTTGTCAACCAATGACCGGGACAACACTTCATTGTTGTACACCAGTTCTGCCAAGATACAGAAGAATCTGAAGATGTTCTCTCAAGGAGTAGTTGTATGTGAAACTGAAACTTGCCATAACTAGTCTTCAGATCATCCTGAATGTCTGCGTTGAAGTTGCCGCACAGACCACAGGTGCGGCCCACAAACTCTGGACTCATCTTAATGTAGATGGAGCCATTCCGACCATGCCACGCTAGTGTAAAACCCTGAGGTTGTGATACCAGTATATAGTCAGCGATCCGCTCCAACTCAACATCATGGATGTTATGGGGCAGCTTCAAGCTATACAAAGAAATAGAAATATAGAAATATATGAATATATACTGTTAAAATCAATTATATATCTGTCTAGTGCAGAGACCTCATGCGTGTACTTTCTCTACTCTGTAACACTTGATTATCAGGTAATAATCAAGCCCCTTGTGAGCTCAAGCAAGTGTGTAAATCTATAGCATGTGGCATTTCCAGCACTGGAGAAACACTAATTTACACATACTGATGTCAGGGGAGGGTCATTTAAGCAATTAAGAACTGATTAATAAAAATAAAATGAAAAAAAATCACAACAAATTTGTTTCATAACCGTAACTGATTCATAGCACAACCCCCACCCCCTCCACTCTTCAGGTTTTACAAAACATTTTGGACTGTGGAACTAAGGGGTCTAGCCCAAACCAAACAGCGCTAGATCATTATTCCCTTCCCCACCAAACTTTACTCTTATAGCATTCCTGTAGGTAGCATTCTCCTGGCATTTGCTAAACCCACATTCATCCATCAGGATACCAGACAGTGAAATGTGATTCATCACTCCTGACGATGTTCTGCTCCAGATTCCAATGGTGGCATGCTTTGCACCACTGCAGCCAACGTTTGGCACTGCACAGTGATCTTAGGCTTGCGTGCACCTGGTTGGCCATGAAAACTCATTTTCCCATTTCGTAAAGCTTCCAACGCACAGTTCTTGTGTTGATGTGGCGTCTAGAGGCAGTTCAGAACTATGTAATGAGTGATGCAATACAGGATATGTGATTTTTACGCGCTACATGCTAGGTGACACCAAAAAGTTTTTTTATGGCCAACACCGATACTGATTATTAGTAATCAAGGACAGCAATAACCAATATTAGTGGCTGATTTTGGTTTACCATAAATTCGATGTTTATAGTAAAAAAAACATTACAAGAACGCGACTATACTCACAACATTATGAACATAAGAACATTATAAAAAATAAACTGCTTTGAGCTTTGACAGTATAAAAAAATATAAGATAATAAACAGATTAAAAAATAACAAACAACTCTAAATTATGTTTAACAGTCAGTGATGTATGTAAGAAAAATGGAACTCAAAAAAGAGGCCTGCAAAATACATAGAACTGTAAATGTATTACAGTAAGCATCTGACCAATCATGCATTAAAAATTGTCAATACTTTGTAAAAAGCAACAACAATCAGGGTCTATTAATATTAATGTGTTCATGGCATTTTGCTGTTCAACCAAAAATGTATTTCATGCAACAACAATCAGTAGCTGGATGTGTTGATTGTATGAGATGTATTCTGTGCTGTATGATTCAATGGAAATGGCCTTTGAAGTCTAAACAGAGCAGTGGAATCTTTGGAAGCAGCGAGCCGCAGCTGTCTGTACTTTAAACAAGTGAAAACAGAAATGACAACGACCAGAAATTATCTGTAACTTGGTTATTAAATGTAAAATAATACATTATGATTTTACAAATAATTTACTGCTTTCTGTAGACTTGTCTGGATAGTTGGCCACCCATTTAAACTGTGCTGTAGACACACACACATTCTGAATGCTTTCAAACTACTACATATTACCGTGTCTGCTCCCACACACAGATGTTTGGGACAGGACTGCAAGCACAAGTCACGTTTGTCTGGCTAGAGCGAGTGAAATTATATTACCAAGTGCATTGAGCTTTTTGACAACTACACTGTTCAACTGCAATGTTTGTACCTTTTCCTCTCTCTGTGAGAGCAAAGCAGAACAATCCGGAATGTGGTAGACAGGACATCGGGCCAGAATAAAAAGAAGTGTGTTTGATCGAGGTTGCACTATGCTGAATATCAATTTGAAACAATCTAGCTCTCAAAAAAACTCTCCATCCACCCTCTTCTCTCACCCTAAGGACTTTGTCACCTTTTTGAGGAGAAAGTTTGGAGAATCCATCAGTCTTTTCCCTCTGTCTCCACTCCTTCCACTAGTCCTCGTCTTCTTGCTCTCAGTCCCCTAACCTGTTTTTCTTCTCTTGCTAAACATGATGTCCTACAACTAATCAAATCCAGTAATCCAACCACCTGCCCACTGGATCCCATTCCATCCACATTGCTCCATTCAATCTCCATGGATTTCCTGCCCTTCATTACTTTTCTCATAAACAACTCCTTGTCATCAGGTCACATTCCATCAACTTTCAAGACTGCAAGAGTGTTTTCCATCCTGAAGAGGCCCATGCTTGACAGCTCTGATGTCAACAGCTACAGACCGATATCACTCCTTTCTTTCCTCTCAAAAATTCTTGAACATGCAGTCTATAATCAACTATCTCTCTTTCTCACTCAGAACCAGATACAGGACCCCAACCTGTCTAGCTTCAAACTGGTACACTCAACAGAAACTACCGTTATAGCAGTGACTGAGAAGCTCCAGGCAGCTACTTCAGCCAAATTGTCATCTATTCTGATTCTTCTCGACCTCTCCGCAGCTCCATGGTTTAAGTCCTATCTGGAGGGGCGCTCTTATCAGGTAACATGGAGAGTGCTGTGTCCTCCTCTCTTTTCACTTTATACTCGTTCTCTTGGTGATGTGATATCCTCTGATGTCTTCTCTTACCACTGCTATGCTGATAACACCCAACTAATGCTTTCCTTCCCATCTTCTGATACTCAGGTTTTCAGTCACATCTCGGCATGTCTGACTGACATCTGAAGCTCAATCCTAGCAAGACTGAGCTGTTATTCATCTCTGGAACTACAGGTCCTCATCATGATTTTGCCATCTCATTCAAGAACTCTTTGATTGTTCCATCTGAAGATGCAAGAAATCTCGGAGTGATTCTGGATGGCCAGTTATCGTTCTCAGCTCATACTGTGAACCTGACTCGGTCATGCAGGTTTCTCCTGTACAACATCTAGAGAATTCAACCCTTTCTCATTCAAGAGGCCACCCAGGAGCTAGTTCAGTCTCTTGCCATCTCAAAGCTTGACTACTGCAACTTGCTCTTGGCTGGTCTTCCCATGTAGGCCATCAAGCCTCTGCAACTCATTTAAAATGCAGCAGCATGGCTTGTCTTCAATCTTCCTAAGTTCACTCATGTCACTCCACTGCTGTGCTCCCTTCACTGGCTTCCTATAGCTGCACGCATCAGATTTAAAAAGCTGATGTTTACCTACAAAGCCAAAAACAGACCAGCCCCCTCCTACCTAATGGCAATGGTCAAAACTCAAACCGATGCTTGACCCGCCATCCTTCAAGACGAGTGGAAGACAAGCATCAAGACTTTTCTCTGCCCTGGCACCCATGTGGTGGAACGAACTCCCATTGGCTGTCCGAACAGCAGACTCTCTCACAGTCTTCAAATGCAGACTGAAGACACATCTCTTTTTACAGCACTTAACTTAGTGCTCTGTTAAGTACTTACAGAAATGTACTGTACTGCAAATGTATTGTACAGATGTTCTATTCTGTTTCTTTTTCTCTAGGTATCAACATAGGCTTTTGTTTCTAGCAACATCTGAGCTCAGTACTTGCCTTCTCTCTAAGCTATTTGTAACTAGCAAAGAAACTTTCTCTGAGTAGACAAGTCATTCTGGATAAGAGCGTCGGATAAATGCAGCAAATGTAAATGTAAATGAATATCAGCTTGACCAATAATCGGTCGACCCCTACTATGCGCTTCAGTCCTTGGCAGCCCTGCTCTGTGCGTTTATGCGGTCGACTGCTGTTAGCAATGGGTTTTTTGTCATATAGTGTACATAGCAGGTCACTCCCTCATCATATTAACAATTTGAAAGGTGAACACTTGTAACTCCATGTACAAAGTCTGTCACATCTTTTTAAACTTCCAGTATTGTCCAGTACTTCACTGTGCTCAGACATGAATGTTGAGCACACAACTCTATCAAATGACCATGCATGTGACAAAGAGGGAGGGAAATTGCTGTCCTTTCTGAAGATAATATAACATATTTTGTTGTTATATGTTCTGCTGTTTTCCTCAGCATATTATATATCTGAAATCTAGGCTGATCACCAAGGATATAATATATTTTATTAGGAGTGGGCCATTTAAAAATATTCTATTGGATCATTTAAAATTGTGCTTCATTTTTTCAGGTCAAGGATTGTCAGCTGATGACATTTCCAAAATTCACTGATGCTTCAAACCTTGTGTTAACTCTCAACAATAATTATCTTATCTCAGCAGCTGGCTGAGGATCTGAATTAATAGCAGTATGCAATTGATATCGACAGAGGAGGGCAGGGGAGTGCCATAAAAAGATGCCAAAGTTCTTGCAGTTTGCATTTTCCATTATTGGAAATGTCTGACCGTGGAACTGTGGAAGTCAAGGAAAGATCTGGAATACCACAAAATTCTCAGACTGAACTGCTCATATGCTAGCCAGAGAGATAAAGAAACCCCCCCCCAATACAACAGCAAATGACCTGCAGAGCAGTTTAGCTGACAAAGGAGTGGCGGTGCACTGTTCTACTGTGTAGCATTGCTCACACAAACATGATCTGTGCAGAAGAGTCATCAGAAGGAAACCTTACTTGTGACCTCAACAGAAAAGCCAATGTCTGAAGTAGGCAAAACAACATGTAAATGAGTCAAAGACTTGGAAACAAGTATTGCGGACTGATTAAGTAAAAACAGAACACTGTGGCCACAATCACATTTGAAGCATTTGATGAAAAGAACATCTTGCCAACTGTTAAGTATGGAAGTGGATCTATTATGCTTTGTGGTTGTCTGGCAGCAAGTGGAACAGGAAACATTCCATGAGTACATGGAAGAATACATTCCACTAAATATTAGCAAATTCTGAAAGCAAATGTGACACAGGCAGTCAAGAAACTGAAGTTGAAAAAGACTGGCATCTGCAACAGGACAATGATCCAAAACATATGTCAAAATGCACCATGAATTACTACAAGAAAGACAAGCTGAAACTTTGGAATGGCTCTTACAGTTCCCTGACTTGAAGATCATTGGAAATCTGTGGCTAGATCTTAAACATGCTGTGTATGCAGGACACCAAGTTCCAAATAATATTGCAGAACTAGAAGCGTTCTGCATGGAAGAGTGGGTGAAAAATGGATGAAAATTCCTACAACCAAAATAAAAAGGCCCCCAGCTGGTTACAAAAGAAGTGTTTGCAAGCTGTGATAACTGAGAGAAGGGGTGTTCCTAAGTACTGACTTAGCAGAGTGTCAAACTTTTGCACATGCAACAGTGACTATTTTATTTTTTTCTATTTTTTAAACTCATCAAATATAAAGTAACTGTACACTAACATTTACAGAAAAAATAAATAAATAGTTTGATAGAGAAGTTGTTTACTTCTTTTCCCTTTAAAAATCTACATAATATGTATTTTGGCCAGGAGTGCCCAATCTTTTGCATATATAGCATAATATATAATATATAACCAGAAATTGTTTCTGTATGGTCAATAATGGATTTCATTCTTTCTAAAAGCCTGAAACTAGATACTGAGATTCGCAAACACCCAAAATAGTCAAACACACAAGAGCACTCACATTTTGGGGAATTCAGCACTTTGGTATATGAGTAATGGAAAGTTTTGTATAGTGCGAGTATTCGTTACCTTTGACCTTTGAAAGTGACGTTGAAGTTCTGCAACCTAATCTCGCCTTCCCACGGCAGGAAAACACTTACTGAGCGTGTGCAGGAATATGGAAGAGAAGTGCATTCTGGATCATTATGTACCTGTAAACCCACAAATCAGCTGTATTAATGGAGGGAGAGCACAGGACAGCAGAGTAACAGCAGTGTGTAGACAGAGCAGAAAAGTATACAAGTGCAGATAAATCCCTTCTCTTAGCCATTAGAGTCCAGTGATTAAAGTCAGCATGCTGGCAGTCTCAAAGCTCTGAATTACTGTCGGCCATCCTTTTAATTCATTGACAAATGATATTGGCACTTAAGCAAATGGCCCCTAGAAAGTCGAGGCCAAAGCAGCTTCGCTACTCTGGATTCCCATCAGTGAATATCGGAGAACAAAGCCAATTCTGTTCTGGGCCAATTCTGGCCTAGCCCGTAATTACTGTATTAAACTGGAATGGACATAAATGACTGTAATAATGAGATCACTTTCTCTAAGCTGGCCAACAAATATCTTCCCAAGTGAGAGTCACACAATACAACATGCACACACACGCACACAAACACACACCACTTCAATCTACTAACTCGAACTATAGCTCATCTATACAGCATATTGCTCGAACACCAACAAGCTCAAATCACTTATGAATCTATGAAGCTAAAACTAAGGTAACTTTTAAAAGCAGCATGCTAACTAGAATACACTATACACAGTATGACACTGTCAGAAATAAAGGTTTGAAACTGCCACTGGGGCAGTACCCCTCTTGTCAATAGGGTGGTACCCTCAAGGGTACACCTCAGTACCTTTAGTTAAGGAACATAATTGTACCATAATCCATTAAAATGATCTAAAGTTATATAAGTTGTATTGTCTCCACACACCCCGTCTCGTCTCCAGCCTTTGCATTTGATTGTTCCGTGTTAAAACAAGTAGGTTATGAAAAGTACAAATATGTACTTTTGCACTGCGAAAAACGTATTTAAGGCAATCTGACCTTAAAACCACTGTTGTACCTTTGAGGGTACATTTACACTGTACCTTGATGAACAAAAAATGTACCTGCACAGCACCTAGAGTACATTGAAACAACAGCAGTCAGCCCTTTCAGCAGTATTTATTCAGTGTGAATGTACCTGTATGAACACAGTTGACTGTGTGTTATCCTCACAGTCTTTCAGGAGTGTGTAGCTGCACTTGCCAGGGAAGTAGTAGTAAAGCCCATCAAAGGTCTCATAGTTGTATTGCCCCCATGAGCGACATGTCATCTCCCTCTCCAAGCCTGAATTGGGAACTGAAACATGTGCAATATCACTTGACTGCTGTGAGGTTTGGCAGACAAAGTCAAAGTAGTAAAGTCCTTCATAGTAGGAGTGCACAACTTAATGTTTATTGCTATTGTGATAATTGTCATGTCACAATATACACTCACCAAGCACTTTATGTTATCTTATGTACTTTATTGGTCCTAAAAGCCTTCTCCTACCACTAGGCTACCGGCCTAGGAACACCTCCTTGTAGCTACTCTCATTGTCCATTTTATCAGGTCTGCTTACCATAGAGGAGTACTTTATAGCTCTACAATTACAGACTGTAGTCCATCTTTTTCTTGTTAGCCCCCTTTTACTCTGTTCTTCAATGGTCAGGACCCCCAAAGGACTGCCACAGAACAGGTATTATTTGGGTGGTGCATCATTCTCAGCACTGCAGTGACACTGATGTGGTGGAGGTGTGTTAGTGTGTGTTGTGCTGGTGCAAGTAGATCAGCCACAGCAGTGCTGCTGGAGCTTTTATACATTGTGTCCCCTCACTGTCCACTCTAGAGCTTTTGTTGTTTTTGTAAGACTTGATAAATGTGTTTTCTTGTTTCTTTTATTTACATGTATTTGCCTCTACCCAACTGATGACAAACACTTAATTCACGTTCTATTTGAATGATGTAAACATATAACCAGAGATGGGGGAGTAGCTAAGTAGCGTGCTACTTTTTGTAGCGGACTACAAATTTTTGTCGTTAATAGCTGTAGCCGCTACAGTTTTATGAAATGTAGCTAACAGCTGTAGCGCCTACGAATTTTTGTGTAGCTATAGCGATAATTTTCGCTACAATTTTGCTACAGTTTTCAAGCAATCTGCGCAAAATGTGAGCCATAGAACGCAGCTGTTAACTGCTGCTGGCGATTGTGCGGTCCTGACTGAGTTGCGGACAGCACGAGCAAACGGGCACGGCCACTTTAGATTGTACTGCTGCGCCATTTAAGGTGGAACGGGACAAATCGATCGAGAAGCTGGAGAATTAGAAGCTGACTTCAACCTTGCTTTTTGTTGCAAATAAAACGTAATAAAACGTGTGAGTCCATTCATCTCCAAATTACCAATGTTCGTCTTAAATCTCTCTCTTCGTCTTTTCGTTGTCTGCATTGCTGTGTGACCAGCAGCCTGTGCGTCAGGTTGAATCAGCAGTTATAAGTTAACTCCAGTGTTTAAGACCATTATTGTGAAAACTGTGTTAGAACTGTGTGTTATAACGATTTTACAGCAAATGAGCATTATGTTATTTTACCCAAAAATCTAGTTCTGCTGCGGAGCTGCAACAGCTCTGCAGCAGTGGAGAGATTATTCAGTTGTGCAGGCCTGATTCTCACCCCAAACAGAGCCAGGGTCACTGATGAGAATTTTGAGGCTAAAGTGAAGTTTAACAAAGGACACTGAATGTCATGTATGTATATCTTGCTGAAATGTTTGAATTGGAGCAGTTTTATTTCAACAGTTGACAATGCTTTGTACAAAATTGTTTGTATACGGTTATTTATTTATTTTTTTTGTTAGGAAAAACATGGAATGATTGACTTTGCCTTTACTATAACTGCAAAAGCTAACAATAGCGGAAAATAATTGCAATCAGCATAAATAATTGCAGTCAGGAGATCACATGATAATTGTGACAAACCTATTTACATATGCAGAAATTCTTGTGGCTCATCTTCATACACAATGAAATAAATTTCCCTATACAGACATGCCAGTAAATAAAGTCTGATAGAAATTTATTCGTAAATGAAGGATTTTGTTCCAAAAAACATATGATAGACCACTTTCAACATTGTTCATAATGTACATTGTAGGGTTCGGGCTTTACACATACAAGAATGAGGAAACTACGATTAACACTACCTTTCTTAGAGAACCAAACATGTGTTTTCCATTATATGTCAGGTGTTATTAATTTCAAAGATTTGTTATATTTAAAATTGTTACAAATGGATATACAGCATTTTTTAGTTGACCTTCAGACAAACTGATACCCTGAACAGCTGTAGATAGAATCATGAAAAGTGAAAGTGTGGTGCTAAATGTTAGTAAGTACCTGTTTGGCAATGCGATCCAGTGGCTTGGTACAAAGAGCAGTTGCAGGAATCGGGATATACACACTGACCACCGTTCAAGCAGGGGAATGTGCAAGCACCTGTACTCATTAAAGACAGAAAAGTACTGTGTGTTATGTTCTACTCATTCATGGATTATTGCTATCACAACCTTAAATTTAGATATCTGCTTGTGTGCGTACGTGCATGATCATGTTGCTGCTGTAATGCTGATAATCCAATTACTGTAAAGAGCCACACACACACATGCATTTAAAAACCTTTATAAAGCACTTTAAATTTCACATTTTAACGGCAGTTCTAACATGCCCATACTACTGCAAAATTATAACTGCATGGTTCCATAAAATGAAACAGGGCAAATGAAAAACTTCATCACCAATGAGTCTCTGCCTTTCCTTATGATTCTCTATATATTGATGTCAATAGTTTCTGTGGACAGTGTGGACTTATGAAAACTATTTTCTTACAAACCACAGAGAAAGTTTTAAAAGCAACATTTAATTTGTAAGTCAATGTATTATGAGATTTCAGGAAACAAGTGCCATGTAGTAATATGGCAGAATAATGGCAGAAAATAGAACTGTTAGGGGTGGGTTATAGGGCAAAAAAATTATATTGGAATATTTTAAGACATTTTCACACAATTCGCATCACGGTACTTAGAGATTTAATAAGTTGAAACAGACAAGACAGAACCTGCAAAGCTACTTATAAAAATACTCTAATAATATTAAACCTATGACTACAAAGATTTTTTGTGATGTGGCACACGGGTAAGACAAAAACAAGCAACGGTACAAAAGGGATCAGGCAAAAAGACAAAGTCGAAGAGAACAAAATAGAGGTCAGAAAACGGAATTCAGGCAATCAGAAAACAAACACTCAGTAGGTTGCAAGGATACAATACTTTGCACTGTTTCTGACTAAAGCCCGGGCTTATAAAGTAAACTAACTAGTCGTATGACCAAGTACACAGGTGTCCCCAGTTAGTATTCTGGGGAATTTCAGTGCTGATTGGAGCGTGAGCAAGAGTCAGGAGTCATGTGGTTTCCCACTGAATTGTGGGCAATGGAGTCCGTGTCCGAATCCGAGTCGGAGGGAAGTTGCTCCATCACGTGACCTCCCAGAGGAGTCTGGGAAACGAAGTCTGTCTCCTTGCAAGAGTTCGCTGAATGCATGACATTTTTATTCAGTGTTTTATAAACTACACTGCACTAAATCCAATCACACTGGCCTAATTGTGCTTACGCTGTGATGAAACGTGTCCCTTAAGTAATGAGGACTTACAGGATATACAGTAAACGTGACATAATTCATTACAATATCAAAAAAATCGTCATATTGCCCACACCTACGAACCTTTTACCAAAAGTATGCTATATGAAAATTAAGTTTTTCAATTTCAGTGTAAGACAGTAAACAACAGAAAAGAGTCTTCTTGTCCTCTATGTTATTTTGAAAACATAGAGCCAGTTGTGACTATACCTAGTCTGGGACTACACCGGATTTTGAACGAAGATTTTCCATTGAAAGGAAAATAGTCTGTTGACCATAGTCCATGACTAGTCTTAATCCCTGTCTGGGAAACCAGCCTGGGAAGTACCACCTTGTGAAACAAAATGACTTGATTTGGTTAGCTGGTATGAGAAGAAGAGAAGATAGTCATTACAGTTACTAGTCATGAATGTTTCTCAAAAGTGTCATAGCACAAAGGTCAGAGCAACACGGATCATCGATAATCACTCTTCTCAAAGAGTCTCTTAAATTTCAGATGATCTTAAGTATTCTGAATGACAGATGCCTCAGTGATACATACATTCGTATATTTTTCTTTATTAGGAGTAGAAACTCATGTTAGTATTAACATTTATGCAAGCCTAATAATTTACATTGTGACAGGACACTACAAGATCATCCTAATTTCATACTGCACCTATGAACTCCAAAAGGCTAAATAAACAAATAAAAAAAATGTATGAATTCACTAACATTGTTTAGAAATGTATGCAAAAGCAGGTGGTGCGCCATTCAACACAGCCCTATTACATTTATATAGAACAATATTCAAGACAGCTTCATTGACTAATACAACACACTGACCCTTTATCATCACATAAAGAATACAGTATCTATTCAGACAGTTCCATTATCAAACAGCTACAGAAAGTGATGTTTCCTTGCTGCTCCCACCAGTCTTAAATGTGTCAAAAGGGTTCTTTGCCATAGAAGAAAAACTTTGGATTCCCTAAAGAACTTATCAGTGGATGATGCTTTAAAGAACCATTTTTGCAAATGAGATGTGTGAGAGTGAAGAAGCTTTTTTAAAGTTTAAAGAACCTCCACATAGTGTAAAGTTGCACAGAATAAACTCACCTATGCTATAAGTATTCATATGCATTTTGGAACAGGGCTGTTACACTGTGCATAGCTTTAAATTGCACAAAGGAGTTTTACCTTTACCTTAGAGGACACATGAGGAAATGGCCTTACCCCTGGTTCTACGGCCTGCCCACTTCAGTGCTTCACTTTGTGCTGATGTGTTGCTCAGAAGTGCTTCCTGTGGAGAGAAATTGTACGAAATTAACATACTGCTCACTACACTCACAGAATACATCAGAAGTAAAAGGTTCTGTATGCTTGAGATGGAATGGGAAGGGCATAAGGAGGTGGGGTCTTGTTGTGAACTAAGTCCTTGTAATTATTTAATTAACTCATGCAAACTCCCTGTTTTTAATAAGAAAATGCTACTCGCCTAAAATATTGCTCTCAGGGATCAGAATAATTGAAAACTGGTTATGCGAGAGACACTGAGGCACTTTGCTATTTATCAGCAATCTCTATTTCGGAACAGACTGATATGTGATGCGAATAAACTCATTGTTCGACATGAAATTAGTTTTGGTGAAGTGCTTTAGTACTAAGCGGTTTTCTCTTATCTGACCGAAACTCTGGGCTATTCTGATGGCCTTTTCTTGCACATCACACCTGATATCTGAGAGTTCAGTAATTTCATGTAGCTTACGTGACTACAAAGGAGATGGATTCTGACAACACATTATGAAGGAGACCAGTGTCCCCCAGAATGGGGGTCGGTGAATAGCGGCTCAGCGGCTCGCTGGGACACCTGAAACCAGCCTGCTGCTGATGATGGCCTTTGTCCTCAAAACACAACAAAGCAAGCAGTGCTTTTAGTATTTGCTGCTCTTTTATTAAACATCAGTTTGTAGTACAGCTGTCATTTTATGCCATTTGGGTTTAGACTGTGGGTCTCTGTGGTATTTACAATAAACATAAAGCATACGATGTGCCTGTAGCATATGGACAATGGACCTTGAAAATGTTACCCAACAGTTGTGAGGTGGGGGTGGAATCATCAATGGAGCATTTTGAAACACATTAGGGTGGTGCCTCCTCCCCCTGTTTTAATGAGGCATGTATGTGGTGGAAGTGTTTCAAGCCTACATGTAGTGTTATAGTCAGCATGAGCCCAACATGCTTTCTTTTATTAGCTCACTGCGATTCAGTGGAGCTTTCTGAAAATCAGACAGCAGCTTACCCTTAAAAAGATCTTTATATTGTGGGTTTTCGCCCCACAAATTGCAGTAAATTCCTGTTAGCAAGACCTGACTACTTTAATTAGTTTGTCTCACTAAAGACAGCCAATATAAATACATTCATCTGGATAGTCTGTAGTAGACCACACTTCTTTCTGTAATTATATGGTGGCTTTAAGACCTACAAATGGTGTTCAGTTCAAAATCCAACCTAACTACTTTTATTAGCAGATCTCATTTAAAACAGCCCAAACAATTTTATAGGGAAATATTTAACTTGGAAATTCTGTAGTAGGCCACCTGTAATTATATGCATTTAACCTTATGTCACTGTATTTAGCCCAGGTGCCTGGACCCGTTGTGTTTCAGTGCAACGCTTCAGCGCCACTCTGCATCCCTCCTACCTGCTTCGCTTGGGAACTGGAGTCCCATTTCGCCAGCATTATCCTGCTGCTCTCGCTGCAAGACACACAGAGAACAAGGCATGGTTTGTTCCTCACAGGTAATCAGCACTTGGGTTAGACAGAAAAGCAAGCACTCGACTGCAAGACACTACCCGTCGATTTCCAAATATATGCTACATACGTGCTAGCATCCTGCAATTGGTAAACACATATTATTATTATTATTATTAATAATAATAACAATAACAATAAATTATAATTAATTATATAAGTATTAGCATTGTTATTGTTATTATTTAGTTATTTACCTATTTATTTAAAAAAACAAATAAAAATCAAGGGTCAATGTGCACAAAGATAACCTGGCAAGCCTTTTTAAAACTTGGCTCCATCTAGTCATACTTACTAGTTATACTGCATCAGGATACATTAAGCTGATTTATCCTTACACAGTAACTAGGACTGTAATAAAGAAAGCTTTTAATAGAAATCATAACACTTACTTTTCAAGATCATACCGTTTAGTTAAATTCACACTCTCAATGGCCCACGAAATACGCCCTGAAAAGAGACACATTCTTGAATACAGGTTATATTTGGGGTCAATTTTATATCCCAGAACACACCCTTAAAACTGCGGCATCTTAATAAAAGTTAAGCGGACGTTCTGATGTTACAAACATTTCGGTTACAAATTACATTGATTTACATTTTACGTTGATGCACTCGTTGTTTATAACTAAAGAGAGAAGCTTAAATCTTAAATATTCAATAAATTCCTTACCTCGAGGAATTAAGGAAAAACAGAACAATAAAAAGTATATAGTATAAAGTCTTCTGCGTAGTAGGTTTAAATTAGGATCCATTCGTAATAATATACCACCCCAAGAGGAATCAAAAGGTTCCCTCAGTCTCCGGGCGACTGCATAAAACTACCCACACATTTTCTCAGTGCTGCTGTAGCTTCTCCTAACTCTGAACCGCCCGCTCTCTCTTCTGCTCGTGCGAGCTGCAGCTTCCTCCCTCCTCGCGCTCATTAGCATAATGTCATCAGACAGCTCAATTCAAATCAGAACACGCTCGAGACATCAGGTGAGTGAGCACTGATCAGATTTAAACCGGTCGCCATCATTAATTCCCATATAATCTACATAAAAAACTAAAATCCGCCAATAAGTCTCTAGAAAGTGTTCTTTAGAATCAGTTACTGGGGCGAAGCGGAAAGAAAACAGAAGTAAACATGGCGGACCCCAGTGCTGAATATCTGAATAACGGGGAATTTAGTTTCGTTAAAACAGAAAATGAAATCAGCAATTCACAGAAATAAAACGTATTCTTTCGAGCCTATTTATGTCTTGCATTAATATGCACTTCATGCCCGGTGTTCTAACAATTTGTCCCACCCATCTAATTGTCCTACTAAGCACGTGCATATGACTAGCATAATAACTTAATGTTTCAAACGTTTTATTGTGTTTTTAATGTTAATTCAGTACAGACTCAGCTTAATATTATTACTTACTCCTTGATACGGTGATTTAGGCAATCAAAGTATCCTCATTATTCTTTTAATGCTGATAAGGAGACAATCAAAAATGTACACTATCAAAAATTGTCCTACCTATAGATACAGTGCTTATAGCATTTTCTGGTAGGGTAGTTTAGGCCATCAAAATATGCAGAGCACTACCTAAAATATGCAGTACGTTAGGACATTTCGACAAGATAGCACATTTCGTCAGAACACTGAATCTTATCTGTTTGTGCTATCTCATCGAAACGTCCTACCTAGCATCTTATCATATCAGAAAATGCTACTAAAATTAAAACGTCAGGTAGGATATTTTGATAGCCTGAATCACCTAATCAGAGAAATGCTACCTGTATGAAACCCATAGGTGGGATGTTCTGATAGCCTAAACTTTCTTGTCAGAAAATGTTACCAGCATTAAAAGAGTGAGATATTTTCATAGACCAATTTGGAGTGGACATCACGTCGCTGGCAGTTGTGCATATTGTGGTAGCAAAAACGCAGCAGAAAGAAGCGGAGCAAAACGGGTAAGATCCACTGAATAACGAAAAAAATTGTCTTCTTGTGCTACTGGATGCTAAAATAGAAATGGAAAAACAAATAACCATTTTTATAGAATACCATCATTGAAGATGTCCTTTGATGTGCTTGCTGTGTCTGTTTTTTTTCCATTTTGACATAGCTCAACCTTACAAAGCAATGCGGCTGCATGGATGCAGCATGACCCTAACCTGTGATTATTAGCCATCATTGTTAGCATGAATTCAATATAAACAACAGATCTAGATATATTCACATATAAATTTCTTAGAGGGTATATTGTATTAGCCCCACAGCTAACTGCTACGACTCACTGTATTAGCCCTACATTAGCCTTTCAGCATGAAACGTTATACCTATAACTAAAAATAACATTTTTACATATACCTAGATAGTAGTAGCAGCAGTGGTTGTAGTGATTTACATTGTTCTAATATACATTAAATAATGAAAAAGAGTTAATATTAATCTAGCCATGCAAATGCAGTTCACCATCAGTAATAGTATTTTGATTTGTTTAAAATACTGATTTGTATGATTTGTTTAATAATAATTCTTGTATAGCTGCGTTTTATATCCTTGTTTCTGGCTAGGCAGTATGTCAGACCGTAATACACAAAAACCATTAAAACCAACCAACAAAAACATTTCTTTCGTATAGACTTTGGGTTTTTTCAAAGGTATAAGATGATGTCTGGACACTGTAACTTTGGACATTTATTTGAATCCTTTACCTGTTGACCTGTATGGGTCAAAAAACCTGCCCCTATTGCTAAAGGTTATCTAATTAGTGTATGACAACCTGTCTTCTGCTGGTAAACCATTAAAATACCTGGAGAAAGTGTCCTGATGATCCATATTTCTATATTCTTACACCTGACACTGCTATGCTGTCACTTTCAACCAGTTAAGCTCCACCCACAAAACATGTCATGTCGGTTTACAAACACAAAAATGGTCTATAGCCTAAATGACCGTACCAGGGAGTAAGTAGTGTTATTAAGCTTAATGTGTATGATACACTTAAGGTAAAGCTAAATTAACATAAAAAAAAAAAAATACTACATATAATGATGTGCATGCTCAGTAGGACCGTTCAGCGAGTAGGACAAACTGTTAGAACACCGACTTTCATTTAATTTACACTTTTTTCTAACCATATTTGACCAGAAGAGTTCTGATTTGTAAGTTCCTATGTAAAAAGAAAAACATCAACCCATGTATCTGTTTTACTTTTGTTTACTTTTTTCCCCCCACATTCCATTTACACTAGCGTAAAATGTGTAAAAACCACAGTCTGTCCTGGGTGTGTTTACACCTGGCTTTTCATGCATCAAAAAAACGAATGTGATCCCATCACAGAAAATGCATAGTGATGCAAGGTGTAAACAGGCCCTTGGATCGCTTTTAGTTCTGTTTGGGGAATCTGATACAGTGGGATAAATCATATAAATATGACTTTTTCTTCAGGATCATTTGTGGACATCGCATTGCGCAGTGTGATGGTTCATCATAGTATTGTGCCGTCAGAGTATGCTTTGCTCATTCTTAGAAGGTTTGTATATTTAGTTCTTAAAACAGTAAGTAAATGTATCTGGTTGCATTTTCAAGTATGTTAATATTCACTGGTTATGTGAACGCTGGAGCAGTACAAGGTTTAAAGAGCATATTTCCTCCCTCTGGAAGTAAGAGTGATTTTCCTCACTTGTACTCTGGCTGCTACGTCAATTCTAAATAAAGCTGTGTTATGGACACAAACTCTGAGTTGTCTACGCTTCTTCTGTGTATATACCCCACACTACAATGTCAGAAACAACAGAAGATGCAGCAATGATAGTACGCATTGGAGGCGCAAGGATCTGGTGGGGCACCAGGGTAGTGAGTGCCAGAGAGGGCCTGGAGCGGTGGAGGGAGGCAAGGCCAGCAGAGGGTGCGAAGACTCAGCGAAGAGTCGGGCCAGGTGGGCCCAGGCTCTCCCAAAGACAGCATAAGAGAGCAGCAAGCCACTTTGAAGCACTGGTAACCCAGGGTGGCTCATCCCCACAGAGGGTAGAGGGGTGTGGTACCTGTCCCATACTCATGTTAGCTGAGGAAACAGCTGACTTGCAGCGGTCAATAGGGCAGTTAAGTGTTGAAATAACGTTCTCCACCACATCATCACCCGATGATGCCATCAGTCCCTGATGTGATTTGGCGTTCAGGGCGGCCAGAGCCATCCCTACAATGCCAATGCATCTGCCTAAGGTAAGGCATTACGGTGATACAGGGATTTGAGATGATTGCAGCAGCTGATTGCAAATGCTGTTAGTCTTGGTGCTAGAAGGACCAGCCCTGCAGATACTGTTAGAGCTCCCTGCCAGTGTTACAGTAACTTGGCCCAACCTCACACCCAGCCTGGGGAAGCGGTTTGGTGAGCAAGTGTGGTCCATCCACGTTAGAGAGAAACTTGATCGGAGAAAGCACCAGAGTGGAGAGAAGCTGTGTCCGCTGGCTGCTGACAGGGAGTATGGTTGGGCTTGCCTATGGGGCGTTCTTGGCAGCGGCCCATAATAGCTTAGCTTTCGATGCGTTCCTATGGGCAGTAACGCCATTAAGGCTCTAGCAACAGTTGCAGCTTGCAAAGCCAACTTGCCTGGAGGAGGCTTTGCAGCAGGCAGAAGAGACTTAGGCGATTTTGGGAGAGTATGCAGGCTGCAGCCAAGTTCGCACAGTGGTGGGTGCTGACAGCATTGACGAGAAGGAGGAATATGTCTGCAAGCAGCTGGGGCACCTAAAGGCTCAGTGCCCAAGGAAGCGCCCAAGTTGGGTGACTGTGACACCAAGCAGCTTATGGTGCCATGCTAGCTGGATGGAGGTGTCTGGTGTCTACCCCACACACTACAGTATTAAGACCGCTATATATATATATATATATATATATATATATATATATATATATATATATATATAATTTACAAATTAGGTCATTAAGATGTAAAGTGTTTTTATGTGAATTGTCGGATGTGAAGTATCAGATGTGAAATGTACCAATTAAGAGAAACTTAATTGATTAGATTAAGATTGAGAATTGTTCACACAGTTTTTGTGATAGGAACTAGATGTCCAACGCACATAAAATCTACCTCACATAAAGTTAGAATATGGTTACAAAAACGTTGCCTGATGCCTGAGACATTATTTGACAAGGCCCAAAATTTATTTTTTAAAATACATTAATGGCTGAGAAGTACAGGCAGCAAGTACCCTTTTTTCTTTTTTTGGATTTACCACCACTGCAGTGTTATCAACGTTACATATTAAAAACTCAGAAGACATGTAGGCTCACTGGTCATTTTGGATATTGAATAAAATGATTATATTTGAGTTGTAGACATTGCAACCCCTGGGTCCTGTCACCACCACTGTGAAGAAATAGAGTCGAGCTAGTTTCTCCACAGTGCACCATTTCACATCAAACCATTCTAAATAACTTTACATCTCAACGACTGAATTCTGTGCAAATTGCAAATTTTCTGACTGAAAAATCTGTGCCATTCCCCTCGCCTCTTGTGGATGGCTTTCTGCTTGAAGAGGGACAGTTGGAGAGAAAGTATGACACTGCTTCCACATTTAAAATGAATTAAAAGCACACAATCAAAATAAAAATAAATAAATGTTGGGAATACTTTAAATCATTGCCAATACCTACATGTTTCAGAGAGTAGTCTCCAAAAAATACCTTTTTATACAGTGGTAAGAAAAATATTACCTCATGAACATTTGCGACTTGAAAGCTTGAAAATGGAGACTGTGGGGTGTATAAACTGTCCTCAAAGTTGAGCACAGATAAATGCAAAAATAACTCATTGGCAATAAAATGAATCAAACATTTTTTAAGAAATGCAGCAGCTCGGTATAAGAATCAAAAAGACCCTAATGCTCCTTCAGTGTGTTTGTGCTGAGTAAGGCATAACCGATGATGCATTCAATAAATATTCTTCCTTTGGGCATAAGGTTAAGAGTAGATCTACAGGTAACTTCACTAGGGAACCACTCTCGTGCCTCTGATCATACTGATGTGTGGGTGCTCTGTGTAGCGGTGTGCATTAGAATGTGGATCTGAGTGTTAAACATAGCTCAGATTACACAGAGGAAATGACCTGATGTCAGAGTACTACACACAGTACTCTACAGAAAAAGAAAAAGGATGAAATAAAATCCCAAATGCAGAGTGCGGGAAAGGATGTCGCTGTTGGTTTTACGAGGTTTTTGGTTTTTGCTACCTGTCAGCGTGAAACAGGTGAGCAGCGAGACACAGTGGAAACCAGGGTGAAGCAAGAAAGGGAATGGCTGCATTCTTACACTCTGCATGTACAGCTTGCTCAAACAGATATTTACTCCATACACAGTGTGTGTAACTTGGTAAACTAAAAAATATACATAACTGCTCAATGCTGATACAGTCTTAATCTTTTAGGAGGATCCGATAAGCAGACTGCCTTGAATAGCTCTTTTGTCAGGTGGATGTTATTAACCACGTAGATAATGTCACTATCATTCAAAAGTCAGAATTTTTCCATTATCCCCATGGGTCATGAGTTGCCTACTACGTAACTAAAACATGCAAGTGACATGACCAGTACAAACTACCACATTACACAGCAACCTGAGATTATCGATCATTTACTTATCTTTACAACACTCACATAAAAGTCAGAGCAGTTCTTCACATTGTTTCATGACCTTTTGTGAACAAATGAAACAAAAGTGTTAAACATTTAAATGTGCTGTACATAAACTGATTTGATCTAAAAGAGTGGTACATTGATTTGAGAGTCAAATTAATCAACAGTATGTGTCATGTAACTTGAAACAGTTGTGCAGGGAAAGCCCAGAATGTCAGCCATTTGGGAGATGCTAGAACCAGCACATCTAGTGCCAAATAACATGCCATGTTCGCCAAGGTCACTAAGGTCAGCAGTGTTCATTTGTTTTGGGATGTTTTTCTCCTAGACATGAATAGCAAGATAAAGAGGGTGGCATTGATGGTGAACTGAATGTATCCAAATGATGCCACTCCATACGTCTCATAAAGGAAACCCCCAATGGTTGGCCCGATTGTGCGCAGCAAAGACTGCACAGAAGCACACAAACCCAGCATGGTGCCTACACACACACACAAAAACAGCAATTGAAACATTAACATTGCACTGTAAAGCCATAGTTGTAAGTGAAGGCACTGTAGACCATTAACATGATTAATAGGTCAAACATGTGGCTGTGTTACCAGTGTCAGATGCTGGGACACTTTTTGTTAGCATGCTGTCTGTGATGACATTGAAGATGCTCAGCGAGAACATCATGGGCACGACAACAAAGCAGAACTGGAACACGTTGGCCATTAGAGCCTAATAAAGAATAAAAGAAGAAATAAGAAAAAGCAATGCACAGTTTAGGCTGCAGCATTTTTTTTTATTTAGGATTAGGAGCTTACTTAAATACAGAATTTAATTCAGGGGTGGGCAATATAACACAATGTATTTCTTGAATACTGAACAACCACATGCGTTATAAAAAGACAGATTAAGACCAATTATAGAGAGTATGTAAACAACAACCCGTAAGAAGTGGCTAATTGGATTCCTGCCCATAATGCCAAGAACTTATTTGTTAGTTTATTTGCTCATTGCTTGTTTTTTATGGTTCTTTTAATAGTTTATTATTACAAACACTAAATGAAAAAATATGTATATCACTCATCTTTCAAAGCCTTTTTAAACTACTCTTTACTGGTGTGCTATGTCTGTTCCAATTTGCAAACCTAAAAACTAAATAGTCATACACACTGATCAGGCATAACATTATGACCACCTCCTTGTTTCTACACTCATTGTCTATTTTATCAGCTGCACTTACTATATAGGTGCACTTTGTAGTTTTTCTACAATTACAGACTGTAGTCCATCTGTTTCTCTGCATACTTTGTTAGCCCCCTTTTACCCTGTTCTTCAGTGGTCAGGACCCCCATGGACCTTCACAGAGCAGGTATTATTTGGGTGGTGGATCATTCTCAGCACTGCAGTAACACTGACAACAATAGTTTTTTTTTTTTGACAGTTACAGTTTTGAGATAAGTAAACAGTAAAAAGTAATATGCTTTGTGGTTCAATTTTGGCCATTTCTTCTTGGCAAACTGCTTTGAATTGCCCAAGGTTACGAGGGTCCCTTTGTTGCAATCACAATATTAAAGCCTCCATAAATTTTCAATGGCCTTCTTTTTTAGAAACCAGTCTTTAGTTTTTTTGCCTGCATGCTTGAGGTTGTCTTGTTGAAACATCTACCTTCTGCCCTTTTCATTGCCACTGAGATTAAATTCTCTTCTAATATGTCCCAGTACATCCTTCTAGTCATGTTTCCTTTGATGATATATAATACCTTAGTACCATTTCAGAAAAGCAGCCCCATATTATGATGCTCTCACCTCAGTGCTTCACTGTGGGTATGGTGTTCTTAGGATCATAGATGCAACCCTTCTTTTTCCAATTATGACAAGCTGATTATTGCCAGAGTTCTGTTTCTGTTTCATCTGACCACAGTACACTATTTCAAAAGTTTGGTTTGTCTAAATGCTCGTGCAAATTTTAAATGCTCATCTGTCTGCTTCTTTTTGTGACGGGTGTAGGAATGGTGGTGATTCATCGCTCATCTTTCTCTGTAACTGCTGCTTTTAGGTCATCCTGCAACTATTTTTGATTGATGGCTCCTTTTGTTCTTATCGTCCTTATCATTTGTCTGAGAGAAATCTTATGTGGCACACCTTTTCACTTGCATATTATCAAATCAATTGTACTGACAGGGATGTTTAAGGTCTTTGCTATGGCTCTCTATGAAGCCCCTTCACCTTTAACATGACTGTTGCGCGAAAGACTGCAGATCACGTAGCAACGAGGTTTCGCCGAGCTAGTGGCGAACGAGAAAGGAAAAGAGAAAGACAGACGAACATTTGGAGATGAATGGACATTCGCATTTATAAGCAGCGCAGTTGGTTTCCTGGTACGTTAAATCTGCAATGAGAGACTGTCAAACACTAAAAAGTTGTGAAGATGAAGTCGCTTCTCTTTCTAATTTTCTCTTTCCACCTTAAATGGTGCCGCATTTACATTCGAGGTGGAACGGCAAAGTTCAGCAAGAAGCTGGCGAATGAGAAGCGACTTCAGCCTATATATATATATATATATATATATATATATATATATATATATATTATGGCAAGCCAAACAGGAAATATTTAATGAACATTGATATATATGGAATGAACTTTGATAAATATACAATGAACATTGATATATATGGAATGAACTTTGATATATATACAATGAACTTTGATATATATGGAATGAACTTTGATATATATACAATGAACTTTGATATATATATATATATATATATATATATATATATATATATATATATATATATATATATATATACACAAAATGAACATTGATATATATTGAATGAAAGTCGCTGTTGAAGGGTTGAGGATGGCCAAACTGTACATCAATAAATGGGCATTAACAAACTCCAGGTGGAGCTTAATAGAAGGGAATTCTGATAAAGTGACCAGTATCTATACACACTGATCCTGTGGACAGAGTGACCTGAGAGTGGCTGATATATGATGTGAAGACAGATGGGTGGAGTTTCAATATATACATAATTTGACATGGTGCAGAAGAAGAGTCAGATGAGGCCATAACTTCTGTTTGAAAAATGCTCTTTTATTGAGAGCAAAGGAAAACAGTACCACTTGAAAAGCAACTGAAAATTGAGGTAGGTCACTCCTAGCCCTACTCTTTCTTCTGATGGTCACCAAACACAAACACACTCTCCCTAACTCTGAGCTGGACACAAAATAACAGAGTAAACACATACACACACTGTAACTGAGGAACAACAACATAGCAACATTACATAACAATGTAAACAGTCTGTTTGTGCAAGGCTACAACACACAACTCCAAAAGTCCCTCTCTGTCTAAACAAAACATTTTATGAATTATATTATTTTTTATATATATATATATATATATCATTTTTTCATCTCCATGTACATCAAGGTTCATTCAATATATATAAATTTTCATTCAATATATATCAATGTTCACTCCATATATATCAATGTTCATTCCATATATATCAAAGTTCATTCCATATATATCAATGTTCATTCAATATATATCAATGTTCATTCAATATATATCAACGTTCATTCCATATATATCAATGTTCATTCCATATGTATCAATGTTCATTCAATATATATAACTTTTCATTCAATATATATCAATGTTCATTCCATATATATCAAAGTTCATTCAATATATATCAAAATTCATTCAATATATATCAATGTTCATTCCATATATATCAATGTTCATTCCATATATATCTCAGTAGAACAAAGATTGATATATATGGAACGAACATTGATATATATTGAATGAACTTTGATATATATACAATGAACTTTGATATATATGGAATGAACATTGATATATATGGAATGAACATTGATATATATTGAATGAATTTTGATATATATTGAATGAACTTTGATATATATGGAATGAACATTGATATATATATTGAATGAAAATTTATATATATTGAATGAACATTGATGTACATGGATCGAACATTGAGATGAAAAAATTGATAATACAATTCATAAAATATTTTGTTTAGACAGAGAGGGACTTTTGGGGTTGTGTGTGTTGTAGCCTTGCACCCCCCCCTCACCCCAAACAGACTGTTTAGATTGTTATTTAATGTTGCTATGTTGTTGTTCTTCAGTTACAGTGTGTGTATGTGTTTACTCTGTTACTTTGTGTCCAGCTCAGAGTTAGGGAGAGTGTGTTTGTGTTTGGTGACCATCAGAAGAAAGAGTAGGGCTAGGAGTGACCTACCTCAATTTTCAGTTGCTTTTCAAGTGGCAGTTTTCCCTTGCTCTCAATAAAAGAGTTTCTTCACATCATATATCCGCCACTCTCAGGTCACTCTGTCCACAGGATCACTGTGTATAGATACTGGTCACTTTATCAGAATTCCCTTCCTTTAAGCTCCACCTGGAGTTTGTTAATGCCCATTTATTGATGTACAGTTTTTCTTGGCCATCCTCAACCCTTCAACAGCGACTTTCATTCCATATATATCAATGTTCATTCCATATATATCAAAGTTCATTGTATATATATCAATGTTCATTGTATATATATCAAAGTTCATTCCATATATATCAATGTTCATTGTATATATATCAAAGTTCATTCCATATATATCAAAGTTCACTGTATATATATCAAAGTTCATTCCATATATATCAAAGTTCATTGTATATATATCAAAGTTCTTTGTATATATATCAAAGTTCATTGTATATATATCAAAGTTCATTGTATATATATCAATGTTCATTGTATATATATCAATGTTCATTCCATATATATCAATGTTCATTAAATATTTCCTGTTTGGCTTGCCATAATATATATATATATATATATATATATATATATATATATATATATATATATGTGTGTGTGTGTGTGTGTGTGTGTGTGTGTCTGTGTGTGTGTATACACATATATAAACACAAAGTCAAAAGACATGTAAATTTGAAGTGGATATATGCACTTTACGTATATTAAAAAACAAAAACAGACGTGTTTGAATAATTGTTTCCCTGCACTCCATCTGCTGATGCAGAATACTGATACCAATCCTAATTCTATCCTCAATCTAACTACTCGATAGGTGTCTATTAATCCTGAAATCATTTCAGGTAGTCCCACCTCTCTAACATTAAAATTGGTGTTAACAGATTTTGCAGTAAACATTTTTGTCTCACATGCTTGTCTCTAGTAGTAATTTTACACTGACAACATGTTGCTTGCTTCAGTTATGCTCCATCTACTGGTACAATTCAGCAGCACACATATGTCAGAAACTGCTTCATGGTATCAGCATTCTCTATTGCAGATACTGATACTGTATTTAAGTGCCAGAATCAGGTCCGATACAGATACTTGATCGGTGCAACACTACTTCATAGTGCCCCAAACTACTGCAAAACTGAATGAAGTATTTAGTGTAGACTGTGTGTGGTGTGTACCTGTGAAAGTCCCACCAAGCTACTCAGGCCTACTGAGAACAGCAGTAAAGAATTCTCAGGATATCTGGTGGTCAGGCGTCCAATAACAGCACCCTGAATCACCTAAAACACACAGCAGAACACACGCAAACATCTATATACATAAACACATACAAACATATATTGAAAGAGCTTAAACAAAACAAAACAAAAATAGAGTTCCTGAACTAAACAAGGCAGGAGCATTATCTAAACAGCCAGCGGTAAGTAAGAGTTTCTGTATTCATGTATGTACGTACCATTTGCACCACACCGATGTAGGCCATCAGGTAACCATTTTGCTCTGCCTTAAGATGGAAAACGTTCATGGCAATAATGGAGAACATGACCTGAAACACACCTGTAAAACAGCCACAAAACCATGTCATTTTTATTGATGTCAAATGATTTTAATTAAATGACAATCATGTCACAATCATGTCAATGTCTTTTTTAATGACAGACCTAAAAATAAAGTTTGAGTTATTTTATATGGGGAATTACAATACAATATGGGGAAGTACTATAAAAGTAGAATAGCACAGGACGCAGATGTTAGGCTAAGCCATGCTTCTTTCACCCTCTTATACAGTGAATGGTGTGGTGAATTTGTGTGATAGATAGTAGTGTATAAACTCAACAGTCATTTTTATACTTAGGCCATAAACCCAAACAATTCACAAATTATGCTACTTTTTAGCACCCCATTTTCAAAATGTTCTTTGTGACTTCGACTTTGTAGTTAGGTGTATGTGTACAGACAATGGGGAAATATTCCCTGCAAACCTGGCCCTCCTTTACCCTCCCCTACAGATTTCACAAAACTGTAGAATACAGAAGTGAATCTTAAGAAAAAAAAATCCAAATTTGAGAGGTGTGGCAAACAAGGATGAAAACTCATTTCAGTATTTCGCAAAACACATAGTACCTTGCTGATACACGATTCATTCGCCGTTTCTAGAGTTTGAACCCTTGATTTATGCCAAAAGTCTATTTCCCAAGATCAAATCACTAATTCAATGATAGTTAATTTTGTTCCTAGACAGAAAATATTTACAGTTAAGAACTTCATCCCATGATAATATTTCAGTTTTCTTTGGACATGTCCAGGAAACAGGCAAGTCAAGCCGATTACTTCACCAAAGCAATCAAAAGCTCAAAGAATGCTGTAAATATAATGCCATGCAGCATTAGTTAATTTTTGACAGATTAGTAGTGGGTCTTTGTATACTCAACCTTTCAGAAATTATAAATGGATGGCTCTTTTAGGTCATCCTGCCATCATAGCCCCTCATTTGCCTTCAAGGCTAAACCTATAACGTGTGGCCACAGTTTCCAACAGTCCATCTCCATTGAGCAGTGGATCGGACAGTGCTTACCTGGACTTTAAAGGTGACTATCACATTCGTCTTAGGGCAAATGCCAAACCTTTTGCTCTCTCTTTCCCCCAGACATGTATCTTTCCCGTTCATGCCAAAACTAACGGAGGACCTTAGCTGTACAGAGCAGATAGGAATAAATCATCAGAAGAATTGAGGAGCCAACGGATTGGGAATCCAGGATGGAGGTTTTCCCTAAGCAAGACAGAAAAGGTGAAATCTGTTGACCTTATAATGTTGACTGCTAAGTACTGTCATGTCTTGCATGTCAGAGTTTGAGCAGATATCCTTAAAAACAGAGTAGGAGCGTGACAACTTTCATCACCCCTTTGGCCGCTACTGCTTTTGCAGATTACAATTTGGCATTTCCAAAACACTATAGCAGTGTCTATTTTAAGTTCTCAAGGGGTTTGATGGCAGCACTGCAGTTCTTAATTGACTTCAGCAAGCAGGACTCAAGTTGACCCTCAATTCAAAATGTGAATTCTCAAAGACTGAAGTGAAATTTTTGAGCTAGATCATTGATGCTGCTCATGTCCACATGCCTTCACGAACTAACATTTCACAGATGTGCCACTTCATGGATGGAGTCAACTATTTGGTTTAATACATGCCTAACTTGGCAGACAAAACCCAACCCATTGTGTGATCTCTTGAACAAAAAGAATATACTGTGGCACTGGGGATTACACCAGTGTCAAGCCTTCAATGCCATGAAAACAAAACTGACCATTCCCTGGAGACTTGCACACTACGACCGCAGTACAGCTAGTAGTCCCTGACAACAGCACAGATGCCGTTATTTTATAGGAATGGCAGTTCAGAGGCCAAAGAAAAGCTATCATCAGTTGCCTTACCTCATTAACAGCAAATGTGTATAAACAAGTATGTGATTGTTATATGTGTGTGTTTCACCTGATGGCAGTCCTGAGATAATCTTCACAGTGAATGTCTTTGCAACACCTGGAAACTTCATCAGTCTGACAATCTCTCCCAAGTTAAACACAGAGCCAGCTCCCTTTCCTGCCCACACAAACAGTTACGGTATTACACTTAAGAATAAAATTTCAGCAAATAAAATGTTTGTTCATACTTTAAAGTTGCAAACATATTTACTGAAAAATAAACCGACTATGCATACATTTTTCATGTGAAATTAATTTTTATCATGTGCCTCTTTTACAACAAACCAACAAGCCATAGCAGGAAAAGCAGGATGGCAGCGGAGCAGAACAGCTGAACTGAGGAGATGAGAACGAGAACGTTCTCATCTGAGGAGATGAGAACGTTTCTCATTTTAATCCTGTAAAATGTGCAGAAACACAATGGAAACCTAGCTGCTGTCTTGTTTTTTGACTCAAGTCAGCAAAAAGCTTTTTGTGGATGCAAAGCTTTTGATGATTTTATGATTATATCACATGACCCTAAGAGAGTAATAAGGATGAGATAGTATATATAAGCCTACTGCTCTCATGTCAATTTTTTTGTTGTAAGAAAAATAGCTCATGTCAAAAGTTCTTTTGCTGCAATCATATTAGATTTATTTATTAGATTTTTTTATTTATTATTATTTTCTGATTTAAATAGTTGATTAATTCCTGTTTTAATGTAATTTAATTTAATTAGGAAAAATCTGACTTTTTTGCATCTTTGTATTGGGTTGGATTTCTGAGTATACATTAAGCCTAGTCTTGGAATAAACTGCATTACCAATTCTACTTTAGTCTAAGTTCCCAGTCTGGGATTCCAGCCTCTCTTGTTTTTCATAGTAAGTTCCTTTGTTGTTGACAGGTGACTTTTGGTCACTCGTTCTTGTGTTTTTACAGTTTATAGCACCACTTTGAGGCTACAGGACATTGCTAGACAGAAGTGGATGCCCACAGGTCCACCCTTTCACCAGCACTATCAGTCTACTAAATTTAAATTCAATGTAAAATGTATGTATCATACTGTTGCTCTCCTTTGCGTTGTGTTTTTTGGTGTGTTTAGGAATGAATTTCAGCACAAGCAGTAGACTGATCAAACTTCCCCCAGCAGCCACATATGCCGCAAACTTCTCCCTGCAAAACACACACAAACAAAATACAAACTGCACACACTGCGAACTGTCTGAGGGCACAACTTGTCTGAGGTCTCATTTTAACCCTACAGAACCCAAACTAACTGGTCTGCTTGGATTGGAGGCACCCTGAAAAGAGTTTTACGATAGGGTTTGGCCTAAAACTTATTTTTAAAAGCAATTTAATGTGGAAAGGTACATGCAAAAGTCCCCCCCCAAAAAATATATATTTTTCAGGTTTACCTCAGGAGTATGGAAGCAGGTCAGTATCAAAATTGAAAAGAAAATGTAATATGTAAAATGGCAATGTATTTCTATGTTTGCATTTAAATTTCCCACTATATGCAATATTGAGCTCAAAATGAAAATTCAATACTGCAATTTGAATTTGCCATTTGGTAACAGTCCTGACATTTCATTTACACAGATTTAAATGCTTTATGAGTAGCTTTATCTAAAATAAAATGTATTTTCAGATCTGCATATTTATGCTTGATGTGATAATGCAATAATTGTTCCAAAATTATGCATTTTTCACTCTCCAATAATGCATTTAAATTGCATTATCAAAGAGAACACCAAGCTAGAAAGAAAATTCAAATTTAAATGGGAAACAGCACCTCTCCTCAATTACAATAAGCAATTACATATTCTCGCCTGCTGTGCTCATTCACAGTGTCAAAATGCCTTTGAAAATGCATTTGACCAGATTGCATTTTTATTTTCATGGTCTTAAATGGCTATATTTGCATTGTAGATATTGCAACCACTAGTTCCTATTACCACTATTGTAAAGAAAATATGAGGCAGTAATTATCTACAATTCCCTATTTTACAATAAACCAAACTGAATGCCTTTGTTCACATCTCAACATTTGAGCCCCTTGCTTTGAAAAACAGAACATGTGACATGTTTTGTGAAAAATCGTAAGTATGATATGGCATTGTTTGATGCCCTGTATTTAATATAAAGGGATCACTAAAATGTAAATAAAGCATATTTTGTACAAAATAAAATAGAAAACAAAATAACTGACACTCCAAAAACGGTGAAATAGTTAATATATGTTTTTTCATTGGAGGGGCCCAATTGAATTATACAGAAATATTGGTGAAATTCTTCTTTATAGGAATGTTAATTTTTCAACCTAATCTTTATTTGCAGCATATGAGTGATTGAGCATGATGATTTCCCTGAACTTAAAAAGAACTGAGCAGAACACTCATTGAAAACCCAGAAAAAGTCCAAAGTTGTGTAGAAATATGTATGGACATACCCATAGCGCGTGCTGAGGGTGCCCCCCAAAGACGATCCTGTGATCATGCCTATACCAAAACACAGACCAAGCTTTGCCAGGCCTTCCGCTCGCTTCTCACTTGCAGATAGGTCTGCCACAACCATCTGTGCTCCTGTGCACACACATACACATAAACAACTATGTTATTGAGTTTCAAGATCATGAGGGCCTAAAGGCAGGTAAACAGTTTGTATATTTAGCCTTAAAAATATACAAATTTGCAGTGCTGTAGTGGTGTTTGGATAGATTGGTTGGTATACAATGCCTTCTATGGGATCTACAACCCATACACACAGTTTTTATCTTAGAAATCTGGCCTGTGAAACTCTGCTAAAAGTCTTTATCAATATAAATCAACATACCACTGTGACATAATAATAATAATAATAATAATAATAATAATAACAACAACAACAACAACAACAACAACAACAACAACAACTTGATTATTATTGAACCTTTCATACATAAATATGCAGCTCAAAGTGCTTCAAAATAAAATTAAATAATTCATCAAAATCATGTATGTGTAACAGTAAACAGGAACAAATAAATACTTGAAAGAAGTGTTTGTTTAATAAAAATGGTAATAATGAATAAATAAATATATGAACAATTAAACATTCAAATATAAAGAAAATAGAATAAAATAAATATTGAATGAGAATGAAAAGTAAGAACAACAGAACATATACAATTTGAAACAGAATGGCACAGAAACCTAACAGAATGCTAAGCTAGGTAAAATTTCATCAGCTGCTTTTTAAAGCTAGTAACAGATAATGCCTGATGATCAGTAATTGATAAAGAATTCCAGATTTTTGGTGTGTAAAAACAGATTGCTGCTTCACCAGTCTTTTTGTGCTTCATCCTGGGAACATTCAGTAAAACAGCACTTGATGATCTTAAAGCACGCTTTGGAAGATATTCTGTCAGGCATTCAGGATGTATGTAGGTGCTAATCTATTAAGAGATTTGTAAACCAGTAAAATAATTTTAACAAATTCTAAAAAGAAAGGTGGTTGTATTTAACCCAGTGAATAACACATGACAGAGGTCTGGTCGTAAAAAAAACAAAAGCATGGATCAGTTTCTCAGCATCTTCCTGTTGGGGGAAGTGGTCTAACTTGTGTTGTGCTTCTTAAATGAAAGAGTTGTTTTTGTAACACCATCAATATGAGATTTAAAAGTTAAGGTGGAGTCTAAAATTATGCCAGGATTTATAAGTTCATCTTTCAGTTGTGGAGCCTTACTGATTTAAAGCTTTTGCTCTCTTTGCTTTATTACCAATTATGAGAATTTATGTTATTTCTTTATTTTATTAAAAATATATATTATTCATCCACATAATGATACTGGATAAACAAGTTGTTAATTTATTGAAAGCACTTGTATCATTTGGCTCTACATAAATAGCTAATTATTTATCATCATCATAGCTGTGAAAACTGACTCCATACTTTTTAATAATGTGACCTAATGGAAGCATTTACAAAGAAAAAAGAAGTGGGCCTAATACAGAACCCTGTGGAACACCATACAGTAAGTCATACATATTCAAGCAATTATCAGCTAGAATAATAAAGTACTTTCTACCTTTAGAATATGTATGAAACCACTTTAAGACGGTTCCAGAAAGGCCTATGCAATTTTCAAGTTGTGTCAGAGTATCATAGTCTACTGTATCAAATGCTGCACGTATATCTAACAGTATATGGATGAAAACCCTGTTTTCATCAGTGTTGACTCAGAGATCATTAACTATTCTTAGAAATGCTGAAACCTGACTGGAAATTTTCTGGAACTCATTTATTTGTGCAAAGACTACTTTTTGTGTTTTTTGTACTTTTGTTTTGCTTAAAAATGGTAGGTCTGAAATGACTTTAAACTGATGAATCTACCTTGTGTTTCTTTGGTAGAGGCCTGACCACAGCAACCTTGAAAGCACGCGGAAGAATACCTGTTTCTCAGGAACAGTTTATCATGTCTTAAACACAAAAAAGGCAATCTAAAATTTCTTTAAAAAAATGAGGTCAGAATTGGATTCAAAATACAGGTGGAAAAACATAGCTGAGAAATTATCTTATGGAGCTCTGTGTCACATATCCTTCTAAAAAACATTCATCATGAATTGTAGTTGAAAAAAAATGTCAGAACTTAACTTCTTGAGTACCTCAGGCTTGATCAAATATTAGTGATTTTATTATAGTGCAAGAGGTTCACATTTTGATGCAGATGCTTCACATAACCATTCACTGGAGTGGGATTTAAAAGGCAGTCAATAGTCAAAAATAAACATTTTGGGTTATTACTATTTACATTTATTATCTTTGAAAAATGCAACTGCCTCTGCTTTAATCTTGTATTATTATAAGTGTCAATGCAACTTTTTAGAGTTTTATAGTGTATGTTTAATGTAGTTTTCTGCCAAACTCTTTCAGCCTTGTGGCAGTTCCTTTTGAGTTGCTGCAGCCGCTCACTTTTCATTGTATTTTTGTAGGCAGAGATGTCTTTTTCTCATTTTCTGATGCAACTATATCTAGAATTGATCTTATCTTTAAGTTAAACATGTCAACCATTTCATGAACTGCTACGGTTTTAGGAAAAAGAGGTCTATTGTTTAAAACCATTTAAGTCTTAAAAATCATTCAAGGTTTTATGCATTAAAATACTGTTTCTTTTTAACATTTGGATTCTTAGCTCTTAGTTTCTTTGTACTAATTAATGTTCTGAAAAAACATATAGTAGTGATTTGAGACTGTAACATCTACAATTTAATTTATGTTTTAACACAAACTGTAGGAAATAACTAGATCAAGTGTATGTCCTCGGTTATGGGTGGGTTTGTAATGTCCTGGTTAAAATTTAGTGTTTTTAAAAGTTGTATAAAATCCATGGCATTTCTGTCTAAAACATTATCAACATAGAATTTAAAATCACCAGTAAGAACAATCTTACCCTGGTAAGTAACACAGATAGATAATAGGTAAGACAATTCAGGCAAGAAGGAACATGTGGGTTTTGGTGGACAGTAAACCATCAGCAACAGTACTGGCTCTTGACCTTTTAATAGCTAAATATTCAAAAGAAGGGATCATACCAAACGATATGTTTTTGCAGTTAAAAGTCATTAAAAACAGCTGCTAATCCGCCTCTTTCTTCCCTTTACATACAGTATGGTATGAGTTGTGGTTCTGTGAGGCAGTTTCAATAAGGCAGTCTGCTCCATTTGTGTCAAGCCTCATTTCCATCAAACAAAAAATCTAATTTTAGCTCACATATATAATCATTTACAACAAACGTCTTACTGGTCAGAGCTCTAACAGCCTGATAGTTTCTTTCATGCGTTCTGTTCTCAAACACTTAGATTTAGTGCATTCATTCATGTATTAAGTGAAATTTAAAAGTACTGATCAATGAGAGAACACAATCGCATAACAGATCTCAAAATTGATAGGTTTAACTGGAATATGGCTATTGGTGTTAGTATCGCTCTCACACCCATAAATTCAAATAGCATGCTTTCATGTGTTCGCTTTATTCCTACATTCCTACATCATTGCCACAGATTAGCTATCCACCTAGCATTATTATCAAGTTTTGCTTGTAAAGCAGAGGTGTCAAATCTTATCCACAAATGGTTGGTTTAGCTGCAGCTTTTCATTCCAAACAAGCTGGTGCATACCTGATTTCATTTGTTAAAATTAGCTGGTCTCAGTCTTAAAACAACTGATCACATGTTCTCCCACTTTACTGGAATAAAAACCTGCAACCACACCAGCCATTTGCGGGTAAGATTAGACACCCTGGGTGTAGAGAATCACAGCAGGAAAAAGAACTACAGCAGAAAAGCAGACCAACCAAGGGTGCGGGAAAAAATCGATTCTTAGATGCATCGCGATGCGGATGTGAACGATTCTGAATCGATTCACAAATGTCAAAAAATCGATTTTCTAAATATTTCATTTATACCGTAATGTTGAAGGAACGCAAAAGGCGGAACCTGGAAGTGCAAAAGTGCAGCGCCCGGACACTCTGTGAGGTGCACTTAAAAAAATACAACTGGATGAGCGAGAAATCCGACCGGCTCCCTCTGCATTAAAAGCCAGGTTAGGTCAGGAGTCACAACCCAAATGTTAAGAAGAGCCATTTTGTCCTTTCAACAAAAATCAAACCACCTTGGCAGCCACAACATTTATGTCCAGTATGTCTCAGTATGTGTTAATGTCCTGCTATAAGCTATAAACGAAAACGCAGACTTACTTCGCTCTGCTTTAAGCTTTAGCTATAGCCGCTTTCCTTCCATCTCCACCAGAAAACTTTTTTTCTCTAAAGTAGATCAGTTTCTTGTAAAATGTCTCTCAAAGTTTTACGAGGCTGAAGTCGCTTCTTTAAGTCGCTCCAGCTTCTTTCCTGTTCCACCTTAAATTCTGAGTGAGGTGCCGAATGTAAATGCGGCACCATTTAAGGTAGAACGGGAAAATTTGAAAGAGAAGCGACTTCATCTTCTCAACTTTTTAGTGTTTGATAGTCTCTCGTTGCAGATTTAGCTTGCAAGTAAATCAACAGCAGCACTTATGAATGCGAATAACGCATCTTTGCTAGGTGACCTGCAGTCGGAGAACGCCAGTTCTCAGTCGTTGCGAAACAGGGCTTTCGCGCTCTGTTGCACACGTCCCGAAGATATTTTACTGACACAGCAATCCCCCCACTCTTTACAATGAGACCAAAACCGAATGTGCTCCAAGCAATAGCAGTGAATGAGAGCCTTCTAGTTTAATTGCCACATCACTTCCATTTGATTTATTAATAAAAGACATTGGAAGTAAATGCATTATAGATGTTTACAAATACTTTGCTTTAAAAGTACCAAGTCCTGACACAGTAAGAAAATAGAAATCCTGTACAGAAAAAAAAGATGCAGAGATGCATCGATAATCGTTTTATAATCGCATCGCAGCCCTCTGAATCGTAATCGAATCGAATAATGAGGTGCCTAGAGATTCCCACCCCTAATAAATATATATCCATATAAATATATATCAAACCAATAAATGTCAATTATTCAAGCAGAACAGTGCTTTTATCAAAATAAAATCAAATTTCAAATTTGAATCAAATCAAATTTAAAATTTCAATCAAATCAAATTTCTGATGCACATGCTCACAACAGAGTTTCATGTGCTGATAGTAGATGGATGTGTGACATATTTAGGGTTCGTGCATGACACATTTAGTATTTATAGGAACCTATCTAGTAGTTAGGTTACGTGGAGTTAGCAACAGTATTGGTACTCTGCATTGGCTGACACTGGAGAATGTGCTACTGTATCAGTATCGGAAGGGAAAAGGTGGTATTGGTGGATCTCTAGCATAAATGCTACATAAATACGACATAAATGCTACACTAGTGCAAGCGTGTGTGTATTTTTTGTGTGTTACCTGGCAAAGCATGCATGAACACAGCAGGTAGTTTGTGCAGAAAGAGCAATATGGTGCTGTCTGCTACTGCAAGCAGCAAAAAGTATACCACGGATGCCATGGAAGATACAGTGAGAGCAGCCCGAGCTCCAAACACATCAGCAAACCTGAGAAAACACATACACCAGATATCAACACAATATGTTGAACATTTAAGCCCACAGTAATTAAAGCACAAATCCACCACAAGTCTCACCTGCCAAACACAGGGCCCCCCAGAAGCTGGATTACTCCCACAGTTGTCTGCAGGTACCCAAACCATAGCGTGTCAAATCCCAGCCTTCTTGCCAAATACTGACAGTACAAAATACAAATTGTTTTGAAAAAAATATCAAAACAAACTGGATTATGTAGCTGTGATAATAGTGCATACCATTTACTAATGGCAGTATTACACAGCATAGACATTACATCAACTTCATCAAATCATTTTACAGAATTCATAATTCTATATCTTTTTCATGTTTTCGTTCCTCAATACTCTCTTACTAAAATACTCAACATGCATTATGTTATACGACCATTGAGAATCCCTGTGGTGTCAACCAATCCTGACTGGTACTAGCTATTGGGCTACAGCCTAATAAATACTAAATTAATAAATAATAAATAACTTTTACTATGGTCAACAAAATTGCAAAGAAAAGAGAAATTCTATCTTTATTAACCACAAAATGGATCCCATAGTCAAGTTTTTACCCCTTCGGCCAAAGAAAAGAAGTCTATCTGAGGTAAGGTGGGCCTATCTAGACAGCCAGGTAGCTTCTTTACTTTTGCTTTTAGCTTGTTGTCCTTCTTATCTGACATGTCATTTGAGTTATCCATTCTCTCCACTGAAGTGATGATTTGATGACTGTTACTACAGTTATGTAGCTGCAATAAAATATTTGACTTCCTTGCAGTAACATTAACCTATCTGCCATCCCTCAGTATTCAACATCTAACAACAACGACAAAACACCTTAAAAAAACCCAAAGCAGCTGTAGTTTTTCTATAGTTTCTCCCACTTTCAAGATCAGAAGAGTTTTCTTAGTCATTAAGCTAGAAAATCTCATTCTAGAAACACTGTAGGATGCGATAAAGCATGCTTACAACAGATGTAGTGATGTTAAACTTTTCATTTTAACCAACGTGTCCCTGTAATAATAAGTAAGCTATCATACCAGACAGGCCCCACATATGGACTACAGCCATAGAGGGCCAGTGTGTATAGAGATCATTTTGTGCCAAAAATTTCAAATACAGTTATAAAAATCTACAAGTAAAATGCTAAGTATAAAAATGTCTAAAATATGATGCAAATAAAAAAAATGAGTTAAATCAAACTTAATTTTTCATTTTCAATCATTTTGATATACATTTTTGTCATTCTGCCAGTTTTTGCTTTGGTCATGTTTATTTATGTAACACACACTCAGAGTCCTGTTTCAAGCTGTGTGAAATATATATTTCGGAAACTTAAGTATTTAGGTAAACTTAACTGTTCCACCAAGCTGCATCATCTTCGAGTTTGCAGCTGCCAATACTAACTAGCTTAGCAGTGTCTGCTAAAGGGCTAACTAGGAGAGCTTTAGTCATCGTTGACCGTTCTGATCTAGTGTTTATAATGGTTTTTATGTCAGTCTTTTCTTGTCTGTACCCACAAAACCTATTTCAGTGACTGACACAGTGACTGACTCTACCCAAAGAGTGCCTCAGTGTCAGTCACTGAAACAGGCTTTGTATTTCAGCATGCCTATTTACAGAATCTGCTCCAAATCACTGTCTTTAAATTAATGCAGTGAACTAACATCAGATATTTAAGCAGTTTAGTTCCATTACTAGTATGGCTCGCCTAATTAGCCCTAGAATACACCGCTAGGCTAGTTAGCACTAACAGTTGCAAACTTGAAAAGTGGTACAGCTTTGTCCATTCAACTAAGTTTATGTTCGTCAATGCCCAAAATAACAGTTATGTCTTTTTAGACATGTCAAAATAGGACCCATAAACATGTGTTACATTGAGGACTTAGAAGAATATAACAAATATCGCTCCTAACGTGAGATATGCCAATACAATGCCGCACTTGTAGCAACACTCAGTATGACATGTTTTGCCGCACTGGGGGCAGTTCACGCCAAGTGGCTGTGTTCAGAGGACCTGTCACTCCAAATCAGTTAACCAACAGAATGTGCAGGTGAACACCCTCTTCTAAGACTTGCCCCCTGTTAAAAAGTGCCAAAAGTAGGAAGCAAAAGAGCGACACTAGAAGCAATAAATGTATCAGTAAAATCAGCAAACAGAAAAAGTTAAAGCAAAATTTGGTAAAATCAGTAATAAATTTATCATGAAAATGAAATGAAAAAATAAGTCTGATTTAACTCTATATCTATTTTCAACAGATTTCTGATATTTTAATACTCAATATTTTGCTTGTGGATTTTTTACTTGAAAATTTGGCACAAAATTAACTCCATAGGTGTGGCTGCAAGTTTTCATTATAATCACAAAGAAGCACGCCTGATTCCACCTGTTTAATCAGTTGACCTTAATCTCCAAACAAGTGGTTATATGAGATTATATGAGGTGTGCTCCTGTTTGGTTGAAATCAAAACTACAAAGGGCTGATGTGGCTGCAGGTTTTCATAGATCTATTTCTCATTTGTTACTCTATTCTAATAATAGACATTAATTATTATTATTGTTTAATCTAAATACTTTTGTCCAATGACAGGCTAATTCCTTTTCTTTACTCAGTATTGTATATTCATTGTCAAATCTTTATTCTTTATTCATATTTATCCAAAGTTGATCTGAGGAGGATGGGTTCCCCTCCCCTCCTTCCCATCTTCAACCCTCTGAAGGTTTCTTGCTCTCATGAAGTTTTTCTCTGCCACTGCCACACCTTGACTTATTTATTTGGGGTCTGGACCTGGATGTTCTGAAAAGCTATTTTGTGACAAAAGTGCTCAATTTATATAAATCATGATTTGAATCAGATCTTGGTTAAAAGAACACAGGCCAAGCCATTTCTAAGATCTGTTAAACTTGTTCAACAGCGCAGCTGTTCTAACTCTAATTCTAAAGCATTCATCAGCAGAAGCAGGTGCTGAATGGTAACTGTAATACTGGGCTTCCTCGAGGAGATGTTTGGAGGTTTGGTTATGCTAAAACACTGAGATACGTAATACCACAATGTATTTTTTATTTGTCTTTTCAAACAAATACTGACCAGCATACATATACATTTACATTTACTATTCTGTACCTGCTAGTCCTTCCTTAAATTAAATCAGGTGCGCGGTCAGGAACCAAACTTGTGTTCTTCTAACCGTATTCTTCTATTTAAAAACAAAAAATCTTGTTGCAACTTACTGTATGCATGTTTATTTGTATGTATTCTAATGTTCTTATTCTAATTTTTTACATGCAAAAAAAGAAAACACTTAGGGAACAAATAAAGTTTTAAACATTTCTGTTGCTGCTAGACGTTTTGCACAGAACGGTATATATAAACAGTCGATAATAAACCCAGTGAGACCTACCGGAGTTATTGAAAACTGTACGAAAAGCAGCGTAATGTCCAAAGCAGCGATGATGTACGTGATATATAGAATTTTCTGGATCTTTGCTGCTGTCGGTGGTTCCATGTCGGTATATTCAAGCGTAGTCACTGTTGTGTAACAGCCGTGACTTAACGTCCTTCTTTCACACGGTCTCCGCGTCAAAAAAACAAAACGTGAAAAATCCACTGAGTCCTCTAACGCTCAGGCTATTCTGTTAGACTAGCTGTACCATGAAGCAGTTCATGTCTAATGGGCCATTCTCTACAAACATAAGCTCAGATCAGAATACGACGCTTTCAACCAAGCAAACTCTTGAACTGTTGCACTTCGACCTTACAAGTTAAGGAATGGGACTTTGAACCTAGGGTGAAACATAAAGGCACAAAACATTGTTTTAGGCTTGTAGCTAATCGCCTGCATTTGACACACGATTGCTCTGAAAGGTCCTGAATTTAGCCTAAAGCGTTCTGTATAACTGCGAGGTTTCGTTTTCTCTCACTGGTAGCCTCTGTGTTTGAGGAAAAACAGCCAAACAACTCCAACAAAGGCTGAATCCGGCAACTTCGACAGGGTTCTGCAGCTTGTAGCCCAGAGCAGGAGTAGTAGTAGATTTTTGCTTCTTACTAACCACCAAATTAAAACATCCGCATAATTAGTCTACGTTTTTTCTGTTAAAATCGAAAGCTAAAAAGCGCCTCTACCATATACAGAATAAACTTCCTCGTTCTAGGAAGCCGGAGAGGTATGCGCAGACTGAGGACTTAACCACTGAAATGCGGCTGCGCGGGTACTTACCACCATCTATCTATCACGGGGCTGCACCCATTCTATTTTTTTTTCCTTTTTTTTTAGCCAAACAGATTTTTGGCCAATTTTTACTACACGTCTTTTTTTCAAAGACGTGTGGGCTTAATGACCACACGAAACACACTGACACCTTTCCAGTCATTCTAAAGTCGAAACGTAAACAACAATTATGTGCTCTTTAATTGGCAAAAAAATAGGCATTTAAAATTTGTAAACGAAAAATCCAAAAATCTAAATCAAAAGTCGCCTGCTTAAAAAAAATGTAAAGTCATGGGCAAAATATGCGCATATGCAAATCAGTATATGAATTCATGCAATAATAGTTGCACATTTGTAGAATATTTTTTTCAAAAATACATTTTTCTCCTTGAATATTATTCAAACATAAACCCAAGTCAATAACAACTGCTCAAATCTGACGGAACGAGCCTCAAATGCTGTTTTTTCGCTCCCACTTTTGCACCACGTAACTCAGTGAAATGGGAAGCAAAAGTGAAGTGTGCAGCTGTAGAGCCAGCTGCAGCGCAGAGAGGGCGGAACCTAGTCAATCATTAGCTGCTGGTGATAAGACCTGCCCACTGAATACATTTTACACGCCCCGCCACGTCAGCATTGTTTAAACTATCAGTGTGTCCCAATAGACCACTGTAGTCGTGTCGTCATTTTGTAGACGGCGCTATGCTGTTATGCCCATATCAGGAACTCTGGGTCTAAGCGCCTTTTCTCTATGGCCAGAATGAATAGGGTTTTCGAAAAATCTCCTCTGTCGCACCCTATGTTAAATAAAAATGTTCAGAACCCAATATGTTTTGTCCTATGTACATTTTTCCCCAAATATCACTGGATCCTCCGTATTACGAGGTCGTTAAAGAGTTGAAATATGAATATTGCTACATGTGAGCTAAAGCTACTGCGCGCTGAATTCACGTCATTAGACTGGCAGCCTCCTTAAGCGGGTTTTGGCAGTAAACATTCCCATGTACAGACCGAGGACAGATGAAAACTAGTCAGAACAAAATCAGCAGGTTTCCCTGCAGTTCTCTGTTCTTCATCTGATGCTCACTGAAACACGATAGATCTCTCCTTTTAGCTTGATTTGAAAAGATCTACAAACGTACCTGCACTCAGGCTAATCCAGTACAGATTCATCTTAATATCACTGCTCACCCCCTGATGAACTGATTTCGGCTATCAGAATATCCTAATTATTATTTTAATGCTGGTACCATTTTTCTGAGGTTATTTTCTCAGGACTTTCGCCAAATTTTGATCGACCTTTCCCGTTCTACCTTAAATGGTGCAGCAGTCACGTGCTGAACTGCTGCGTCATTTAAGGTGGAACAGGAAAATTCGAACAAGCAGTCGGCGAAAAAGAAGCTGACATCAGCTTCATGGAAGCTTGAAAGGCATAATATGAAGAGGTTTCACTATTTACACTTAACAGCTGAGTAACATTAATTAATTTTTGCTGTTTCACAGAACCGACAAGTCAGTATTTTGTCTCGTTTGCTAATGTTTGTGATAGCTAGTCACAGCTGCTGCACCATTTAAGGTGGAACCAGAACATTCAAACAAGAAACTGCGAAAAAAGAAGCTAAATTCAGCCTCGTAGTATTTTTGATAGGGAGTTTTAGCCTATCAAAATATCCCACCCAGAGGTTTTATTTACGAGTATACCTGTAAATATGCGCAACGGTAGAACATTTTGTGTTTCATCAAATTAATGCGCAGTAGCTTTAGCTCGCATGTAGCAATATTAGTATTATAGCTCTTTAACGACCTTGTAATTCAGAGGATCCAGTGGTATTTGGGAGAAAAATGTACACAGGACAAAACGTATCGGGTTTTGAACATTTTTATTTAACACAATGTGCGATTGAGGCAATTTTTCAAAAACCCTATTCATTCTGCCCGTCGAAAAATGGGCTTTGACCCAAAGTTCCTAATATGGGCATAACGAGGACTACAGAATGACGCACGATTACAGTGGTCTATTCAGGCTGGATCCTTCGGAGGACGCGGTCTACGAAGGCGTGTCCTTCGAAGGCTGCTTACCCAGCTAACAGGGAACGTTCCCGCAACTTTGGTTAACGTTATGTAAAGGTTCTCCTAATGTTAGGAGCAAATGTTCTCACAATAACGTCAGTGGAACGTTCTGTAAACGTTATGTGACCTTGATCAAAGTTCTCACAATGTTAGTCTGAAACGTTCTCAGTGTAACGTTAAAGGAACATTCTTTTAACGTTTTTTTTAATAAATAGTTTAAGGGACTGTATGCATAATGTTCTTGAGACACATATTAGGAAACATTAGTCAACTGTTTTACATCCATTTTTTGAGATGATGAGGCGCACAGTTGAAAACTTAATCCATTTTGTTATACTGGACTTTTTTTGCTTAACGTAATATTTAATTCAGTAATAGATTTAAGATAAGCTATTACTTCTTTTTTTCTGACTGCATTTAATAAAAACTACATTAAAAACTGAAACTGCTGTTACTAGAAACAACGAGTTTTCCACAGCCTGTTTTGAGTACTGTTGTCACGGTGACGGAGATTCGGCGGTTATATGGGCAGACTGAACCGGTTCAAACCAGTTGCAGCCAGTCTTCTCCGGTTTACTCCAGAGGGAGCCTGCCAGCCTACTTAACTACAAGGTAAGAAGTGGAGAGTAAAATCCTTTTCTTGTCAATGTTGCTTGTGTTGAGGTTTATATAAAGGCTTGAAGTGCATTCTATAAAGGTATCACACGGATTTAGTATGTTAGCTAACGTTAGCTTTTAGTTTATCTCAATTTAACCGCTAGCCAGTTAGCTAATGTAGAGTTAGCTACTTAGCTAATATTAGCCAACATTAAGTTAGTTAGCTAGCTAACTAGGTTAACTATCTTGCTAACTTAATATTAGTGATGGGCTTAATATGTTTAGTAATACAAAAATAACTCATAACTAGTAATGAAGCTAATAAAATGATAAAATCGCCAAGGTACATTAATTGCAGAGATAAATGTCTGTAAATGTAGAAAAAATAAATGTATGCATTAATGTTAAGATATGCTAGCATAAAATTTTCCCGTTCCACCTTAAATGGTGCAGCAGTTCTTTGCGCCTGAGGCGTTATAATAACTTGCACCATTAAAGGTGGACATTTTTTTTTATTTAAAGGTGGAACTGGAAAATTCGAAGAAGAAGCTGGTGAAAAGTAAGCCAATTTCAGCCAAATAAACCATTTAAAAATTAAATACAAATGTAAATCTTGCAGACACAGGTGTTTATCTTGAACATATCGATTAACATTTATAAGTTCTCAAAAAGCAGGATAATGTGAGGTTTACTCTTGACGAGCATCACTGAAACAAATTTAGCTAAGCTTTATTCAAGCAGTAGAGGAGAGCGGAGGGGTTATCGCGGAATAACATCACGGCTGTGATTTGGTCGCAGGCAGGAGCCGAAGGCAAACTAACTGTTAATATTGTACAAGTACGCGCTGATTCACGCCCTTTTCCGTTTCAGTGAAGTTAGATGAAAGCAGAAAAAGGCTATAATCGCTGTTTTGTAAAAAGAACCGAGAGAGGATTAGAGAGGACTAATTTACAGGTAAGCAGGGGGGTTAGGGGTTCATGTTCATGTGTGTGGGCGTGCGCCCCAACTGTCATTTTTTCTGTGAGTGGGAGAAAGAGAGAGATACAGAGAGAGAGAGAGGGCTGCCCGTTAGTTTTTTCTGTTACCCACTTGGCTCTTCGCCTTTTAGTTACTTCACGTGTACTTCAGCTCGAGTAAATGGACAGTTGTAAATAAAGGCCTCCATGTTATGGAATTCATCTTTAGGAAGCCGTTGTTGTTCAAACTTTGACGTTCCATGTAAATAGTGCAGCAGTTCCATTCAAGCGCCAGAATGACCTGCTGCACCATTTAAGGTAGAATTGAAAAATGCGTCTAAGAAGCCAGCTTCAGCCATGTCAACTTTCTGAGGTCTGTCTACCACTGAAACCACTCAGAGTGTTCTATTTTTGTTCCAAAAGAGTTATGTCAATACAGTGTCAAAAGGCATTGTGTATCAATTCAAAGTGGATATATGCATTATAGGTATATTAAGTAACAAAAACAAAGGTGTCTGAATACTTGTTTCACCTCACTGTAGTATGGTAACATGAATGATGGCTGGATTATGACAGGAATTGTCAGCTAATATACTGGGAGTAAAAAGGCATAAAAAAGAAGGTTCTATAAAAAAGCATATCTTTGTATAATATGATGTTTCTTTTTTAGAGGCTTGCCGGTGGTGTCCAAGGTGTTCAAAGAATGTACTGGGGACACCTTAAAATATGCTACACACAGGGGATCAAGGGTAAGTCACACCTTTGCTGTTTCCTTTCTTCTAGAAAGATGTTACACTCTAGGATGTCCCTGAATATTTAAAACACTCTGGTCCTGGTCTACTCATGTTCTACAATTACAGACTGTAGTCTGTCTGTATCTTTGTATAAGTTATCCCACCTTTACCTTGTTCATCAATGGTCAGGACCACCACAGAGCAGATATTATTTGCCTGGTGGATCACTCTCAGCACTGCAGTAACACTGACGTCTTAGTGGTATGTTAGTGTGTGTTGCGCTGGTCTGATTGGAATAAACACAGCAGTGCTGCTGGAGATTTTAAACACTGTCCACTCAATGTCCACTCTATTAGACATTCCTACCTTGTTGGTCCACCTTGTAGACAGCTCATCTGCTGGTGCACAGTTTGTGTTGGTCATCCTCTAGTCCTTCATCAGTGGTCACAGGACACTGCCCACAGGACGCTGTTGGCTGGATATTTTTGGTTGATGGACTATTCTCAGTCCAGCAATCACAATGTTTAAAAGCTCCAGCAGCACTGCTGTGTCTGATCCCCTTTTGCTAGCGTGACACACGTGTTCAAGGCCGTGTTCACACAGCAGGAAAAAGTGTCCCAAATCCGATTTTCTCACCAAATTTGATTTTTTTTATTTATTAATTTTTTTTAGGTTGTTCGCATTATCTTTTTAATGCGATCTATTGCTGACATTCCTCTGAACGGTTCACGCTCCTAAACTGATGCGCATACCCAAAAGAATAATGCCTCACTTTATGTGACACACTCATCCAGAGTCAACGGGAACAGCCACTTGCTTAACCACTTCCTCCAGTTCATCATGCCTGCTTTTTTCTTTTTATAACTGGTTTAAATCTGCCGCCAGAGAGGTAACTATTTTGACAAGAAAATGAAAGTGGATTTTTTATGTCTGGTTTCTACTTTTAAATAACTCTGAAAGATAAACAATACTTTTTACAGCTCATACTATGACTATCACAGAATACTACAACTCATTCAGAGTTGAGTTGGATTGATGTTTGCATCACATGAATTCTGATCTGGTTTTTCAGAGTCCCATTGCCGCGATACATATCGGATTTCAATGTCAGATTCAATATGTTTCCCTGTTTACACTGCCACACAGATAGCACATCTGTGTCACATATGATGGAAAAGAACGGATTTAGGCCACTTTAATGTGCTGTGTGAACGTAGCCTATAACACTTCACTGTGTAAGCAGACCCTCTGCACTGCCAGCTTGAGTCATTTGTTCATTAGTATGGCAGCATATACTATGCTTATGTCACACGGTATCAGCTGGTACCAGACATTGGTATCTGTAAATTTGCATGAGTAAGAGTACAAGTAGTTGGTATTGATGAAGCCCTACTACAGACTGCAGTTACATTAAACCCCTTGGCTTTACAAAGAATTTAGGTAATTTTGAATAATCTTTGCTTAAAATTCTGAAAAATCCAGTTTCATTAAAAATAAGGCAGCTTTTAAAATTTTATAAAACATTGAAATCAAGATGTTATCAGGGAACTCCACTGCAGTGTTGAAAAATACCTCCCCAGATACACATAGAATAAGTTTGTGTAATTTTACTGTTTCAGTTTTGAATTACATTTTCCCAAATGGCAGAATAAATCAGGTTTTATTACATAGTGTATTTAGGTTTTCATAAAATATTCAAATCAAGCTTTTAACAGGGGACTTCACTGCAATACCAAATTCAGACTGTGAAATTACATGAATTGCATTCTCTGGAGGTGTTCTTCAACAATGCAGTGTAGTCTTTTGCTAACAGTTTGATTCCTTCTGTTTATAGAATTTTTTAAATGGGCATATATGTATTTAACTTTCCCAAGCATTGCAGATGTCTTGTTCAGAATTTAAATAGCAAAATAAAATGTAGCTCATAACCCGTGTATGTCAGGAAGTGTTTTTAAACATTGCAGTGGAGGTTTTTGATAAAAGTGTTATTTTCTTCCTTTGTTGGAGTTGTGTTTAAGTTGGCCGTTTAATTTTATGGCATATTAAATAATGCCATATACTTCATGAAATTCAAATTCATTTTTTACTGTTCCACAATCCTCGTATTTTATATTCAACTTTAAGGCCACTATACACGCCAATTAAACACCTTGAAACTAAGAAGGCCCTCAGTACTTATCAATATTATTTAAACATCTGCTGTGCAATGCCATCCTATCACATGCGAGGAATTCAACAATGAAAAAATAAGAGCTACAGGCACCTCTTGCACATTTGATTAAACCTTTACTTGACTTGACTAGACTAAATCAAAGACTGCAACATAACCTAAAGGAAGCTTTGTGTTTAGCTGCCCAGAATGGCTTGGATAGAGTGTAACAATGCTTTACATGAACTGATAAAGGTGAAAAATTAACTAATAAACCTGTTTGTTTACTTTGCAGGTGGAGAATACAGAGACGCTTTAATGGACTTCTCGACTTTTTTCATTTTTTGTTCATTCACTTGAATTGATTTATAATATTAGTAATAATAATAAAAATTTATTAAGTCGATTATGTTTGCATTGATTTTGCCTTAGTTTATGTCAGTATTATCATAATAATTGGGATTGTTTGAATTAGACTATCAGCAAGAATGGGAATGTGGATGGGAAGGACTAACATTAACTACAGACTGAGAAAATGTTAATGGAATGGTAAAATAACATAAAAAAATTCTGAACTTTTGACGCTGTGTACTGCTGGCTGCACAAAAATATCGGGAAGATGTTTAGGGTATGTTTTACTAACTTGCACTGAATGTCCTAAGAAAATTAAGAAAACTGGAACTATAAACCTTTGAAGAACGCATAAAGATAACATTCCAGGAATGTTCAGTGGTTAATGCATATAAAGCTGAGGTGATAATCTGGGGCAGTGGTTTTAAGAAACATGTTATGGAAACATTAAAATGGCCTTTTTTAAATTTAGCAACAATATCACCATAATTAAATGTTATAGGAATGTTTTCACGTTCTCAGAACATTGCAAGACCACATTCCTAGAACGTTAAATTGTTGCCAATGAGGTTGGGTTGATCTTTAGGGAACATTCTTGTAACCTGAATGTTTTAACATAACTTTGAATGTTGTCAGAATGTTCCAAGACAACGTTCCTAGAATGTTAACCTGTTGTTGCAAATGAGGTTGAGGTTACTAGAGCTGGAGATGCTTTACCGTTGGCTACAGATTTTTTTTACGTTTGTATCGTTAGCCATTTGCCTCAGTTTAAACCCAATACTTACATTTATATATTTAACTTATATTTAAAAGTGTCTCTTCAGCCGCCATTCGCTTCTCTGCTGATGCCGCCATGTTCTCAAATCTTCGCCAGCACGCAATGACCTCGGGATATGTTGACTGGCGAAGGATGCACCCGTTGGATCCTTCGTTGGCGTGGAAAAGAAGGACATATTTCTTGGCTGCATATGAAGGAGTCTTCGAAATGGGACAGCCTAGTCGCGCCACTGTGACGCAATCGGCCTTCAAATGCAGCCTCTGAAGGACGCAGCCCCTGAATGGGGACACACGGTATGTCTGTGTGATGCCCTGGTGTCTCTGAGGGCTCTTTTTTAATGTCAGGTGAGCTCTGATTGGTCTGTGGACAGCGTGCGTGCAAACTTCATACTCCACCCGCAGTCTGATCAGATCAGGTCAATCAGCTTAAACAACAACAATGCGACAGAATCACTGTGCAGAGTAAAAGTAAAAGTACTATGATTTAATTCTACTCCAGTAACTACCGTTACAGAGAAAACTGTACTCAGTACAGTACGATAGTAATACATTTCTTGCACCTCTCAGTGGTGGGCTGGAGATTACGGATGCAGCCTTGTGACCTGAAGGTCCTCTGTTTGATCCCCTGAGCTGACAATATGTGCCTGAAGTGCCTTTGAGCAAGGCACCTAACCCCCAAATGCTCCCCAGGTGCCATGAATAGGGCTGTATGCTGCATCTCAACGCATCGGGCTCTGCCGCTCGCAGCTGGTGGAGACATCCTCACTGATCATAATGGAAGTGTTTTGAATCAGGTGTGACTCTGGCCCTTGAGGTCACCAGTGCATTATATAAAACATCTTTTAACTGCAGCAGTGCTGTTTGTGAACAAACCAGTTCTGTTAAACAAATGTTGAGAACGAGCTTACGTGAAGGAGCTGTTAGAAAAAAAAAACATTTTTGCCTGTTTGCTAAAATTTGCTTTTTTTTTTTTTGCTTTTATTGTAAGACTAAACGCATGTAGGTAATAACTGGGAGGTCATGGGGATAGACAACACACCACAGGTAAGTAAAACAAGACTTGAGGACACATCCAGTATGCAAATAGTTCTAAAAGCCAGTGGGAAACTTCCATACCACAATGTCAATAAAATTAATGTTAATATAGCACTGCTTTGACTTATAATGAATTTTATTCTTAGATGTCACTGTTATCTTTATAAATCAGTAGGTGATAGATCATTTCATGCAAACTTCTTATTTATTAATTATTTAATTAATTTATTATTTGGCATTGCTTAATTGTCGTGTCTAGTTACACCCACTAGCTAGGTCTTCTCCAAGCACATGATTCTAGCAGCACTAGGAAGGTGAAGGCTAGCACATGCCAGAGAATGTGTAGTGAGGAGAATTGCTACTCAATAATGTCTTCTGGGTATGTCAAATGCTAGGGGGTGCTCCTGACCGAGTCCAAAATGAATGGGTAAATATGAAGCATTTGAGCAAAATCATAGTTTGTAAGTGCTTAAACAATTTATATAGAAGAATGCATTCTTTTCCTACACACAGAACAGCATAAAACATTTTAACACCACAGCTACATTTTTCAGTGCCTTTGCACTTAAATTATAGGACGTTAAACCAGTGCCTCATTCATTACATCAGTGAGCATGAACCACTTCACTCAGCCAATGAGCTGATCAGCTCACCAACTGGTCATTATATATTACATATATTATGTAGTGATTATAAAATTTATGAATATTTGCATTCTTAGTTTAGTGTAGAAGTGTAGGTTTAGTGTAGAAGTGTAGGTGAGTTCCCATGCCATTGTGTTCCCATTTTTTTTTTTGGGCATAAAAATAATTCATAAAAACATTCACCAATTAATTCTTCAAAATGAATTATTATTAATGGTTTCATTGAATTTACAGTCAAAATACAAAAGATGAGACATCAAACACTTCATCTGCAATTCTGTAGCTGTGATTTCAGAGAGTATTTCCCCAATCCACCATTTCTCATCATCTCATCAATGTGTGTAGAGGAAAATACACATCCATTTTTTTTGAGTTACTTCAGCCTGACAGACACACTGAAGTAGAGGTCTGTGTTTCTCTACTAATGATACACTGTTTCTTTCTGTGTCCACAGCTAAGTAAGGTGGGGCCCTACACCCTACACTACTTTGTTAGATTAAAACATAACTACTCTAAACCTTGTTGAAAAAAAGCATTGTGCTAAACCAACATAGAACTGACCGAAATGGGTGTAAGCTTAGCCCTCTCAGTGTCACAGAACATAATTTTCTTTATCGCACTTCATTGGTCAATTTGTATAGTACTTTATTTGAATGTAAAACAAATATTAAAGCTTTATAATGACAGAACAGATTTCTCAGTTTGTATATTCAACTTTGCCACTGCTCTCAAAACATAGTTGTCAAAGTTTTTTTTTTATGTATTTTTATAAAACTAACAGTAGGTATAGCGTATGTGCGGGGTTAGCATATATAGTAATCAACTTAGAAAATGCAGACCATTTAATTATTAGATTTTATTTTATTAAGCCACTTTTTCACATTTGTAATGACTTAGTAAATGAAAAGTATTTTATATATATGTTCATCATTGAATTCTCACATCACTTTACTATTTACAAAATCAACTATTTTTTTTTCTACAAATAATACAAATACAAATAAACCTTTACTGGGTTTACATTTTTTATTGAGCTGAATTTTTTTGTTAGTTTATCCTAACCGCACTGTACCATTGATAGGATATGTATGTGTATGTCTATGATGACATATCAGGTTTTCATCATTTGTTTTTTAAATATGGTTTGTAATTGTGATTGTATTTGTATATGGTCTGTAGGTGAATATCAAAACAAGAATCTTGTAGTATTTCATAGTTGCAAAATAAGACTAATCATTCAAATATCTACATTAAATATTTAACCGTTTTAAGATCATTAACATGGTTAAAACAACTGATCTCCTGAGCAGTTTGCTAAACTTGTTTACCATTACCATCTCTCTCTGTATGTATTCATAGGATATCAGATGAGGTTAAATAGTTTATAGTTCTGTTATATGCTTTGTAAGTGTACTATGAAGAAATAAACACTAGCTGAAAAAAGTTAATTTTTTAAAGAGCAGAGACCTTAGTTTGCAGAAATACTGTGAAAAACTAAAATAAATCTATCTAATGTATCGTGGCAGTCCAAAGAAAAACACGTATCTCCATTTTTGTCAATTTTTGTTTTTCTGTATCATTTCAACACAGCAGCTGTTTTTTACAATGTGTGAACTTTTCATGATGAATGGACCACTAGAAATTCTTCAAAATCACTTGGAATAAAACCTCGTTATGTTAACTTATTATCAGTTAAGAAGGTTTTTGCCATCTCCTGTAACGTTATTATTTTGGAGATACATGTTGTTCTTTAAAACAGCAACAATATTAAACTACCTGATGAGTTACGTAATTTTAAAAATACATAAATAGTGTTTGTTTACATGCATGCCTACAAATGTCCTACACATTTTTTTTTACTTGAAACCAATAAATATAAAAGTTTTATTAAATAAGATTTTCCATTGTTTAAAACATGGCAACATAACAAAATGTCTAAACCTAAATCCTAAAGAATGCTCAAGCCTTACTCTGAGGAAAGATTATGCTTTGTGGTAGCCATTTTTGGATTTATTCATAGGTTCAAAGTTCTCATAAATAGTGAGTGCTGCTGTGTTCTGGTAGATTAAGTCCACATTTGTACCAATCCGGGATCTGATGATGTCCACAGCACACTGGTTAAGGAACACATACTGATCCTAGTAAAGCAGAAAAAAGAAATGTCATTAACAATACACATAAACCTCTAACGATATATACTCACCGAGCACTTCATTAGGAGCACTGTAATAATACTGGGTGCGGCCTCCCTTTGCTATCAAAACAGCCTGTTTTTCATGACATGCATTCCACAAGATGTTAGAAACATTCTTTTGAGATTCTGGTCAATCTTGAATAAATTGCATCATGCAATTCCTCCAGATTTTTCTACCACAATCCAAAGGTGTTCTACTGGATTCAGATCTGGAGAAGGCCACTAAAGAACACTGAAGACATTTGAAATGACTTTTGCTTTGTGGTGTTGCATTATCATGCTGAAAACAGCAAATAGAACATGGGTAAATTGTGACCATGAAGGGGTGCAAATGGTCAGCAACAATACTAATATAGGCTGTGGCATTCAAGCAACGATTGGTCAGTATTAATGGGCCAAGATTAA